TAACAATTCTGTCATATTTTTTGTAAACAAGCAAAACTACAGTAACAAATTAAAATATCCAATTTAATCAAATACCTAAGTAAAAACCAAACGCAAATCATTCATACAGGTTAAACAACCAGTGATCTTAGCAATGGTTCCCACATTGTTTTTCACTTAAGTCGCCCACTCACTCCCCATTACTCACACAAAGAGGGTCCCACTCTGTGCCAACGGACTCTCACCCTGTAGCTTTTGACTAAGTTAACATCTTTCACCCCCACTCCAACCCATTCAGACTCTCACCCTGAGTGGTATGAATTGTTGCTCACAAGCATCCACATCAAAAACCTCCCACCCCTTGTCCCAGAGAAGTAACAAAAAAAAAAAGAAGGAGGAGGTGCAGCAAGTTACAGCTGGTTTTTCTCTTGTGGGTCTCAAGGTTCACAAGGCTCCTAGGCTCCTACACACAGGTAGATTTACTGGCCTCTCATCAGCCAGCACAACTAACTTTCAGGTCTTGTGAAGGAATAATATTTCATGGTCAGTTGAGAAAGCCCTTTCCTGACCCAAACTGATGTCAACAATTCAGTTAGTAAATCAAGTAATTTTTAGAGAGGGTGTTTGCCATCAGTCTCTTTGAGTATCATTGTTTAATAGCATTTCTTCAAGGTAGAGTAGCTATAAAAACTACAAATAATTCCCCATCTCTATTTCATATTGTATAGCAGTGGCTTTCAACGTGTGCTGTGACACCATGGGGTGCCTTGAATGATGGTCAGGGGTACTGTGGGCAACCTTCTTTCCTTCCCTCTCTCCTCTGATGCCCTCTTGTGTCTCTGCCTCCCAAAGCCTTGTGCGGCTGTTTCTTGCAGGCAAATGGTGCCTCTGGGGCTGGCCAGGTGTTCTCCAGAGCTGAGGCAGCCTCAGAGTAAGCAAGTAAATTTGTAATATCCACATCAATTATACTCACGATTAGAAAACTGGACAATAAATAGATGCCTAAGAACATTGCTCTTGTCATTGTTATTAATGTAAAATTGGAAAGACAATGGACTGTGTGCTGTTGGCAAGTTCTGCAAGGAAATAATAGTTGCTTCTTTCTTTTCTGAAGTTCTTGGCTATTACATTTTTCGTGGTGCGAATTCACAGAAAAACATATTTCGAAGAAATCCAAAGGATCCAAAAGTTGCTCGTAAGTACTGCTTAGGCAAATTGGTTTTCTATTAGTGCTTTCTATATATTAATATTACACAGTGTGTTCTCGTCTGCAGAGTATATTTATTTGTATTTCATTATACAGACTTGAAAGTTATTCCCACTGCAACTGGAAAAAACCTCCTGGTCTCTGGCTGGTGGGGCTTGGTGCGCCATCCAAACTACCTTGGAGATATCATCATGGCTCTGGCTTGGTCCTTACCGTGTGGTAAGATAGTAAAGTGTCTTTTAGTGAAATCTTTCATGTTTTGCATGGGTGGCAGGCCATCATGTGGGTGATACTTCACCACCTATTGTCCAAGGCAGAAAACAATTAAGAGTTGACTTCAAGGCTGCTTCCTGCCTGCACTTAAACCATTCATTCAGGGTGGAACTATTCAGCTTGGACACTGGCCTTGTGAATTTGTCTGTGTGAGAGTGTGTGCAATCCCATTGTTTAATTTGTGTTTTTACCTCTGACCTCTGTTTTTCAAATTCCTACCAGTGGTTGTTGTTAACTGAGATAACCACCCCTGATCTAATTAAAAATTGTCGTAAGATGACGGCTAGGTGGGATAATACACCATAAGTATATTGTTCTGTTTGTCTTTTTGACAGTAAGTTCTTTTTTTCTTTATCAGCATAGAAAACAGAGAAAATAAATTATGACTTGCACTCACAAATATGATGTTCAAGCTTGAAATCTAATCAAGAAACCGAAAGTCAATATTAAAACCCAGTCATAAATTATTAATGTTAAAGTGATGAACAAAAAAACCCCCTATTTACCTTTTCAGGTGAAGAGTGGAAAAAATAACTGTTTATGTGTTCTTACAGGGATCAACCACATCTTACCATATTTCTATGTCATATACTTTACTGGTTTGCTTATTCATCGAGAAGCCCGTGATGAACGTCAATGTAAGAAAAAATATGGCTTAGCATGGGAAAAATACTGTCAACGTGTACCATATCGCATATTTCCATATATCTACTGAGTATCTTCAAACTGGTGGATAATGCACCGCTTCTGCAGTCAAATCTTCATTGCAATAAACCACATACCTCATACCACTGCACTTGGTATACGTTAATTCTGCTAGATTTTCTTAAAAATTGTGATCAGATAGTAAAGCTGCAGATACCTTTACCAATAAACTACTAAAAATAGTCTTTTCCATATATTTTTAGCCATCTCCCCATTTCAAATTACACACTTCAGTTGAGCAATAAATTAGTTGTATAGCACATTAAAAGCCTGTCAAGCAATGTATATGCTGGATAATGTTAATTATCTGTTCCGGACATAGGAAAGACCATTTTAGGGTTTAATGCTGAAGATTTGCTTGTTTTGTGTAACTTTTGTATTTTTCATTCTTTGGGCTACCTTCAGAGCCCTTGGCCAAAATGCTCCAGAAAATAGTAAACGTTACAGAGTCCAATGAAGAGTGACTTCCGATGCTACAGCTTTCTAATCATAGTAGTTCTCACTCAGGTCTGTCTCTTATAACTGGTTCTCTCGGGCTGAATCCCTAGTGGCTGTTGCAGAAGCAGGAATTGCTTCTGGGGAAGCAAATCAACAGGAGTTGCTTCTCTACCCCTTCACTCTGGAGAACAAAATCCCATTTTAAGTCTGAGCGATGGTTGTCATATGCCTCTTCCTTATACTATGTGCTCTAAAAAGTACATTGATTTAAGAGAATATTTTAAAATCCCTTACAGCTCATTCTTTGAGAGTGTCATACCTCAAGAAGTGCAAGTGACAAAAAACAATGATACAGGGTGTGGCATGTTGTACAGACTGTGAAAAAATAGGCAGTTTTTTCAGCTATTATAAACCATTGCTTTGTACTATAGATTTTCTTTATATTGTAACATTGAAAGATTTTGTTGTACAGTGTTTTGAGTATAAGATGCAAATCTCTTTTTTTTACTAAAACCATTTCCAGTATTTTTGAAAAGTTTTATAAAGTATTGCTATGAAATTGAGTTGAACAATTGAAGTGCTCATTTAAATATTGCAATGACAAATGTGTTATGGAAGTATATGAAATTTATTCAAAGTTTTGTGAATTGGCATTGCTACCTCAAATGTAGGTTATTTTGCCTTTTTATACTGTTGAAAGTAGGAAAAATGCTAATTTTTCAAATTGCTATTTAAAGCAGCTTTTTAACATGATTAAAGTCAACCACTTTAATTGAACTTTTTAACAAATGTATTTTTGTATATTTGAGTTTTCATAGCCACTCATGCTATGTGGTTTTATGCTGTTTGTAGCAGAACATCTATAAAATTTTATTGAATAGTTTTTTACTGAATTGGCTATAAGGTGGAATTATTTACCTAAATGGAAGGAATAATTGCCATTTTAATATATTAAATTAGAAAGCAGGTCTGTTGAAATTTTTACAGCTGATAAAAATTATCCATTTAATAATAGCAAAGTACCCATTTTTAATTTGACTATATTTTGCATTTATGAATTTGTAGCATAGTTCTTGATAACAATTGTTTTCCGTTTAATATAGTTAAAATGCATGATTGTGGATCACTGTAGGGCTTACTTAACGAATGCCCATATCCCCGTCTAACCAGTCCCCTTTGGAACATGAATAGCCTTGAGTGATGGGGATAACAGCACTCTTATGCCCTATGGGGATCCATATTGTACTCTGTATATTTGTATGAGCCATTTTAGTTACTGCTGTACAAGATTGTAAATTGACTGTGTGTTGTGTGGCAGAAATGATCATGACAACTTTCTTTAGCCTGCATAACATCTGTTTAGAGCAGAAAAAATCCTTATAAACATTGAGTGCTTCAAAATATCTATTGTAATTTGTTATGCAAAGAAAATTGTAGAAATACCACTATTTTCGGATAATTCTAAAATATATGAGTAATCTTTTTATATGAACTTGTTCTCCCAGGAGTGTGGTTCCTGACTAATATAAACTGCAATGTGTCATGTTTGTTACACCTTTTTACATCTAAAATGTACTCCTTAGATTGAACTTCATAAAAAGCAACTTGCATAATTAAAATTTAATCTAGAAATGATTTTGTGCAGATGTAATTATTTACTTGGAAGAGACTTCTAACATTTTTGTTTGCCCTTTGAATATATAAGTAGCTCTGATTGAAGATGTATCTGTGTCCTGGGATAGTTTAAGTTCTTAAGAGTTCTAGCCGAGTTCAGGTGAATTACATGCATTCTACCCAGAAAGAGGTTGAAAAGCTCACACTCCTACTCAGGAAATAAATAAACATAGGATCTGCCATATTCATTTGAGCCCTTCTCATACTACAGAGGTGGAAAACTCAGGGCTGCTTTGTCATGTTCACAAACCTCCCTGGTTGCATGATGGTAAATGGAGTCAGAGGTAAAAAGTGCAGAGCAATAGAAATGACTCATACTTTTTGTTCAGTAGGCATGCTACAGATTTGGATGGCTCAGTTGGTGCTGTTAATGCCAAAGTTGCAGGTTTGATCCCCGTATGGGACAGCTGCATATGCCTGCATTGCAGGGGGTTGGATTAGATGATCCTGAGGGTCCCTTCCAACTGTACAATTCTGATTCAAGACAGTGGCAATCACTTTAATGCCCTCATTGTGAGGCTCCAGCAGCATTGGGCTGGTCACTATTAGAAACAATACTGCGGTAAGCAAGCACTAGAAGTTTATTGCTGGAGCTGAGGAAGTCCAACTTTACCACATGGCTAGCTTGACACACATCCGACTGAACACAAATAAGTTTAATTAACCTGCTACCATGCTTATATAAATAAAGAGAAGATAAATCATAATGAAAACCACAATAAATACTGTTTATTCTTAAGCATCCGTTTACCAAAACCTCAAGTGGTCCAACAGTCTGAAGAGTATCCAAGTTTAAGAGGTAATTATTTTTTAAAATTTTCTCAGTCATCTAGTTGGCATAACAGTGCAACACCTCTTGTTATCCAGTGGCTGGGTGCTATAAGACTTGGTAGGTTAACTACTGTTATAAAATTAGTTGATATACCTGTAGAGGACAGTGTTCCTGATCTTTCAGGTGTCCTGTATAGTGGACATTCATAAAGTAGCCAGACTTCTTCCTCCTCTAGACAATGGGGTCTTGCATGGGAGGCCATCTTCAAAAGAGAAGTGTTGATGAATTAATAATACATATTAGCATAACACTGATCTTTTAAATAGACTGTATATGAGAGGAATATGAAAGAGTAGCACGCAAAACATACAATATACAGTATGTGCATGCAACCAATATGCGAAGCAGGAAATCACAGCACAACATAGGCAAACTTTGCGTATCTGTCTCCTCTTTTAAGGGGGAAGCCTCTACCTTCAGCACCCATCTGGTGATGGAGCGGTGGGTGGGCTTTTTTCTACACAAGTAGCCTGACAATTGTTTGCACAAGCACAGCACACTGTTAATTCGTCATAGATTCAGAACAGCCAGCCAGATGCACCACAACTGCCATAAACACCAGGCACATGCAACATGGACAAAAACACTTTACAGGTTGAAACTTGGAGTCAGAATAAGGGAGTGGGTGGGAAAAGGAGTGCGTGATGTAGTAAAATGATACAACAAAATCAAATGTTTCTCATTTCAGGTATAAATATAAGATTATATAGCTGCTCCCAACTTGCAAAATTTGTATCATTAGTATTACCTGTTGCCACCCTGAGCTTTTGTTATAACACAGAATGTACATTTTATTTAAATCACCTTTTTTGGTAAAAAATGTATGTCTGGTAGTGGATAAAATCTCTGGTGAAGCTCAGGCTCTTCCAATGTCTTTGTAGTGGGATTCCAGCAAGCACCATCTATGTATAAGCCACAAACTATAACTCCAGTTTCACACCGAGAAGATTCCTGAAAGTCAACAAAAATGATAGATGAATGTTTGTTTTTAGTCCACCAGACCCCATAAAACCTTCAAAATTTATGACCAGCTATTATGGTACTGGAAGAGACTCTTGAGAGTCCCATGGACTGCAAGAAGATCAAACCTCTCCATTCTTAAGGAAATCAGCCCTGAGTGCTCACTGGAAGGACAGATCGTGAAGCTGAGGCTCCAATACTTTGGCCACCTCGTGAGAAGAGAAGACTCCCTGGGAAAGACCCTGGTGTTGGGAAAGATGGAGTGCACAAGGAGAAGGGGACAACAGAGGACGAGATGGTTGGACAGTGTTCTCGAAGCTACCAGCATGAGTTTGACCAAACTGCGGGAGGCAGTGGAAGACAGGAGTGCCTGGCATGCTCTGGTCCATGGGGTCACGAAGAGTCGGACACGACTAAACGACAACAACATGATGATATAAATGTTTTAAGATAGGGAACTTGACCTGGCTGTCATGGTGTTATCCTGAGAGGCACCTGACCTACAGGTAGCATTGGCAGGTGGGTCAGTACTACAGTCCTACCTCGGAAGTTGAACAGAATCTGTTCTGGAAGTCCTTTCTATTTCCAAAACATTTGGAAACAGAAGTGCGGCTTCTGATTGGCTACAGCCAATTGGACGTTTGGGTTCCAAAGACTGTTCGCATACCAGAACACTCACTTCCGGGTTTGCAGCATTCGGGAGCCAAAACGTTCGAATAGCAAGGCATTCGGGATCCAAGGTATGACTGTACTATGTTGGTCAAACAAAATCACTATCAACACAATGGAAAAGGCATTGTTATGTATCAATTTTTCATGCATTCAGCAATTAGTGAAGCAATCCTTTACAGAGGTAGAATGACCGCTATTCAGCCTCCACGACACCATCCTTCACATCTACATTCAGTGGTAACCTGTAAATTACATTTTAACTGATAGGCAACACAGTATGTTGGTCTTCCTATATGATGTTAAGCATGGCTGAAGCTCAGGAGTAGTCAGTGTGATGCCCTCAAAGTGCTGCAGGACTACAATTCTCACCAGCAACATCAGGATAGCACACTGTTGGCTACCACCTCCCTCCCCCTCACCTGCATAAGGTGTTCTAGTACTTTTTAAACTGGCAAAAGGAGGTTGGCCCAACTGAATTTGAACTTAAGTAAAGTGTCTCTTGGAACGTGGGTGGTGCTGTGGGTTAAACCACAGAGCCTAGGACTTGCCGATCAGAAGGTCGGTGGTTTGAATCCCCGTGACGGGATGAGCTCCCGTTGCTCGGTCCCTGCTCCTGCCCACCTAGCAGTTCGAAAGCACGTCAAAGTGGAAGTAGATAAATAGGTACCGCTCTGGCGGGAAGGTAAACGGCGTTTCCGTGCGCTGCTCTGGTTCACCAGAAGCGGCTTAGTCATGCTGGCCACATGACCCAGAAACTTTACGCTGGCTCCCTCGGCCAATAAAGCAAGATGAGCGCCGCAACCCCAGAGTCGGTCTCGACTGGACCTAATGGTCAGGGGTCCCTTTACCCTTTACTTTAAAGTGTCTCTTGATGCTCAAATTTTTGTGTGTGTGTAGAATTATTGACTCCTGGCAGGAAGTCATTTGAGAGTTGCAGAAAGTGGTTCCTTTTCCTTTGAAAATGAAGTAACTGTGCTTCAGAAGGAAAATACTTCGGCACTGCAGAATTAGAAGGGTATTCACACCCTAACCTGCCCCTGCAACTTTCCCCCATGGGATTTTCTTCTCCATATTGTTTCAGAAATGTGTTCCAGACACTCTTCAATAGTATCTTCCCAATATGATCAGAACATATCACATACATTTTCTCAGTATTTTTTTTTAAAAAAAACATTGTATAAGGCCATAACAATGACTTAGATTAATCATCCAGCTCAAAGCTCATTAACCATTATGCTACATGTGCTCTTATTTTCTTACCTTAAATGCTTTGTTTATTATAGCTTCTTTTGCGCTGAAAAATCTAAGACTCTGGTCTTCATCCTGAACGAATGGAAGAACTTTGTGGATAAAATTAAGAGAATCCACTGGCAATTCTTTCTGCCGAGCATAATTCTGAAGAACTGCAGTAAGAAATCCTGCAGGAATAAAATACATGTATGAGTTTGTGAGCACATGTGGGAGCAAGAGGTGTGAGACTAGGCTTTAGTCAGCTTTAGTTGACTAAAAAGGAAAAATCTTTATCCACTTTCCCCTCACACTATGCATAACCTTATGCACACCTCTCATGTCCTCTTACTCTTTTTCTTAAACTAAAAAGCCCCAAATGTAATCTTTCTTCATAGGGAAGTTGCTCCAAACCTTTGATCATCTTGGTCGCCCTTTTCTGAACCCTTTTCAGCATTGCAATATGTTTTGTACAAACGTTTAAACATATTGTTGCACGCCACACCAATCTGAGTGGCGCGAGACTCCAGGGGTACCAGGCCTACTTACCAGGGTCTGTGCCTGTTGGACAATAAGGCACAGAGTAGACTATGGGGTCTTTATGGTATAGGCAAGCCCCGATTTGTGCAGGGCTTGTGTTCCGGGTCACTGCATGCTTGCGTGAAATCGTGTAACTGAAACACCCCATTCTGCCTTCGCCTCACCCTGCCCCACCCTTTTAGTGAAGTCTTTTATTACATTTCCGGGTCAGTTCTGGGCATATGAGCCATCTCCTAGGGGCCATGGGGGCTTCAGCCCCCATAGTTGAGGGGGCAGGGTCCCCACAAAAATTGATAGACGTTCCCATTCAAATGGTGTGTGTGCACTACGTCATGTGGCCGATGATATAGGGCAGAGCTTACCTGGGCTCCCACAATATTTTATTCGAGTTGGCACCCCTGGTTCTGGGTTTGGCACTGTGCATATTGGTCATGCCTAAAACGGGGGTTGCCTGTATATGGTTTATTTACACATATATACAACCTGAGTTTAGGATTGGGTGTGGGGACTTCCAGTTTACATTCTAGAAGGGTCCTGTTTCTCTCATGGCTGCTATGTTGGGTTCAAACTGTCAATCCACATTGTGCTGTGACTCCCTTTTCTCCAACTTGCAAACTAATTCCCCGAAACAAAACTATTTTTCCTCTTGCTTACATGAGCCCACTGCAATTCTGAAACCCCTCCCTCCCAGCTCTCTTGTCTTTTGCTAACTGCCCAGGGTGGGGCTCCACCCCTCTGCACCCAGCAGAGAATCTTTGTCTTGTTGATGGCTTCCTGTCACCAGCCAAAATGATCCACATATGCTACCCAGCACCACAGATCAATAAAATCTGTGCCTCAGCTGGAAAGCAAATTAAGGGGGCAAGTGGCTGGGGCCTCACTGGCACTGCACTTTGCAGTGCACCAAGCCACCCTATGAGGACTTCCTTATTAAAAAAAAAGTTTGGAAAGAGGGGAGGGACATGAAATCTGAGGCCTGGCACAAGAGACGAAAGACTCAGCCCCTGCTATGCCAACCCCTAACAATGACCTGGTAGGCAGCCACAGTTCCCCACTCCTTATCTACACACTGCTGAAAATAGTAACTGTCCATGAAATTATGTACCTTGTGGAAAGAAGAAAGCTGGAAGCCAAAAGCAGCTGGGGTGTGCCTGAGAGCTGCCATCAAAGGGGTCAAGTTCCTCACCAGGTTGCATAGTTGTTTTGGTTAGCTTCTGAAGTACCACTAAATGCTGATGCCTTTAAGAATGATAAGTTTAGAAGTATATATTAATTATGGTTTTAAATGGTCAATTATACAATACAATAAATAATGACAATCTGCACTAGCCAAAGGCTTAACCACTATAAAAGTACAACCCATACATATGTAAGAGTAAATATAAGAGTGTCATCATGCAGCCCCCATTGGAGGATTTCTAGTACCACATCACAATCCTAGATTTTCACGAAGTCAGGGCTAAGAGCAAAAGGGAAGGCAAATTGCACAACAGCAGTGCCTATGGCATAGGAGCATAGGGAGGAACACGGGGGGGGGGTAGTTTAAAATAATGGGAGAGGTCACATTAATTTGGCTGATTAACAGACTATATTCTTGTAAATGTGTTTCTGGGCAGGGGGGTTATTGGCTTGGTTTGTTCTTGTTTTTATTATGTACTTTGTGATTTTATTCTGTGAATCAATCACCCTGGGATCTTCAGATGGGCGGTATACAAATTCAGTAAATAAACAAATAAATACTGTAAACTGCAAGCTGGTTCAGTCTGGTGAGACGAGCCGCAAGGCTTCAGTAGATCCCACCAATTCTGTTGGAGGGGGATTTCCAGCCGGTGGCAGAGGACAGAGTGACTCCAGGAGACATAGGTGTAAAACCCAAACTAAAACGAAGACTTTATTACTAAGCAAATAAACACAAACTCTGGTGGATGTTATTCCTGCAGGCAGGCAACAAAACTCAGCTTTTTTCCTTTATAGCAACGGTCACCTGCAGCCAATTAATCCCAGAAACTTCTTAAAGGTATACACACATGTTTCTGTGCCGAATGTCCTCTAACATCCCCTCTCATTCAAACAGAAACAATAGTATTTTAAACAGAACAGAACATATTTACATATCACACACAGCAACTCCCAACTTTGCTACCAGTCGTGCATGTTTTTCAAAAGTTAACGCTTTTGTAAATACATCCGCCACATTTTGTGTACTTTCACAATACTTCAGCATTATCTGGTTCTGTTTTACATTTTCAGCTACATTTTGATATTTAATTTCCAAATGCTTTGATTTGTTTCTAAACAGGTCAGATCCAGACAAAGTTATTACGGCTTGATTATCTTCCATAATTTGAACGGGATAATCACACTGTACGTTTATATCCTTGAGGATCTGAACATAAAATTTTATTTCATTACATAATTCCGACAATGCACAGTATTCGGCCTCAGTTGATGATGTGGCCACTATACTTTGTTTTTTTTGATTTCCAACCTATTAAAGAATCTCCAAATTGAAATACCATTCCAGAAATTGATTTTTTATCAGGCAGGTTGGCCCAATCGCTGTCAACGTAACACTGCAATTTTGTGGACCCTGAAGATGGTAATCTTAAACAATAATCAAGTGTTTGCTTTAGATACCGGAAAATACGTTTTAAACCTTTCCAGGCATTTTCTGTAGGACAGCTTACTAGTCTGCTTAGTATTCCAACTGCATAACTCAAATCTGGTCTGCTCCACAATGAAATGTATAATAAACTTCCAATTATTGAATGGTACATTTCAGGATTTACAGGTTCTGTGCATTCTCCTTCATTTTTGAAAAAACCTATTTCCATTGGGGTTTTTACTCCCTTGCAGTTTTGCATATTGTTTCTTTCAAGTAATTCCATTATTTTGTCTTTTTGACTCAACAAAAAACTTCCATCGTTTGTTCTTTGAATTTCTAAACCGAGATAATTTTTTACTGGACCCAAATCTCTTACTTTAAATTCCTTTCTTAGTTGTTCTGCAAATTTTTCCACTTGCTTGTCACTTTTTGTAGAGTAAAGCAAATCATCAACATAACACAAACACAATTCTTGTTTATCACCCTTTCCTTTAGTGTACAAGCAGTTATCAGCTAAGCTTCTTTTAAAGCCAAGATTTTTTAAAGCATTATCAAGACACTCGTTCCAATTTCTAGCTGACTGTTTGAGCCCATAAATTGCTTTGTTTAGCCTATATACAGAATTCTGTTCTCCTGCCTCAAAACCTGGCACTTGATTCATAAAAATTTCTTCTTGCAGATTTGCGTTAAGATAAGCTGTTTCAATATCAAAATGGTTTACCTTAAACCCACGTTGTGCTGCAAGAGCTAGCAATAAGCGTACACTTTCACTCCTTGCAGTAGGAGAAAAGGTTTCATCAAAGCTTTCACCTTTTCTTTGAGTAAAGCCTCGTGCTACCAGTCTGGCTTTGTACTTAACATCACCATCTGCCAAATGTTTTATTTTATACACCCATCTACAGCCCACTGCCTTTTTTCCTTCTGGCAATGGCTCAGTGGTAAAGACATTGTGTTCTGCTAAAGATTTCATTTCTGCTTTCATTGCATTTTTCCACCTTACTATTTCCTGGTGTGGTAACTTTAAAACTTCCTCATAATCACGAGGTTCCTTTTTCACATCAACAGTTTTAACTTCTTGTATAGTAAACCTTTCTGGAGGTACCCCCTTATTGCTTCTTTGTGACCTTCTAACTTGAACACTCTCCCCCTCTGAACTATCTTCCCCTTCTGATTCATCCTGCTCAGGAGAAATTGGTTCAGCTTTAGAAGATTGTGTACTGGGATCCTCATCCCCTGAATCCTCATCACTGTCACTTTCAGAACTTTCTTTAATTTGTGGCTTTTCTTCCTCAGATTTCACAAATTTATCTGTATCATCAGAAGATAACACAACTTCTGAATTTCCATGTAAACGAACCCAACCATCTTGCTCACAAAACTCTGCATGTCTTGATATTACAACTCTGCCATGCCCTAGTGCAAAACGATACCCCTTTGACCAAGTTTGATAGCCAACAAACCTAAGTTTCTTTGCCTTGGGCTCTCCTTTCCTTCTCTGTCCTTTTGGGATGTGAACCCAAGCCCAGCAACCAAAAGTTTTAACATGGTCCAAAAAGGGTTTTTTTCCATAAAGCAAAAAATGAGGAGTGTTGTTTATGGTAGAATGAAACAATCTGTTCTGTATGTAGTTAGCACACAGAATTCCTTCTCCCCAATACTTCCTGGATAGGCCAGAATCACATAGCATTGAATCTAGCATTGTTTGTAAAGATCTTATCTTGCGTTCTGCAACTGAATTTTCTTCAGGCGAAAAAGGACACGATTTACGGTGACTAATACCACGCTTTTTCAACCAAACTTGGAGGGCTTCAGACATGAACTCGCCTCCACGGTCACTTTGCAACTGGGTAACTTTGTAGGGAAACTGCCTTTCTATATAGTTGATCCAATTCTTAATCAGTTGACGAGTTTCACTTTTGTGTTTTAACAAATATACCCAAGTATACCGGCTAAAATCATCCACAAGAACCAAAAAAAACTTTGCTCGTCCTTCAGACTCTGCAAATGGCCCACAAAGGTCTGAATGTACTAAAGCAAATGGCCTCTTGCTAATTCTAGTACTTTCAGGATAAGACCCTCGCTTACTTTTAGACTCCTTGCAGGTATTGCAGTCTAGAAAAACTGAACATTTTTTCATTTTAATTCCCTTGCTTAATTCTGGCATTTTTGCAATACTGCGGAAATTGGCATGCCCCAAACGACGATGCCACAGATGCTGGCACTCATCATGCAAGGCTCTATTACAGGCTTTAACACATGCCCCAGACTCACTTACTAGCTGGTCTTTCAAAACAAACAAACCATTTTGTAGTGACGCTGTAACCACTTTTCCAGCTTTCTCTATTCTACAGCCTGAACCAGAAAAGGTTACTTTAAATCCCTGCTTAACAAGACTTGTAACTGAAAGCAAATTATTTTCTAAACTTGGTACACATAAAACATTGGTAAACTTGGTACTTAAACAGTTGATATTCACACTACCCTTTCCAGCTGACTCATGCACTGTTCCATCAGCTAGTACTACATTTACAGATTTACAAGGCTGCTTTTCTACAAGGGTTTGTGCAGACTTGACAAAAATGTTTGTCGCTGCTGAGTCTAAAATCCAGTCTTGTCCAACGTCATGACTGGTGCCTCGAACTGCTGCAGAAACATACTGGACTCGACTCTTCCTGTCTCCTCGCTTCCCAGCAAACGCAGGCCGCCCTTGTCTTGTATTTTCTCCCACAGACACAGTGCACTGTCGTACTAAATGCTTGGTTGACCCACAACGATAGCATCTTCTAACTGTGAACGCTGCTTCCTCTCTGTGGTCTACAACCTCTTTAGGATGCCGCTCCTCATCAGTTGCATATCTTTTACTGGACTGCCTCCCATTTCTGGAGTTACGGTGAGGGGTTGTGGCCTTCCTCTCATGGCGTCTTTCCTCCTCATCAAGCAAACGCCCAGTTAAGAAATACATTGTTAATTGGCTTTCTGGGATTGCTTCCAGAGTCATCACTAAATTGTCCCATGACTCAGGAAGTGAAGACAGCACAATATAAACTTTTCTCTGTTCAGAAAAATGTTCCCCAAGTTCATTTAACTGTGAAAATAAATCACGCATTCTTTGAAGGTGTGTTGAAACACATTCACCCTCACTTAGTCTGGCTCGGTACAGAGCTCTCATTAGAGTAATTTTGCTGCCAGCAGTGTCTCTAACATGTATTGCTCTCAGTGCTTGCCAAATCTCACTTGCTGTTTCAAAGTCTCGCACATGAGATAACTGAGACTTCTCTAAACTCAAAATTAAATTGGCATAGGCTTTGTCCTCCAGCCTTTGGTCTGCTTCATCTACTTCTTCATCCTCCTCTTTTACAGGAGGGTTAGCAATAACAGTCCAACATTGTTCTTTCTTTAAAAACGCCTGCATCTGTAAACTCCATGACATATAATTGGACTCTCCCAGTTTCTCTACTGGAAAATAGGAAGCTCCCCCTTGAGCTCCAGCTCCAAGTCCAGCCATGGCGCCACCCAGCTTTCAGCTTTCCACTCAGTTCTTACTCACACGTGGCTTGAAGAAAAGTTCGGCTCCTGGTCCCAAACAGACACTCCCTGCCGATGCCTTCGCACAGCCAGCTGCTTGAGAAACGCTGAGTTGCTTCCAGTCTCTGGGTTCTTTTCACGCTCTGTCTCTGCCCACTCAGGACTGGGGACTGGGCCCATAACCTGTTGGAGGGGGATTTCCAGCCGGTGGCAGAGGACAGAGTGACTCCAGGAGACATAGGTGTAAAACCCAAACTAAAACGAAGACTTTATTACTAAGCAAATAAACACAAACTCTGGTGGATGTTATTCCTGCAGGCAGGCAACAAAACTCAGCTTTTTTCCTTTATAGCAACGGTCACCTGCAGCCAATTAATCCCAGAAACTTCTTAAAGGTATACACACATGTTTCTGTGCCGAATGTCCTCTAACAAATTCCTTCCAGCTGAAGGCATTAACCTGTGAAGAATGCCATCCATTATCCAAACAACGGCCTTTCCGAGGAATGAAAAATGGAATGAGAACAACAAGTATACATAACAGTAGAGGTGGTTCTTTCTCCCTTTCCACATGTGCCCATCATCCAGAAGGATGAATTGATTATTAAAGAAAAAGGCAGGTCTGGGGAAGATTCAGAAGTTACAGCACAGCTCTGAATGGAGGCAGTTATTTGTGAAGCAGCAGTAGTGCCCAAGGTTTACAGAGATACAAAAGAAAAAAACTTTAGAGAGAAAGACCCAAAGAGGGGCCTCCTGCACCCCACTACTGATCCAAGAACTACGGACATAGAATGCCAACTGACTTTTACAGGAAAAATAGAAAATATGGAAGGGAAAGGGAATGGAAGGGAGTGGCTGAGAACTTGAACGGGAGCAGTCCAAATACCAACACTTTGCTGCAGATCCCACATACGTATCAGGTTCAAAATAGGAATTTGCCTGCACTGGATATGTCATGTTCATAATTTGTTTCTGGATTTCTATAGTAGGTATCAGAAAATTTGCAATTCCAATGTATGTTAACCGTGGCATTTTAACTCTACTCTTGCCAAAGCCATTTCTTTATATACTTCACCAGAATCTTTACTGTTCTAATATTTTGCATTTTACCTTGATTCCATAAAGGTGATAACTTGTTTAGCCCACATGGAAAAGAAAGTCACTCGTAAAACAAGGTCATCAATCCAGGATCCCAGAGGTTTAAGTGATTTATAGGAATGTTGCTGTTACGTAATAGCAGAAAAAGCACAATATCATGTTTTTAAAATTTACAAAAATAAAATTGATCATTCATTCTTCCCACTCAGGTAAAAGAGTTGTGTAATTTCTGAGCAGATGCATGCAAAAAACACACACACACACTATACAGGACATGGAAACCCTACTCAACCCCTGGCAGCTGGAAATAGTATGGAAAGAAACAACTTTATGTGATTTAAAAGACATTGTCCACTCAAGCAGTTTTTTTTACTATGGAGGCTAGAAACCCACTTTTAAAGAGATAAATAAAAATAGACTGCTGAGATTCTGAAGATGTTAAGAATTACTGCCAGGATTCCATTCTGGTTTTGTGAACTGCTAGGGAATCGTGGTACATATCAGGACTAAGGGGGATCAGCTGTCTTGGACCTGATCCTCACCAACAGAGAGGAACTGATTAACAAAGTAGAAATACTGGGAACCTTGTGATGAAGTAATCATGTCCTCGGGTTTCATGATACAGAGGCAAGGGAAAGCTGAGTGTAGTCAGACATGCATTCTGGACTTTAAGGCGGTTCTATGACTTGAAAACAGAGACTCTGTAAGTTACTAAAAAAATAAGGCTGATTCAAAAAGCTTAAGGATGTGATCTCAGAGCCTCTATCTATAATCTTGGAGAATTCTTGGATAACAGGTGAGATCCCTGCAGACAGGCAAACTGGTTTGTTTCACTTGAATAAACCATGATAACTAATACAACAACAAACCATGATTTGAGGCTAGCTAGTGAGTGTAGTTAGTTACAGTGAAACAAATCACAATCTAGGGTTGAGATATAGTATCTCCTTTCTGGTTTTCTTTGGTGGACATGCAGAGACTGCAATGGGGAAGCAAAGAAGGGGAAATCACATTTGGTGAACAAAAGTCTGTTCTGCAGGTGGACAGCCACAACTGGGGCTGGAAGTAGACACATCAAAGCAGTGTTTCAGTTAAACGCATTGTAAATTTTGTATGAGAAATCAGGTTGGCAAAAACGAAACTCCACAGCGCCATCTTGTGTTGTAGTGCTATAATGCACATACAACACATATAAAGTGCTTTTTGGGGGCCAATGTAGCTAAGTCCATAATCTCATCCTAAAAGTTTATTTTTTGATTCACAGAGAAACTGTTCACCTACCTGCCACAGTTCAGGAACTTTGTTTTTCAATACTGAATTATAAAGCTCTTCTAGTGCTGTGGTAAAGATAATCTCGCCTTTGATACCTTGTTGAAGTCCATGTAATGACTGCATTATTATGGATAATAAATGATTATACCTTTTAATCTCCTGATGCAAGACAATTAGCAAAGTTGAACTCATAAAAGAACTAGGACCTATAATAGAAAATAAGACCCACTGGTTATCTCACTGATAAGTAGAGCAAGTTAGCTGCATCAAGCTGAATATTTGGGGCACTACTAAAAGGCAGAAAACTGTCAATAATATACAAATATTATTATATATTTTCTTAGAGAGGGGACACTATTTGGATCTTCTGCTTCTGGCATATTGGTCAGTACCAACTTACAGTATTTACTTATTTAAAACATTTTTAGGGGACCTTTCCAGACAAGTCTTCTAAAAGCAGCATACAACAAGAAACACAAAGCTAAAGAATCGCAAAATTATTATTAAAGTTTTAAAATTTCAAAAACTTAAAGACAAGCAAAAACACTGAAAAATATCAAACAGTCAACATAAAATAAGTGTCATCAACCACAGTAAAAAAGCAACAAATTAACAGCATATTCAATAAAGCACATCAATTAAAAGTAGCTAGAAACATAGTTGTTAAAAGGTTTAACCAAGAGAGAAGGTGTTTGCCTACAGACACACACCCCTGAGCAAATTCTGGACTAATTCTTATGCATTTAGTTCCAAGATATTCCAGCTGTGACACAATGCCATAAATTCCTCCTGCTTCCATGTAAGAATACTCACTGCCAACACTCAGCATCAAATTGCTAATTAGGAGAAATCACCTAATCTTAGATGTTGGAGTGCTATATATTTTATCATTATTTATTGATTTTATTCCTCATTATGTATTCTCAACAATAATAAACAGACCAGAACTATATATACGTATATTCCTTCTTGCAAGATAAAGATAAAGATAAAGCTAAATTTAATTTTATATTATGTGAATCAAAGTTCTGACCTTTTGCAACCTTTGCAAGTGCAGCCCAAACTGAGCCTGACTTGAAGCTTTCAAATGTAACTTTTTCTTTGGGTTCAGTTTCAGGTGTCTGTCCCATAACTTCTACAGTCAGTGGTAGCCTAATTTGAATGTCAGATGCTATTTCCAATACTATTTCATCTGGAGTCTTTTTGCCACTAGAACAAACAAATAAACACCCAATGTCTTAGAGTTATCAATCATTATCAATCAAGTTAATGCCCCCCTTGTTTCACTGCATGTTGCTCATTGTTCGTTGTCAAATAAATAATCCTAGGCATTCTTTGTGGGGTAGTGCACCTGATTTTGCATATTACAGTACATATGCAAAAATTGGTTAATGCTAATATTCTCATGTTTATGTTGTCAATCCCACATGTAACTCCGAGAAGGTGTTGGGAAAATGAACAACAAAAGGAAATTAGAAGAGGTGAGAAGCTGCAACGAGCGGAGTCAGTAATGGGATCTTTTCTCTTCTCTGTTCTGTGTGAGGTTAGGGGATTTAAGCATGCTTAACTCTATTAGTTTGTGGTCATATTCCAGAAACAGAAGAAGAAATCTACAAAGAGTGACCTGATGATGAGAGTGTCTGTAGTCATTGCTGGTTGAGTCCTGGCAACTGACTCAATAAATAACTGTGCTTGAGACTTTAGGTATGCTCTTTCTGCACAATGATGCATTCCAAAGAGTTCTGGAGAATCGCTCTCCGGAAGAGATCGTAGATAGGCTCTGCATTCTTTCAAAGTATCTTTTTCAGATATGGGTTGATATACCTGCAAAACCAATGAAAAATGCTTTTCATCTACTAATGTCTTCAGCCCACATCCTCACAGGAGAACACTAGAAACCAAATAGAGCCATTGTTCAAGGTAGATCAGAATTCACCTTCAATAATAGATCCATACAAAATAAGTTTGCTCACAAAGCTAGGGAACATTGCATCGGTAGGAATGTCAAGTATATTCTGAATGATATTTATTTCCTAGTATAGGCCTATGAACTTTCACAGGCAGGATAGAATAGAATAGAATTTTATTATTACGGTCACAGACCAGATCCAGGTCACTTACAATATCAGGAAAATCATAAAATACAACAGGAATACATTGAATTGCAATTGGGTATGACAGAGACAATTCAGATATAGCGGCAGTTTAAAAATATATTAAATCTTGATCACTAAAATATAACATAAAATTATCATTTAAAACCTTAATCATTTTGGTAGTACAGCTTGTTCCCTAAGTTTTATGACAGTCACACAGAATTTGGCCACCCTTAGCGTGATCTATAGATCCTTGTCCTCTACCAGGAGTTTTAGACATTGAAGTTCGAACCCATTTGCAGATTTTTGTATAACAGGAGTGATAAATATGGCAGCGTAACAAGACACGAGAGACAGTTTCTACCTCCATCAAGCCGCAGGGGCAGACTCATTCCACGTATGGTTTCCCCTCGAATCTGCCCTGCAATAAGGCAGATGGCAGCACGTTGCACAGGCAGGATGTATGTGCTTTGGGAGATGGCGAGCTGGAGCTGCCACCCAAAGTGGCAAGACAAACCAGTGTTTCATGGGGGGGGGTGTGCTGCTACACCTCCAGCCGCTTCACTGCCAGCAATAGTGCCACCACTCCCCACACCATCATGCACCCCCTCTCACAACTGGAACAGGCACCCCCCACTGCCACTTCCTGCCTCTTGCCACCAGGAACCTGGCACTCAGTACTTGCCACTGCCAGGCGCTTACTGCTGCTAGGTGCTCCTTGGCCCTGATGGCTGCAGTGGCACACTCTTCTACAGTGGTACCCCGCAAGACGAACGCCTCGGAAGACGAAAAACTCGCTAGACGAAGAAGTTTTTCGTTTTCTTAGCCGCTTCGCAAGACGCATTTCCCTATGGGCTTGCTTCGCAAAACGAAGCTTGCCCCGCAAACTCCGGGGATAGCGGGGAAGCGCAGCGCGCCTTCCCCTCTGTCCCCGGACCCCTTTTGAACCAAGGGGCAGCAACGGGGAGAAGCGATCTTCTCCCCTCTGCCCCTTGCTTCAAAAGAGGTCCCCGGAGATTGCGGAGCAGGCCACGGGGAGAAGCAATCTTCTCCCAGCTGCCCCTTGCTTTAAAACAGGTCCGGGGACAGATGGGAAGGCGCACGGCGCTTCCCCTCTGTCCCCGGACGGTCTCCATAGGAACGCATTGATTGATTTTCAATGCATTCCTATGGGAAACCGTGCTTCGCAAGACGAAAAACTCGCAAGAAGAAAAAACTTGCGGAACGAATTAATTTCGTCTTGCGAGGCACCACTGTACTTGCCCTTGGGCCACCATCTTCCTTCTGCTCACCCTCTTCAGGGCAGCCCAGGGATGAGTAGAGGAGCATTCAACCACCATCCATGAGCACACCTCTGGGGTTGAGGAGCAGGAGGCAGCAAGCAAGTGCCAGTCGCCAGGTGGGGGGGGCAGGAGGGGGGGGACAACACTGGGGGTTTTGCCTCTAGTGGAAAGACGTCCTGGGCTGTCCCTGGTTATCAAATATGTCTGAACTCAGGGAATTCACTCTAAGAGAAGAAACAAGGTTCTGAAGCCATGGTTTGAGCCTGACTGGTCATTTAAACTCTCATATGCTCTAGCCAGCCAGTGTTAGAATTCCTGCTCCATGATTGCAGTCATGGGATTTTTGTCTATCACATGACGGTGTATGTTTTGTCTCCACAGAGTGGGAAGTGACAGAAACAGGATGTTTGTGTTACTGTGTTCCGTGAAGTGGGACTATTGTCCTTTGTTGTTTCTCTTTGCTGTCTGATGCTAGAGAGAGAGGGAGCCATGTTGCAGTGCTCCGTGTGTGTTTATTTGTAAATAAAGTAGATAAGCCAAAACACTGAGTTGCTGAGGTCTGTTACGCAAGCTGCGAAGACTCTGTGGATCCCTGATTGTGTCGATGTCTGTTGGCATCAGTTGCTGTGATGTTCGGGCAGAAGAAAGCTTTTGAAGCTCCCGAATGATCGACCAGGAGGAAGGGAACATGTCAGTCGGGCATGTGTCTCTGCCAGGTTCCTACTCGAGAGTAGGACAAGCTCCTGACACAGAGTTCCCTGAGTCCAGATAACAGTTTTTCCATGGCTAGTTCTGCCCTTTTCTCCTCTTGGCAGTGTATATTAGGTTCCAGTCTAGAGAGAGACAGAGGCATTAAGATGCTCGTAGGTGAGCGATGTCTCTGCAGTGCAGAGCTGTCCATGCAAAACAAGTCTTTTGGACCGAAATGTACAAAACAGCCAAAGTAAGAGTATCACACCTGGCACTTAGACCCTTTTTGACTACACTTTTATAACAGAACTGTGGTTAGTTTAAAATCACAACAGAAAGTTTTTAATCTCCTCCTTTTGCATGCAAAAGAGGGACACAGGTGAGAAGGGAGGGTAAAATGTGATCCTAAGTCTTGCTATGGTGCATGCACATACAGTAGTAGGAAACCATGATTTCCTGTTAGGGCTGAACCAACCCTTTATATAACAATGTACAGGTTGTTAAAGGGCTGTAAAATAATGAAAAAATAAATGGCTTCCCCTACCCAATCAGTAGTGTAAGCAAAGTCCTCCTGCAATACAGAAGGGTTATAGAAATTATCCAAAATGTTAAGAATGCACCGACGATCCCAATTGTCAGTTACACGGCCTCCATATGTTACTTCGCCAGTCATATAACGCAGTGCTTCCCATGGAATCTTCTTTTGATTCCCAAGAAGAATCTCCAGCACCTGGATTGAAATCTTGGGAAGAAAATTTGAAAAAAGGTATTTTCTATTGTAGCATTATTTCTGTCTTGTCACTACATTTCCTTTTTTACAGAGACAAGCACTATGATCCAAAGAATGAAGCGACTAGCTCTGCCCCCCATGAGAGCTTTGGACTTGCGTGTCCTGAGGTGTCACTATCTGTACCATATGATGAACTATTTTTTGAAACGGAGATGAATTTAAAGAATAATTAAAGACATAGAATGAGGGTGTATTGCTTAAAGGAAAAAAATATATAAAAGCCACACAAGGCATGCCCAAACTATTATAATTTTCTGAAGTATCAGACTACATGAAGCTGTAAATGCTTCATTCACTAGTCCTTTTGCTGGTATTGTAAACAAGACATGTATTTAGTGTCCTTTGTGGCTGGGTCTTGTCATAGGGGTGTGAAAGGGGTGTGCCCAAGCATTCCCTAAAGTTTTTTTTTTAAAAACTAGGGATCGTGGCAATGAGGAGAGTAAAGAGTACAACTTACAGGCAACTGGAGGTGGGGGAAGAAGAGGCAGGAGGCAAGAAGCACACAGATAAGAGATGCATTCAGATTTAAAGGTTTGGAAAGGACCTAGAATGGATTTTCTGCTTCTGCCTGTGTCTGTCTCTGGATTGTGGTGATGGAGTGACTGGCTCCAACAGCAGCGGTAAGTGGGGGGGGGGGGCAAATCATCTCACCACTGCTTTCAGAGACAGATACAGGCAAAAGCTGTAGACCAATATTGGCCTTTTTCTTTTGCCTGTGCCTTTCTCTTATAGCTCTGTCTCCACCTGAGCTTCGCTCACCACCTTCTATGGAGAGAGATCCATGGGGGTGACGGGGTGCTTTTGTAATGTGCAAGCAAGGAGGAGAAGGAGCATCATCAGATAATTACAGTGAGGTGACTGAGGAGTTTAAGCCCATAACACTAGGTGAGCGACATCTTATTCTCTAGGACAGGAAGATGTTTTCATCAATTTTGGTTAGTGCATCTGGTTCAAGATAAAAATAATCAGAAATGACTGTATCTATACACTTGGTTATCACTACAGCAGAAATTTGGTATTTTGTTTCCATTGTTTAAGCTGGTACTCATTAAGTACACATTTAGTATTAATTTAAAAAAATAAATTTTCATTTATTTGTGAATATTGGGTATGCCTTGGCAATTCCTTGCTTCTGTATCTGCTAGATTTATGGAGGCATGGAAGCACTACTAGGCGCAGTTTGGAAATTATGGTTATAATAGGTATTATTTTAAGATGATATTATTTACAATCATGCTTTTATTTCGGTCTGCAAGACTTCCTCTTACCTCTAAATCTGAAGAATTAAATTCATATGGAATGTTCCAGCCCAAAGCTCCATATTTCTTTCTTTCATGAACTACAGCACTGAAGAAGCACAGACTGAACAGCAACCTTTTCCATGATGGCCCACAGGTGGTGGTGTTGAATACAGCTTCCGTTACTATTTCAGTACCACTTACTCCAAATGTTTGAAGAAGTGTTCCCTTTAGTCCATGGGGAGGTTCTATTACAATCTTTAGAAAATATGCAGGACGGTTTATGAAAAAAACAAGCAGACTTCAGCAAAATAAATATATTACCTTCTAGTGAATCACGGAAAGATTATTGTAAATACATTTAATTACATGGAAGTCCTCTGAAAGCAGCTGGACTTTCCTTTAGCTGGATGTAATTCTGAGAGAGGTACAGTGGTGCCTCGCAAGATGAAAAGAATCCGTTCTGCGAGTCTCTTTGTCTTGCGGTTTTTTCGTCTTGCAAAGCAAGCCCATTAGCGGCTTAGCGGATTAGCGCTATTAGCGGCTTAGCGGGCTTAGCGGATCAGCTGTTAAGCGGCTTGGCGGCTTAGCAGATCAGCTGATAAGCGGTTTAGCGGATCAGCTGTTAAGCGGCTTAGCGGATCAGCTGATAAGCGGCTTAGCGATCAGCTGTTAAGCAGCTTAGCGGCTTAGCGGATCAGCTGATAAGCGGCTTAGTGGCTTGGGGAAAAGGGGGGGGGGAGGAAAAAACCCCTGCAGGAACTCGCAAGACATTTTCGTCTTGCGAAGCAAGCCCATAGGAAATTCGTTTTGCGAAGCACCTCCAAAACGGAAAACCCTTTCATCTAGCGGGTTTTCCGTCTTGCAAGGCATTCGTCTTGCGGGGCACCACTGTATATTCAAGTCCCAGTGAAATCAACAGAGTATAAATCTTCTACCAAGATGTTGGTTTATTTGCTTTTAAAGTACTCTACCTTCCCATAACCACAAGGCAGCTTATGTAACACAGCCATTCAGGTGTGCAGGCCAACTGGTTGTTTGAATTATTCACCTCAAGGCCTCTGAACCATCCCCTCTAATTGAAGGGATTACTTTAAATCTTACCTTAAGGCCCTTGCGCAAGATAGGTATAGGGAAAGATGGATCTGGCGTTGAACTTAACCAGAGTCTAAACTGAGGGTCTATATTTGTCTGTGATCCAGTAAATCTGTAGATAGAACAAATTTTGTAACACCACCACTGTCTAAAAACAGACTATGAAGTTGTACTGCACGGCGTTCAATATTATTTAACCAAGAATTCATCTTTACAAGAAGTGGTATAACAACAACTGTACACATACCTACAAAAGCAGCTGTATCTCACAATCCCCTTACATAGATCTAATTACTACTACTTATTTTTATTATAATAAATTTATATATTGCTTATTTGCCAAAATGGCTTCGGAGTGGTTTACAAATGTAAAACCAATTATAAAAATACATCCCATTAAAAGAGTGAAACAATTAAAACAGCATTAAAAGGGTTACAACAGGAGGATCAGGTCAAGGGATCAGGAGAATGCTTGTCTAAACAGGTTGTCTTCAAGAGCTGGCACAATGTCAATATTGATGGGGCCTCTTGCATTTCAGCAGGGAGACCATTACACAAAACTGTTGCTACTCCACCAGTGAAAAAACATCTCGAATACAGTGTAGCTGAATCTCTCCACCTAGTCAAGCATCTAGTATTCCAACCTTCGACTCCGAGGGCCAGGTCACAAAAACTAACAGCATTGATTCTCTTCATACCATCACATTCTGATGTAGGAAACTGTTTAGGAAGGCTTAAGTTTGAAGTTAAACTGCTTGCTTAACATGGGGACAGCAACAGTATTTTTGTGTGATTTTCCAAGCAACTGTGACAGTGTAAAATTTAATAGTAATGAGGGATAGAGAACATTGTAATAAGATAAACACTGACAGAATATAGTCTTCCCTATAGGGAACTGCATTCCAAATATGAAATTTCTTAATAACTGTTAACCACTGGTGCTATTTCTCTCTATCATGTTACTCTAAAGTCAGAATCCATAGAAATGTGTTTATGAAGAGAATTAAATGCAGAATTAAAATGCTGGTAAATGTTCATGAAGTGTGCTTTTTTTAATTGTAAATTGCTTCAGAAATGTGGAGAACTGAATTTAAAAGTGGAAAAATGAGAAACTGAGAAAACAAAAATTGACAGATCCTTCCATCCCTGTGTAAGAGTAACACTTCTCACTCAGACCAGAAGTTTATCTTGTTTTGAATTCTGTTCTCACACAAACCAACCAGATAGGAAGTCAACAAGCAAGACATGAGTGCTATAGCACCTCCCACTCATATTCCCAGGAACTGGTATTCAGAGACCTACTACTTCTGATAAGGGAGGTAATATATAGCTAATTTATAGCATTTTCTTCCATGAATTTGTGCGATCTCTTTTTAAAGCCATCCATCTTAGATCCTTGAGCTAAGTGGAGAAAATTGTTCAAAATATAGACTACTCCCTATTAATTGAGTGATAGTCAGCATAATTCCCTAGCAGTAATTTAATTCAGCTTCGGGCAAGCTCAAAATAACTGGTGAATAGCTGCAGAACAGGAATGAGCAACCTATGGCTGTCCAGATGTTGTTAAGACTTGGACTCCTATCAGCTTCAGCCAGCATACACAATGGTCAGGAAATCAGGGAGTTCAGAAAGTGGTTGAGAATGAGAAGGCAATTAATAAATCAAAGGTAATAATAATAAATAAAAAAACTATATTTGATTCCTACAAGGCAAATGGTGCAGTAATGCCAGCCTACTCTGGTCCTCACTCATCTGAACAAAACTGCATATACAAATAAATGCTAGGGGAAAACACTTACGATTCAACAATTTTGCAGAGTCTGGGCATAAATGAAGCTGCAAGATGACAGTTCTGGAGGAATACCCACTGTCCCTGCAGTATGCTTGATTTATATATCAAATCTTCAGCTTTGCTCCCTTGACCACGTCCCAGAGATATCATTTTCACATGTTGTGTACTTCCTTTTATTTCCTGGGCAAGGCGTAGAAAGAGAGCTGCAATATCTACACCTGTGTAGCATACATAATAACGGTTTTATTTCCACATCCAGAAACCTATTATATTGGGTCAATTAAAAGGTGTGCATATACGGTAATACTTTATGTAAAATGTATGCTGCTCTACAGAAGAATGAGCAGACCTAACATAGTATTCTATATTGCATCATTAACACGATGCCACAGGAATGAAATGACTAGATGGTTTTAAAGGGGGGAAATAATTTGGCATCTCTTTTTTGTGTTTGCCTGCTATCATTTTCAGGCTGTTGTGCACAAATTTACTGTGCACACTTACTTGGAAATAATAGACCTCAGTGGGAAATATCTGTGTAAACATGAACATGATTCTGCTGTAGAAACTAAGTAGGGTAACGCAGAGGCATGGGCCATCTATAAAACAAATAAACTTTTCAATACAATTTATGCCATTGTTATACACTTTACACTAACATACCCAAACCAGCTAAGCGACTGTATTAAATTTTATTACTTTCAATTGACTATTAACAACTAGCACCAATTAGATTGGGCCATATATTTTCTTCCTATGTTTTCTTCCTATATACATAAAAATGTAAGGCAGTTGTCATGCTGCATTTTGCATGGCCATCAACAGGCAGCCATACAAGCTCCAGCTTGACAACAGAATAGCAGGCAGGCAAGGGAGAGAGCAAGCAAGCAGTGTGGGCAGCAGGTGGCCAAGGTGAGCTATTTAATGGAGCGGGGAGGCACTTTGGCAAACCACTATCTGAAGCACCTCTCCCTCCTTTAAATGGGCTGGGGTCTGGGGTGAACTGTGGGGGGGGGGAGGTGCTTGGAGGGAGCTGGGGGGGGGTTGGGTGAGGTGTAAAGAGAGAAGAGTTTGCTCAGGTATAAAGGGAGCAGGGATTGGCCAGGTGTCAAGTAAGGTGGTTGGCAAAGGGGTTGGCAGGGTTGCCAAGTGGAGCAAGCAGGGTCAGCAGCGCATGGTATACTCATATAAATATAGTGAAGGGCAAAGCAATCAAACCCACCCCCTTTTACAGGACTGGCGAGGGGGTTGGATTAGGTAGAAGTGACCCTCTGCCCAACTCTCCCAGTTTAGCTGGGCTCCCACCGGCCACTAAATTTGCAGTGTTCTGAGAGTAGGGCTGAACTGCCCAGGATCTGCTGGATCTCAAGTGTATCTTACTGCCATAATGTGAAGGCATCAGGTCTGAGTACTGTGTCAGACTGAAGCTGGCGAAGTGTTTGGGTCCAGATTTGGCCAGATTGTCCTCCCCTTCTTCCACTGCAGTCTTCGTGTGTGGCAAGCCTGTGAATGTATTGGCAACCCTGCTACTCTGCAAAGCCACATGGGGGAGGGCATTCAGATTGTACCCTAATTCATAAAGCAGGTTTTACATACTCATCCTTTATAAATGCTCACCTTGAGTATGAATGAGAATTATTGGAGTTATGGCATTAGATTCTTCTTCATATACTGCTTTCAAATTAATTCCTCCAATCTGAAGATAGTAATTCCCCAATTTCTCAGCTACAAATGTATGTACTGCACTAGTTAAGCTTTCTAACCGAAGAACTTTTATCTATTAAAAAAAATATGATAATATCACTGAATTCATGAAAGATATGATTCAGCAAAGTGAAGCACCTTTAAATTCCATTGAGTTCATTGTGAAAGCACAGCACATGTATCTCTCTCCCCCGTTGAAATACATGCAACTTAAATGTGCTTAACTATGAAAGGATTGCATCTGAATTCCTTAAAACTATCACTTCCTTAATTGCTGTGAGGGAATTTGTGCCCTCAAAAGCTCAAAATATTTGCAAGCAGAAGCTAAATATAAAGTGATCCCTATTGACTAGATTCCACTAACAAGTACTGCAACATATAAACATAAGGAGCAACCTGCGGGATCAGGCCATTGGGCCATCTAGTCTGGTATCCTGCTCTCACAGAGGTGACCAGATGCCTGTGGGAAACCAGCAACAAGATCTGAACACAATAACGTTCTCCCCTCCTGTGGTTTTCAGCAACTGGTACAGTGGAACCTCGGTTGTCGAATGTAATCTGTTCCGGAAGACTGTTCGACTTCCGAAACGTTCAACAGCCGAGGCGCAATTGCCAGTCGGCAAATCTCTTTTTAAAAATGGAGAAACACACCTCAGAAGCCGTTCGACTTTCGAGGCATGTTTGAAAACAGAAGCATTCACTTCCGGGTTGTCGTTGTTCAGGTTCCGAATTGTTCGACTGATGAAGTTTTCGACAACCGAGGATCCACTGTATTCAGAAGCATCACAACCCTGGCCTCTGACTGTTGAGGTAGAGCATAGCCATCAATAGGCCTCTCCCGCATGAATTTGTTGAATCTTCTTTTAAAGCCATCCAAGCTGGAGGCCATCATTGCCTCCCATGGGAGCAAGTTCCATAGTTTAACTATACAGTGGTACCTTGGGTTAAGTACTTAATTTGTTCTGGAGGTCCGTTCTTAACCTGAAGCAACACTTTAGCTAATGGGGCCTCCTGCTGCCGCCGCGCCGCTGGAGCACGATTTCTGTTCTCATCCTGAAGCAAAGTTCTTAACCCAAGGTACTATTTCTGGGTTAGTGGAGTCTGTAAGGTGAAGCGTATGTAACCCGAGGTACCACTGTACTTGATTTTGGCTAAAAATATTAGTAATTTTGGACACTGACATTTATTTATGTACACTAACTGTACCACTGTACACTGTGTGAACAAGTACTTTATTTTATCTGTCTTGAAACTTCCAACATTTAGCTTCATTGGATGTTCACAAGTTCTAAAGTTACACGAGAGGGAGAAAAAACTTTTTCCTATCCACTTTCTCCATGGCATGCATAGTTTTATAAATTTATATCATGTCACATCTTACTTGACTTTTCTCTAACACTGCAATCTTTTAAAGATGAAACCTGTGCAAAGACATCTCCTAGTGCAATTGAACTTGCCCCCCTTCTCCTTCCTTGTGCACATCCCAAATGGCTCTGAGGGAGACATGTGAACCCCCAGAACAGCATGTGGAAGGAGGGGGGAAACATTCTGTTGAGCAAGGAGAAATCCTTGCACTGATGGAGCATTTGCAATAGCACAATAGTGAAATCCTCCCAAAAGATACCAAGTTGTATTCAATGTATCACTAAAGTGAATGATCTGTCAGCACATAGATTTCTTCTTGTGTAATAAAATGTTCTCCACCTCTTCTCCCCCATTCCTCCTACCAAATCTGTTCTGGGGTGTTTCAGAGGAGATTTGGGAATAGTGGGTGGGTGGTGGTGGAATAAAATCCCATTGTGCTAGCAAGAATTTAGTTGAATACTTCCCACTTGATTTTACTTACCAAAATAAGTCTTTCGAATGCAGAAAGTTTCTCCCAAGGGAAAATTAAAGGTCCACTCTCCTGCTCATCACTTTCTCTCAGCTTTGGGTCTGTAAGAGATTAAATAGTAATTTACAACATTACTGAAACTTTGAAACAGTTGAAACCATATAAAAATGTTGCAACAAATTTGTAACTTTTATACAGCAATATAATTGAATAACATAACTGCCAGGATAAAAGTGAAGCGTGGTAGTTCTCAAACGTTTCCCTGAGCTACACTTTCAGAATAAAAATTTGCTCATACAACACCAATTTTTAAATTGGTAAGAAATACACTGGAAAACAAAAATAGACAACTCTTAGCAGTACTTGATTTATAACATAGAGTACAACTACCTTATGACCATGGGACATCTAGAAAGTATCAAACAATGCAGCTACAGAAAAACATGAACCATTCTCCAAATATAAATATAAATAAATAAATAAATAAAATATAAACGAGCCTCTTACATATGTACCTTATGTATACAAACTCAGTGAGAGGTGTGAGCTTGCTTTAGCTGGGTAATCTCATTTATATTAGGTCTAATTTGAGACAAACTCTCAAATCATCTACACGAATAAGCCTTTCTCTTCTCTGATCTTTCATATTTGTCAGAGTTGTAAATCTCTGTTCACAACAATAGAACTGTAGAATAGCTATTGTTCTTGAAGAGAGGAGTAGAAACAACTGGCTGGGAAGCCAGAGGGTCAGAGCGATGCTTGATTTCTGTCTGAATCCAAGGCAAGCAAGACCCTAATGCTGTTGACTCCTCCACTGGAGGCTCAGGTTGTATGTATGTGTAAATAAAGACATCTCTGATGTAACCCTATTCCAAAGGAAACATGAACCCCAGGTAAACACCAGAAACCCCTGGAATCTCACACCACTCAAGAAATTGGGGTGGCATGCAACATTATAAAAGCCTTTTGTGGACTGGAGTCTCACTACATCAGATGCATGGATTGTGATTCTAAGTTGTCAGGTGCAAATTTCCAATGCTCTCTCATCCAAAGGAAACTAACCCCAGGAGCATTGCTTCTTCAATTTTTCATGGTTTGGGGACACAGGGAGTGTTTTCAACAATAGGTTAGAAAGGCATGCTGAAAATCAACACATAGTTTTACATCAACACTTACCTTGCCTTGGTGACACTGGTCTATAGCTTGTACTGATCAAATAATATACATTCTGACTATTTAGAAAAGCTCTCCATTGCTGAGAATTTGTTGAAAGGGAATCACACAACAGGCTGAATGCTGGCATGTGAGTGCTCATGTACCTGCATTCTTTCCACATCATGTCAGTAATCCAATGGAGTGGAGGAGTTTTCTTGAATGCACGTGAACCTAATTGAGGAATAATAATTATATTATACATTTAATTAGTGTACATATCTACTTTTGAGATTTGCAGTCCTGGGATGCCTTAGATTTAAGTTCAATGGATTTCAATCAGGCCTGCTCTCAGATAAATGGGTATAGGATTGCAGCCCTAGAGGAAGTTGTTTCTACTCAGAAATTGGCCGTACACAATATAACAGTATTCCATTGATATTACTTCCACTTTGTTTGAACTTTTGTCAAAAACTACATTACAATAGGGAAGATTCTAACACTTGTTAAATTCAGAATTTAAGTGCAATAGTTCCTTAGTAATTCACCCCAAATCTTTATAACTATTCTTAAAATAATTATAATCACTATAAATGGAGTTGTCTGTCTACATGTGTCTCCAGACTGTCTGTATTTTGAAGGAAGGATTCATACCTGGAAATTTAGGTTTTCACAATTAAAGTGGATTAAATCACTCTATCACCCTAGTACGACAATTTCTTTAAAAAGAAGCAGACTTTTTGGTGTTAGGATCAATGAAAGATCAATGGGGTGGGGAAACATCCACAAGTACATCAGAATGAATGCTTAATAAATACCAGATATAATCTAATCTCTATGTGAGATTTGTGCAAGGAATTAACGATAGCTCAATATATTGGAGGAGGTCCACAACTACTTTTTTGGTAGCTTGTCCTACGGTCCTCTAACTGTTGTTTTTTAGTTCATGGATGGCAGGAGTGCCAAGTATAGGGGATCCTGGGGACTCAAGCATCCTCAAAAGGTTTGTTCTGGGTGCTCAGCACCCACACCGCAGGGCCCCTGACACAACTTCTGGTGCCTCGCAAAGCACCAGAAGTCACATCTGAGGCATTGTGAAACCTCAGGTATGCTGTCCAAGGCCTTACAAGACCTCGACCTTCAGGTTCTGAGGCCATGGGGTACATGACATCATGACGTCACATCACAGTGTGTGCTGGGCACCCATAACCTGGGGCCCAAGTGTTTCTTCCATCCCCACAAGTCCATGATTTCTGCATTGCAGGAGGTTGGACCAAGTGACCCTTTGGGACCTTCCATCTCTACAGTTCTACCCATTGAAGTGCCTTTACTTGAGTTTAGAAATTAGAAAAGGGCATGCCTAATTAGTACATCTTTAAAAAATGAAAAACAGATTTTTTTCCCTTAGATTTTTCAGTTTCCATCATTGCCAAATTTCATTCTCACTTGTAGAGACAGGAAAAGAAATCTGTGTTTGTAGTATAACAGATCTAAAGAATCTCTAATGTGAGGGAACAATGGAAATTTTAAAGATATTGCACTGGACTCAGGCTACCCGTGGGCAGAAGCTGCCTGTGGGAAGTTCTATTTGAAGAAGGGGTATAAGTGGCGATTTGCCGTTTTGTGCTCCCTGAAAAGGTACTCTGAAGGATTAGAGGACCCTCCAAACATAATGGGGGCGGTGCTGGGGACTGCAGGGGAAACAGCATATATCAATTCTCTCCTATTGGGAGTTTCCACTGATGTGTCTTTTCTGCAAGTAAAAGGAGCTGTTTTAGAAATGGCAAGTCTATTTCTGAGAGGTGCCTGAGAGTACAATTTGACCTATACATTCACTGAATGTGGCCTTCTTTACCAGTAGTCTCAGAGTCCTGCGTGTCCATAATATTTGCCATTATGCTAGACTGAAGGAAGAACTTCCACTGATTCTCTGGTATAAATCCAAGCTTGTTAATAAATAGATTTCCATCATACTTATTTTTCATAATTGCTGTACACATCAGAAAAGCAAAGCATAGCTGATTCTCACTGAACAGAGCTGAAGAAACTCTCTGTTGAATAAGAAATTTAATAAAAACACATTATATTTTACAGATACTAGTATTAGCCAAAAATCATTTGTGTAATAAATTCAGGTACACACCTTATAAACATTTTTTGTTAATTTCTCTATTATAGCATTAATATGTCCTTGGAAATTGACTGCGATACTCTCTATTTCGTTCTCATCTTCTCTGGCAGGAAGTCTCTCTGATTGAGTCCTAAAAAGTGACCGAGGCTTAAAAATTCCTGGGGCACTCAACGAAACCCCAATTTTTACTTTGAGTACGTACTCTACAGAGTCTTCAAAGATCTTATGAAACCACTCCAGGGGAAACTGATACATATAGTTGATATGAGAAAGATCTGATACTACAAAGTAGAGGATGGCGCCATGAGTTGCAATAGGAAGATAGCTTTCACGCAGTGCCTCTATTTTAACTTCTGTTGCTGCAGATGCTTCAACACGCTCAAAAATTTCTGTTGAGGTAATTTTAGATCTTTGCAAATTGTCAATAAGGTCTCCATCATCTAGAATATGTCCTACAATTTAAAGGAAGTTTACTTTATTTGTGGTGTAGAAATAAATCAAATAATGCATTATTGATTAAATATCCACTCTTCTGTAAAAAAATTTTTTTAATAAACTGGACTGTAATTGTGGATAAATCTAGTAAAAGAAACAAGGAACTTTTATGCTGCCCTTTAGTTACAGTATCTCCCAGTATGGCTAAAGTAAAATCCATAACAATAATAAGCAGGGTGAACAAGAACATCAATTAAATTAAATTTAGCAAATCAGAACAATACAACTATCAGATTAAACTGAACACAGATGACAAGGCCTGGGCAAGAACAAAAGGTCCAAATTTGTTGCTAGTTACTACTGCCCTAATATCTAAAGGCAGGAGGGGTTGGAAGAGGGCCTCTGGGTTGATTTCAGTATTTGGCCAGGTTTGTGTGAGAGGTGGTCCTTTAATTACAATTAGAATGGTTTACAATTTACTTTGCACAGCAATTTATTTATGCAAGTAACTAAACAGAGCACTGTTTTAGACCCATGAGATAGATTAGGTTGAGAGCTTCATAGAGGAGTGGGAATCTGAACCAGAACATCCAAACTAACATTCTAACCTCTGCCTGACACATGGAAATCGTTGCAGATTACCTTATTCATGTCATTTCATATAAAAAACAATTCATTTAATTTGTAACTTATTTAGTTACAGGTGCCTATAATTTGTTCAAAACATATGGATGACATTTCAAGGATTTCTGTACATTTTTCATTACCATCTGTTTTTTGGAGAAGCCTAAGTGACTTCTGTTCCAGTTCACGAAGTGTTATTAGGTCAGCAGATATGCTTTCTAGCAACTCACACCGCCGGTGTTCAACCTCTGGTTTCTCCTTAATTAGAACAGCAGATAAAAGCTGATCTTGCAAACCTTCAAATGTTACAGTGAAATTTATCATTGTCACAATACTGCATATTGCTGGCAGAAAATGGGGGTTGGGTTTTTGTGTTGTCAAGTATAATCTGAAACAATAATTAACAATAACATCAGGTGTGAGGCAAGTAAAGACATAGCTGAGTCAAACAAATATAGCTAATTTAAAATATAGTTAGTTTCAATTTACATAAGTAAAAAATTATATAGTGGTACCTCGGTTTAAGAACAGTCCTTAATACGAATGATTCGGTTTACGAACTCCGCAAAACCAGAAGGAGTGTCCCAGTTTGAGAACTTTACCTCGGTCTAAGAATGGAATCCGAACAGTGGAAGGGCACTGGCGGCGGGAGGCCTCATTAGGGAAAGCGTGCCTTGGTTTAAGAATGGTTTTGGTTTAAGAACAGACTTCCGGAACGGATTAAGTTCGTAAACAGAGGTACCACTGTATCACAGAAAAGAACAGTTACCTGAAGTTTTGGTTGCACTCAATTTCAGAATCTCCTATTCTAATGAAGTCTTGCCCTGATTTGTTGTAGATTTCCTTTTTTAATATTGGCTTCATATTTGAATCCAGTGTTTCACTGAAATCCTACAAAGCACAAAACCAGGTGCTTAAACCTGAAATGCAGTATGTGAGGGTGTTGACATCATAACTGGATTTATCCCCTCGATCAGAAAACCCTTGCCCACCCATCTTTTTCACCTTCTTAGGATGAGGGGACAGGGCAGGCTACTTTTGCCCCACAGCAGGCAGTGAGAATGAGAGGACAAGATGAAAGATGTGAACAGGGAGGTGTAGCAGCTGCAGAACAATCTAGTTTGCAGATTTAGGCAGAAGACATTGCGTGGACAGGCGGAGTCCCCAGATCCCAAGCGGTCCCCCCTGTCATGTGGAATAACGAGTCAAGACAACATGCTATGGGATTAAATTGGCCACAACTTTATTAAATTTCAAATGTGGGTAGACCTTGGCTCAGGCATTGGGCGTTCTCCCTCCCCAGTCCCCAGCCGGGGACCTAGGGAGCATCAGGGTTATCCAGTGTGTGTGTGGGGGGGGATGGGCCAGCTCTGGAGAACATATGTTCAAGTAGAGATAGCCGCCCCCGTTACGCCGCCGCCACAGGGGAGAGCAATGACGACCTTTCGGCGTACGGTCAAAGCCTCCCTTCAGAAACCCCTTTAACGGGGAACCCTGGTATCGCCGCCGCAAAGAGGAAGATGGACTAAAGGATTCCGCCCAAGTCCTGATACCGCCAAAGTTGTGACGTTTTGCTACAGGAAAGGCGAAACCTGCCAATGCAGGGAAATTCCTTTCCGGCCCTTTAACAGCGACCTTAACGTAGCAGCGCCCGCATACCTGTGAAGAAAAGTTAACCTGCAAAACCTGTGAAGAAAAGTTAACCTGCAAAATAAGACATTAACTGAGGGTGGGTAGGGTGGGAGAAGCTCTGGAGCCAAGTGAGGATTCCCAGGTAAGATCCTCCCTCTATTGTGTGGGCAGGTAATCCCTCCCTTACCTGGCCTGGTCTCCTTGGCAACGCTTCCCCCAGGTGGGATTGGACAACTGAGGTAGGCGGAGATCTCCAGGTATCCCACCTGAGGGAAGGCAAGCCAAGCCTATGCTGATGGAGCTGCTCCAGATCTAGAGGCTGCGCGCGTCCACGCAAAGGGCGCCCCCCGTTTTAAGCAGGGAGCGGTCATTCTTGTTTAGGTATGACACTTCCTACTGGAGAAATGAGGCTGAACTACCTGTAGTAGGACTGGTTCACCAAGACGCATAGAGTTTTCAAGTGTTCTAAAATAATGAGCATCCGTAACACGAATTTGGCGTAGTTTACCACTCATTTGACTTATCCATTTGTACGCTTGTCTTTCTGGATCAATTAGCAAAGGATAACGTTGTCCATACATAATATGTATAGCATTTTCTGTAGAGTACTGGTCAAGTGGCAAGCCTGCATTTTGCCACTTGCGGACCTGTAAAACACCAATTTTTAATACTTAAAGACTATTATCAACAATAATATTTGTTCCACAAATGATTTGAGTGATTCTGAATAATAACAAAAGAAGTATGATAGCTTGAATAAATCCCAAAAGATGATATAAATGGTAGAGGCATACTTTGGTATTTCAAATTTCAAGGTCACACAATACCAAAATTTGACACCCCCCGCCTCTACATACAATTCTGTGTATGCACTATGTTATAGTTGTGAAAGTCAGCTTGCATTCCAATGGGGGGGGGGCTGGTTGCACTGCCCTAAATCTACCTCTGCAAATGGGGCCTTTACCTAGTTAATTAGGTAGTGCCTCAGCCAGAAAAATTAGACTCTCTCTCTAAAAAAATCCCCACTCTCCTAGTTTAATTTAAATTTCAAATAAAACCTTGGAAATGTCATTCCCTCTGCCCATGCATTATTACCTCATTTTTTTCTGTCATGCAATTTACTAGCGAATAATTTGGAGATACTAGAATATTGCTTTCTTTGCAGAGTTTCAGACAGTCATTCACTAGTTGCTGACGATATGATGCTGATAATACTCCACTATAGGCAATACACGCTGCTGAAACAAAGGCATCACCCACGATTCCCTGCAACCTTTGATCGAAATTATTAACAGATTCTTTCCAGCGTGCCTAGGATATAAAAAACAATGTTTAGGGCCAAATATCACTGAGTACTGGACAAACTAGTTTGTTTAGAAAGTATAGCATTTGCAACATAATAAACCTATGACTTGTCAGTACGCAGCACATACTATAAGTGATTTTGTAACAATATTTACACTTGTGTAGATATTTATGTTGGGAGTATAAGAAATAGTTTAGTGCTGTGGTATTTGTGAAAAATGCTCTCATCCTACATTTGAAGGTACATAAATAAGCAGTAATTTTTTTTAGCCATTCTTCTCTGCTTTGATTTTGGAATAGCAATGATTTTTCTTTTTCTGAAATTTATCAATAGCTCAGTGAACAATATACAGTACCTTGACACCTGAAAACAACCCTACAGTAGATGGTTAAATGCCTAACAACTTCATTACTCTTTCCCCTTTATCCTAGGGCTGTGGTGTGTGGCAATGCTGGTGGAAACAGCTAGCCTCTGATGGCAAACACAGAGTATACTTCTCCACAAGAATACGGGAGGTTGTATGATATGGAAAAGGACCAACAGAAAAGACAGTCTAAGACAAGTAAACAATGAAGCCTAATATTAATTAGAGTCAAACATTAGAGCAGAAAGAAGTAATACCATTTCATCCTTCAGAGCTGTGCTTAACACAGATGCACAGTGTAAACGGCGTGTTGTTTGATCTTTTCTAGCTGCTAGCATTTCTTGCTCAGCAATACTTTCTCCAAAACTTCTTTCTAAATTTTGCTGATGTTGTTCAATCTGAGGAGTTAGAAATTAAAGGAAAACATACTATAGTGGCATATATTGCTGCTATAGATCATACTTTTTATTTCTAGCTCTTTCTTTCAAAACTTACATGAGGTTCTCAGTGGGTTCCTAACAAGGTACTAGACAAGACAGCAACTACTTGCCTTCAATTCTGCTATAATTGGGTCTATACATTAAGACAGGTTGCTTATCTGTAACTGTTGTAACAGACATTGTGCAATCATAGTTGTGGGTTCTGTGCAGAGCAATGCTGGGAGCTTTCTAAAGCTAGGTGAAATAGTTTGGGCAAGAAGCCCATTCCCAACCCCCTGTAAACATGAACAAAGGAGCATAGCTCCAGTCTTTCTGCTTATAGTGGGGTGGGAGAGCTGGAAAAAAAATTCACATCTGGCAACCAAAGCACCACTTTGGTTTCAGATAGTCCATAGGTAGATAATTATAAAAAGCCCAGGACACAAATTTTCACAGCCCTCTTGCAGCTATAGTGGCTCATTTACCTGAAGTAATTTGTGTCCCAGGCTTTTAAGACTCATCTATGTACTAGGGACGCGGGTGGCGCTGTGGTCTAAACCACTGAGCCTAAGGCTTGTCGATCGGAAGGTTGGCAGTTCGAATCCCCGCGACGGGATGAGCTCCCATTGCTCGGTCCCAGCTCCTGCCAACCTAGCAGTTCAAAAGCATGTCAAAGTACAAGTAGATAAATAGGTATCACTCTGGGGGGAAGGTAAACGGCGTTTCCGGGTGCTGCTCTGGTTTCGCCAGAAGCGGCTTAGTTATGCTGGCCACATGACCTGGAAAAACTGTCTGCGGACAAACATCGGCTCCCTTGGCCAGTAAAGCGAGATGAGCGCTGCAACCCCAGAGTCGTTTGGGACTGGACAACTGTCAGGGGTCCTTTACCCCTGCACATTGGTTGCCAGATGTGAAATACTTTGGCATTATTTTCAGCTCTCCCACCCCACTATTAGTTCCTAACAAATCACTGCAGCAGCTATAAAGGAAGCACCAGAGTAAGAGCAGGTCAAAGAGCAACACCTGGCACAGAGAAAGAGAATGGTGTCATTTTTCCTCACGGCAGTTCCTTCTCAAAGTCAGTGAAATGCATGGATGGGAAGAGGTAGATGGGTCAAACTAAGCACTGATAATTCAAGGGCACATGATAAAAATTCAAAAAAATCCAAAGCACCATAAGATACCAATCCTGCCTCAAAGACATTTGAAGAGAGACACCATATATAAATTATTGATGATGATGATTATGATTAGCAGTAGTACTGTAGTAAATTTGTAGGACTACACAGAGATCACAGAGCAGAACGAACATAACATTGTTTCCCATTCTACTTATCTGCAATTTTCTCTGCTTGTTATCAAACTGAGCTGATTATTTATTATTCCTGATTTCTACTATTTCACCCCCTATAATACATATCAATCTTATTTTCTTAAAAGTTTTGGTATCCTTGCTAAGAAAAAAGAATTACATTTTAAAATGTACAGTATGTGTAAAAAGTGAATTATTTATTTAATACCCATATGTGAATATGTCATGGGAGGGGGAATGGCTCCTAGGAAAGCTGCTCTCTTCATACAATCATTATTCATACCCACACTCCAGTCCCCAGGTGGCCTTTGTCTTCACTTATTTCACACCCTTTAGGGAAGACTGAACTTTAACAGCAGATCATTCTAGATGCTCATTCCTAGGCTAGACGCTCCTGCTGAAATACTTTTTAATAAAAAAGTAGACAGATTTTTTTGCCTCCATAAGATTTTTTTAAATAAAACAATATATCCCAAACTGAGACAGACACAAACTTTATGTTATTTAACAAGCAATATAAATTCTATAGTATATAACAAGTAGAATTCTTTTACCAGCACTAAACTTCTTTGTTTATCAGTCAGTTTTTCATGTGCAAGTTTTAGGAGCTCCTCTGCTTCAGCTACCTTCAATTGTTTTGGCTCTACAAACTATATAAGAAGATATATTTATAATTCAGCTTGAAGGAAGGAATATGTCTATACGGAACTCACTGGACAAACAGAAAAAATATTTATGTACAATACACATATGCAAATTACACATTCTGCTTCATATGATTTCATTGAAAACAGCACCTCTGTGTCAAGTTCTTTCCCCACTTTCTTATGTTTTGGCACATTTACTGATAATGTGCCACATTACATTTCATGCTCATCTGTCCCCACCAGCCCATGATACATTGCAGAACTGTCAAAGTGCATAACACAATGACTTCCTAACTTGGGGAAATTTACCTAATAGTTGCAGTGAAGACTTGGGGATATGGGCTAGGGGATGGAGACTCAACATAAGGATGTTTTTTCTCTGTGGCCATCCCACGTTCAGCATAAACTGTGTTATTATCTCACATGTGCTTATAAGCAAAGTTGTAATAGAATGCACCAATACACACTTCCTTACACATAGCTGGCTGGAATAACCATAAGTAGGACTCTGGAGAAAATGTGGCTTTTGGTGTACTTATGAGAATGGCTGTGGAGGATATAAAATAATCTATCCCCAGAGCTCAGAACATGGTGTCTGTTTCTCATCACATGGTGAGGAGCTATAGCAATGTTCCCAGTTATTTTTTTAAAAAAGAAGATACTAGTAGCCCACATAGCAGAACATCCCTGTTTTCATCAGAGAAATGTTGGAGGGTATGTGCATGCATGCAAAGGAATTTCCATACTAGACTTTATTCTTTTCTCCTGCACTAATAGTCTAATTTCCCCTCTTCTGTATGCACTGATTTGTATACATTGTAGAATATGCATATTTATACACGCAGGAGAGAAGGCAGATTGTGGCCTGTATAATCAGAAAGTTACGTTCAAAAGGATACAGTGGTTTTGTTTTTTAATTCCTCAAATAATTTTGGCTGAAATACATTTGCAAAACTGAGTACAAATTCCTGTTTAATTTTATTTAGAATATCTCCCAACATAAACAAAACATATTTTTAAAAGTTTTTCTTATGAGGACATTATTTTAACAACTTTTTATGATGATTCAGAAACAGTAGCTGTAAAGATACCTTTTTTACAAGGTGATAGTGATCTAAAGCTAAAACCCATTGACACATGGAGCAGCAGGCAACAGACACAAGTCCTACTTTTAAGGGGTTGAAATCAGGCATCCTTACATATTTTTTCAACTGCAGAAGCACCTAAAATGAACACAGATCAGTTGTTAAAACCAATGAATTAAAACAATAATAGAGACTCAGCTATACAGCTGCAAATAAAACGTTTTAAGTGTCTTTTAAGTGCAATATACAATGTGACACTAGGTGGCGATGCTGAGCCTTATGGAAAATTTCATGTAGTATTAAAAATGCTTTTAAAAAAGCAGTGTGTAGCGAATAGGGGCAGGGATGTCATCAAATATTATAGGATGGAGGAGAAATTGTCTAACAGCTCTGGAGGAGCTTTAAAAAGAAACAATTTCCAAAAAAATTGCCAGGACATTATTTGCTGACCAGTTTTGGGTCAGTCCTGCTTTCATATTTTACCCAACTGAGTGACTACAACATTTAATTATTTAATGTATTTCTACCCTACTTTCCAGGGCAAGCCCTTACAAGGTAGCATACAACAAAATATTAAAACCTAAACAATGGACAAATCATGTAATGAACATAATACCAGATAAAACTCATATATGGGGAGTGAGGGGGGGGAATCATTACATCCAAGACCAGATAACTTAATGACTTTGACAGCTGATATGTCAACAAATATTAAGTTACTTATGCTTACCAAAATCAGGTGAATACATAAGACTACATGAACTCAGGACTGGAGAGCTAATACATCCTATTACTCTGAAGCTCTGAAGCCGACTGAGGATTCCCAGGTAAGATCCTCCCTCTATTGTGTGGGCAGGTAGTCCCTCCCTTACCAGGCCTGGTCTCCTTGGCAACGCTTCCCCCAGGCGGGATTGGACAACTGACTGAGGTAGGCGGAGACCTCCAGGTATCCCACTTGGGGGGAAGGCGAAGCCAAGCCTATGCTGATGGAGCCGCACTGGGTCCAGGGGCTGCGCGCATCCACGCAAAGGGCGCCCCCCGTTTAATGCAGGGAGCGGTCATTACCCCACATCATTCCACACATTGGAAACAGTGTGAAATTTGCCCCTTTGTGCCTTTATAAATATACAAAGAAGAGTGAGTATGCCATATAAGACACAGAGTAGTAGGATGCCATAATTTGTAGCACAGAACGGGGGAGTATTTTTTGGAATACAAAACCATTTCTTCAGGCCAATTTTTAAAAACAAAAGCAGACTTTTCCAGCTGTCTTCGTCCAACTGGAATTCTAGGCATGCCTTGTGTGTGTGATTTGGCTTTGCTCAGAGAATGACAGCGTCAATGCAGTAATCAGGGATGACCACAATGGTGCAAACCAGAGCTAATCCAAGCAAGTGTGTCACACACAGGAGGCTGTAACCGCTAATTGATCTCTCAAAGCACCTATAATTCAGCTAAAACTAATCCTCTATGAGTAATCCTTTAGCAAATCAAGTGTCCATTTTACATTTTTTAAAGAGGTTCACTTTCATCCCTTTTCAACCTGTAGAGCAAGCGCACTTTACAAAACTAAAACTTAAGGTTTTTTTTACTTTTCAGAGAACTATGTTAGTATGACTCAGGCTAGCCCAGGAAATTTATGACATGTGCCTTTTGTTATATAATGGCATTCATATCCAGTCCAAACATTTTGTGAAAAGCCTTTTTAGTTTCATGCTGAGGTTTGCCTGTCATTTCCCCCTGTAACTAGTAGCATTTATTAATTCCATTTTTTCCAGCTTTTTGAAACCACTCCTGAAGGCTGCTCCACATTATTTTAGATATGTTATCCAACTGAATAACCATGGGAGATGATTTCTCATTCTTTTGGAAGTTAAAGACTTTAACTTGATTGCTTTCATGCTTTTCTGCCGCCACCACCCTTACCCTTTGCCTCTGAACCATGCTTGTTATTTTCCTCAGGATTAATGAGGAGTTCTCTACTGAGAGGCCATTGTCTTTCTAAAAGGGGAAGGTTTTTCTATTCATAAACCAGGCTAAGTGGGTTCAATGGAACCCAAATTAAAAGAGAAAAGAGAAAAACTTAAAGGAGGAGAAGCACCTCAACTTTTCAGAAGTAATGGGGACCTCATTGTTACAAGAGATGACACCTTATTGTCCCCATTCATTTAGGGGCATTGAACCCCAGTCTCTCACAACAGCCCATAAATAATTGCACCTGGCTCTTGGATATAGACTTCTACCCATTTGTGAGTCTTCCACCATGTTAGTGAACATCCAACTTTTTGCCTCCCCATTTTAATCTTACTATCAGACAGGGCAAACTTGGGATATTAACTCTAGATAGTTTCAAATTCCTGTATTTTCCTAACGTCATTCTTTTTAGCTTTCACAAAACCAAGACAGCCAGTACTTTGCAAGAGAACTTCCCCTTTCCTGATCGTTTTTCTTTCTTTGTAGCTTAAGATGCATTCACAGAAGGTGACCCTATACTTTTAGCCTTCTCATTTCCTATTTCTGAAATGGTAACTAAGTAAACAGACCAGGAGAAAAAGAAAATTGCAGTATCAGCTTGAAATGTGCATTAAAATGACGTAGCTTATTGTTTAAGGTAATCTATCTGAAAATTCTTAGGTATACAATAGAAGAAACAAAAATAATATACACTGCATCCTTCTTTTACCTTTTCTGGTAGATTATCTTTGTCAAGATTAACCAATCTCTTTAGGAACCCAGGATCTGCAAGCAGTAATTTTGCTGTTGTCCAGTTAGGTTTCTTTTGAAGAAGAACACAAACTGCATTCATAACAGTAAGTACAAGTGGAGGAGGGCGAGCATACACTCTGTGCGATACAGAAGAAAAGCCAACTGAACAAAATGCACTAAATACCTTTTTTTGTCAAAAAAGCCCCCAACAACTTTAGTTAGAGCCATACTACTGGACAGTGGCTTATCCTAGCTCATCAATATACAGTAGCGTGATTAACATACAGCAACATTTCACATGAAAAATCTTAACACTGGAAAATACTTTGGATAGTGCTCAAAATATTTAGAATTTCATGTCAGAAAGGGAACTATCATGACTATTGTGACGTAGTAACAAAAATGAATAAACTAGAGATAATTTGCACATTTATTTACATAAGTAAAACATTTTAAGGTTTGTTGACAGCATTCTTCACTTTCCCCCCTTAAAAGATATTTAAACCATACCTACTTTAAACTACCACAATAGTAGCAATGCTTACCTAAAACATAATGAAGATGAACAGAAAAATGCTTTGAAATGCAGCAAATATAGGGCCACTAGATTTGTTGCTACTAATCCAGCATGATCTGAAAACTGTACTGATTTTTAACCAAAATCATAATCAAACAACAAACATGAGCAACACACTTACCTAATTTCTGCAATGTGGTTTTTGTCAAGTGCATCAAGAGCAGCGACAGCTTTCTCCAAAGTTGGCATTACAGCATTGAGCTCATCTGTTGCTTGCTATATATATAAAAAGAAAAGATAGACTTTGATGTTTTCTTTGACAGTATATAGTTGTACAAATTCTGTTTTTTTTCTATTCTCTGGCTACGTGCTCATATTTATAATATTTGTTTCAAGCAATCTACAGCTGAAGATGGGATCTACATATCCTAGAACCTGCAAAATTTGGGATGGAATCAGAAATTGTACTGGCTCCCATAGTCAACATCAACCATGTTATATAACAGATTTTTGTTCCTCCCCCAGGAACATTGCCATTTTATTGGAGAGCTCAGTGTGTCTGTCATTTTGTCAAGAAGCCCATTCCATTGCCTGTTCTGCTCATTACTGATAGCGGGGCAAATCTGCAGCCTGCAGGCTGAAAGAGGTACAGGGACCATGTCATACCCTACGTCATCACACACATTTCGTACCTGGTGTAGGCAGATGTCGGTGCCCTACTTAAGAGCCAGACACCTGCTCCCCTGCCCTCTTCTCTCCACGGTAGCACCTGCCCTCTTCGGTCTCTCAGTGTGATTTATTTGGTTGCTTCAGGACCAGCTAGGAACTTTTGGGCCTATCTAATCTTCACTTCGTAGGTCAGGCCTTTTTGCCTACTCTACACTGAATAGCTGGTTGGGGACACTTGATAGCCTGCCATGTTGTTCCATAGGTTGATCTGGCTTTCAGGTGAGTCACATTTGACGGGTGGTTAGGTACGGGCAGAGGACAGTTATGTTTCAGCCTGGTGATGCTTTTTAGGAACCTTTCAAGGGGTTGGGCTGGTCCTGAGGCTTACTCTCTGGGCACTGGGGAAAGATAGGGGCCACCCCTGAGGCCAACCTGCCTCATCTACCTAGAATCAGGCTGCAGGGTGATGGTGATGCAGTACGGATTCCCTGCTCTTCTATATGGTATGAGCTGGGAAAGGTGGTAGGCGGAACAGCCATTTCCCCCTTCCTGCAGGCAGGGGCTGGATTGCCTAGTGGCTGCAATCTGTTAGTTTGAAGTCTTCAAGAGTTTTTCTTATGTTTAACCTTAAAATAAAGTAGCCTTAGTTCAACTCCAGCCCGTGTGTCTGTCTCTTTATTCTGCCATCTTGTCACAAGCTGCAAATACCCAGCATGGCACAATAAAAATGAAAAACAATTGTAATATGATATACCTGGGCATATTCTTCCACAGTCTGTGTTTCTGCAGCCATAATTTCTTCATCCTCTTTAACAATAGCTCGAACTTGCTCCACAACTAATGCATCTTTGTGAAGCTTTTCCACAAGTTCCTCTATTTCCTGGTAGGAGAGATCCATTTCTCAGTCAATTAAATTTATTGCAGAATATCTTAATAATTAATCTAGTATTTTGGCTGTTTTATGAACTACTCATCAAGTCCTTAATGTGATGGCAAAGATGACATGCACAGTAAGTACATAAGGACTGTGCTGCTGGATCAGGGCAAAACGCTCTTCTGTTCCAGCAGTAGTGTCAAGTCACACGCTCCTGAAAGACTTGTAGGCATGGTGTGATATTGATAGCTATCTCCTGTTGCTTGTGCTACCACCTGGTAATCAAAGGAACACCACCTTTCAGCAGGACCACATTCAGAGATGCAGGTGAAAGCTGAAGGCACAACATACAAAGCTGTGCTATGTGGGAAGCTGCAGTCAAGCCTAACTATACATGAATCCTAGTTACATGTATGAAGGGGTTAAGACAACAGAGCTGTGTTCCTAGACTCAGCTAGGTCACACACCCTTTTCTCTGATGAGAGAGGAAGTGGAACCTCTTCCTGTCCCTCTCCTTCTGACCAAGGAAGACATGTCTAAGCAAGCTCCAAGTTTAGAGCACACGCAGAAACTGCCATCTTGACCGTTGGACCTGCTATTGTCCTTGTCCATTCAATCTGCCAGAGCCTGCCTTCGCATGTAGGAGATAGACAAGTCCCAAACTCACTGAGGCTTTAAGACTGATTGACTACCCTTCACCAGGTTTAGCAAACCAGTCAAAGAACAACATGTCGCCCACCAGAGATACTGCCCATGTCAAATTCTCATTATTTAACTTTTGTATCCCATCCTTCCTAGAGACTGTGACAGAGAGCCCAAGAAACAAAGGATTAGAGTGAAAGCATATCAATTTAAAACCCATGCTCAGTCACTGAAAAGTCCTATAGGAAAAAATAATACAATATACAGGCCTAAGTTACTTTTTTAATGGGAAGACTTAATTAAATCTGTACTATTCCCATGTTACTGCCCAACTTTTCAGAACAGAGGTCTCCCTTTTTTATATTAAAAAAACCCAGGGAACAGCAGCTTGTGGGGGAGCCAAAAAGTTTGACCAACTAACCTCATCTGTGCAGAGGAAGAGGAAAAACTCTGCCACAGCTTCAGGGGGTGATGAGGGTAAAGGCACTCCTCTAGGTAGCTATAGATGGGCTTGCTCATCCTAGGAGTAAGATTGGAGCAGCCAGGGAGTGAGGCTGGGGAAAGAATGTGTATTAACTAGCTTCTAAATGAAAGGTGGAATGCTTGGGAGCTGTGTCTTTGGTGTGAGCATCATCGGTGCTATTTTGTGGCTGTACTATTTTATATTTCAGTTGACAACGTATCATTAAAAAAACACAAAATCAGTCTGCTCACTGAGCCTATCTACCTAAATAAGAATGCAAAAATAAATGATATATATGAAAAAATTATCCTTATTCAAGCAGGATATTAAATGGCATGCTGTCACTAAGAAGGGTTGCCAACCTGGAGTCATGGGCACCAGTTAAGATCTCTGTGGGCCCTGGGATGATTATCTCTGTTAAAAGGTGGGTCCAAAGGTGGTTGGTATTGCTTGGTATTTGATGTTAACTTCTGCACATTGTTTTTTCTTTGTTTGTTTTTCTAGCTTTAATAAAAATAGCTTCATAGATAGATAGATAGATAGATAGATAGATAGATAGATAGATAGATGCAAAGAACATCGGGACATAGTTTCCAAAACGAGCATGTAAGACAGGGTAGTCCATGTGGTGCTGTCCAAATGTTGTTGAACTACAACACCCATCATCCCCAACTACTGACCAGGCTGATTGGAGTTGATGGGAGGCGGAGTCCAACAAAGTTAGCTAACCTTAATCTAACGTCTATCTATGACAGAGTAACCACTGCCAAAAGCTCTGCCTCTCTATCTATTTTTAATTATTGTTTTCAGATGATCATTTGCTATTAATATTGTGGTTCGAGGACCCGACCCCCGCGATGTGGAAAGAATACACAAGGACACGTTATATAAGGTTAATGGGCAAGGAAAGGCCACAACTTTATTGATTACAGCAGTGGAAAGGTATTGGCTTAGGCATTGGATCTCTCAAGCAAGTGGGTTTATTCACCAGTAGGTGGAGCCTGTTGATGCTAATCCAACTATAGGCTCTCCCCTGATGTCACCGAGGGTCGTGCCATGGCCTCCCGCCAAGCAGGCATCGGACAGAATACACGACCGCCAGATTCCTTTAACGGAATACCCCTAAATTGAAGGCATAGGCGATGGCCACACCTAGCTCTTCGACACACCACAACACATTATTCCAATGCCTAACCTACCCACCAATACCACAAAAGTTGTGACGATTGCTACGAGGTAGGCGAAAAAACCAAAAAGCCTAATGCCAAATGGAAAAACTCCTACCAGGCCCCCTAGACAACCAGGACGACCAACCTAAGGTCCATAGCAAGGCCAATGACCTAAGCCCTAACTCAAAGGGAGTGGAGGGTGGGTGACTCGCAGCGAGACAACGAAGAATGAGGCCGGGAAGAGGCTGGCGCCGCAGCAAAAGGCTGCTGAACACGCCCCCTCTCAGGCACCTGGTTGGATGCCTGCCGAGGGGCGTGGGCGCCAGCCAGGTGAGATGGAGGCAGGGGTCTAACGCCCCCTGCTAGGGGCGGTGCTCGGCTCCCGCCCACAACCACTCCCCTCTCTTGCAGGGAGGAGAGTCTTTGTACTGTATAACCAGGCCCCATATAAAATATAGCCTATATGCTCTAAATTTTGACATGAATCCAGATAGATCACTAAATGTTTTGAAAGAACAACAAAGCAGATTTGAATGAAATTTTACCTTTGATTTTTTCTCTATTTGAGGACCAAGGACAAGTAACTCATTTTGCATAACTGTAATCTGTGAGGTTGCTTCTAGTATTTTGGTCAGACCAGAATGATAGCAAGTTCTAAAATTAAAAATAGTTAAAATCCAATCACAGTCTGGCCTTTTTTGTTACATATATAGAAATAGTAATATATTAAGTTGGCTTGCTTGACACTAGCATTTTGCAAGACTCTGTAAATCTGTGGGCTCCCAGAGAAACTGTTGTAGCTGCTTTGCTCCTCGGTTAATTTTGCTGCTGCACTGAAATAGGAACAAGGTTTGTTCACAGTTTTAGGTCACGGTTAGTGAGAAGAAGGCTCAACCACAAGTCCCAGTTAGGATGACATGCTAAGCCAAACTTTGACTAAGCACAGAATTTGCAGGAAAAAGGATCATGGAGGAACAAAGAGGCTGTGAGCTCCTCTCTGGGAGCCAGCACATTCATATGGTTTTGCCATGCCACATTTGGGCTTACTGTGTTGTGCAAACCAGATAATTGTAAATTAATCTGGGTCTCCTGAGCTAACTGACAGTTATAAGCCTCTGAACTATTGGAGCAGTTATGTATGCATAGGGTTATGCTGAATCTGACAATTTCTGTTTTTTTCTGTTTCTTATTTTTCCAGTCTTCAGTTATCCACATTTCTACATCATTTTGGAAATGTTTATTTAAAAGTCCTCATGAAAATTCATCAGCATTTTAGTGCATAATTCTCCAAATATATACCCTATAGGACACACTTTTTCCCCTCCAAAAATGAAGGGGAAATCTGTGTGCGTCCTATGGGCCGGTGCGTTCAGCTTTCGCTGAAGCTTGGAGAGCGAGAGGGGTCGGTGCGCACCGACCCCTCTCGCTCTCCAGGCTTCAGGAAGCTATCAGCAAGCCTGGGGAGCCCGCGGGAGTTCCCGCAGGGCTCCCTAGGCTGCGGATAGCAGCCTGCTGCCCGGTGCGCAGGCGCCCTGAAGCAGAGCGCCCTGCGCGCCGGGCAGACATCCGCAGCCTGGGGAGCCTTGCGGGAGTTCCCGCAGAGCTCCCTAGGCTGTGGGTAGCAGCCTGCTGCACGGAGCGCGGGGCGCCCTGAAGCAGAGCGCCTCGCGCGCCGGGCAAACACCCGCAGCCTGGAGAGCCCTGCGGGAGTTCCCGCAGAGCTCCCTAGGCTGTGGATAGCAGCCTGCTGCTCGGAGCGCGGGGCGTGCTGAAGCAGAGCGCCCCGCGCTTCAGGCAGACATAGGGCAGCCCCACAAGCTCGGGGGACAGCGGGGAGGCGGAGCGCCGCCATACCGCTGTTCCCCGACCTGGTTTGGATTCCCCGACCTGGTTTTGGGGGGGAAATAAAGGAATCCCCCCTTTATTCCCCCCCAAAAAAACTAGGTGCGTCCTATGGGACGAAAAATACGGTATATTTTCTATACAATGTTGTTTTGTACTGTTGTATTGTTTCATACCTGTCACTCATAATTTTCTCTTTCATTGACTTCAGTATGGTTGAAAAGGTGTTTATGAACTGTAGATAACTATTGGGAGTGATGTAGTAATGCCTTTTAGTTTCCTTCAAGTACTTTTCAGTTATGATAGATACATTTTTATGAATATTAACACATATCTGAACAAGCACACTTATGTTCTGGCAAGAAACACAAAAAGGAAAAGAATATATATTTATATCACATTTCTGTTTAAGGACATTTTGTTTGTAGTATATTATGATAAATGATAAAACATGTATTCCTTACGTGACTGCTGTTCTGTACTTGCCTCTTTAGGTAACCAAACTAATGGGATGTGCACATAACATAACTTTGAATATTGCAGCACTCTGATTACAGGCATTCCTGCCCCTCACCCAGTTAATCCTATTCAAGCAAACATCAGAGATGAAACCAGTATTCTTCAAGACAACATCGTGATTTAGACAACAAGAGAAGGGGCATTTTACTTACCATTTTAATTCACCTCAAATTATAGAGTTAAAGATGCCCTCCATATGTTTTAGACTATAACTCCCATCATCCCTAACCATTGGTCATGCTCTGGGACTGATGATGATTGTGGTATAAAACATCTAGAGGGCTCGACATTGACTACTCCTGCTTTAAAACCTTGTCCTGAATTTACAAAAATGGATTAGAATAATAGAATAAATATATGCAAAGTTTGAATTTGTACCAAATGCTTACTGAAAATCAACAAGACCTCACTAGTGAGAACTATAACAAAATATGAAATTAGAGTTTACCACATGTTAAAATGTACAAATATGCTACCTGATTCTGAAATGTGTTGTCCTGTTTAAAGTAACTTTGTGCAACATGGCAAAGGGCTTCTTCAGGCCAAGTGTCATACCAGTCAACTGTACAGCAATTAATAGTGGCAGGATATGTCCGACAACGCTGACGGAAGGTCAGTCCTGCATAACTTGTTGTCAAAACAATATGAAGATTGCTACGTACTTTCTGAAAAAGATTTAATCATTTGTGGAAAACTTCACCCATATATATCATTTTTCAAAATTATGCATGCAGGAATGTTTAGATTGTCATATTAGTGGTCAATCAAATGCACACATGCTAATTTCCTCCCCCCTTTTATCAAGAGAGATTCACATATATATTCCTCTTAACTTACATTAATAGTATACTATTACCTCCTATTTATTATTTATAGCTAAAAAGTCTGTCATATAAAGTTATACCTTCCCTCCCTCAGCAACTTAATGTTAAACAGCATGAAGAACAAGGTAGGACCCCATGGAGCTCCCAAAAACATGAGGTTGAGAAGCAGTCCCCCAGCACTGCCTTTCTGGGGCCTACTTGTCAGCTAAAACTAAATGGAGCCCTCAAGTCCCATTTATTGTAGATGCTACAGAATAATGCCACGGTCAATGGTCCAGCAAAAGCAACAGTAATCCTTGCCTAGTTACTGACATAGATCTACTAAGGTGATCAAGGCCATTTCAGGCCTGAACCCAGATTGTAAGGGATCCACGCAATCAGCATCAACCAAGAAAGTTGAGACACCATTACTTATTTAAGCCTCTTGCTCAGGGGTCCTCAAACTACGGTCCGCAGGCCGGATCTGGCCCGCCAGGGTCCTAAATCCTGCCTGCCCGGCCATTGCAGAACCGGTCACGAAGCTGTTGAGGAGGAGACTCAAGCAGCAGCAGCTCTGCTCAACAAGCCATGCCTGGTTTACCTTAGCACGCGGGGACTGACTGAGCGGGCAGTTGCCCCCCAATCAAGTAAATAAATAAGAAAACTTAAGTAACTGACCATTTGCTTCAGAGATAACTTGGTTCTGCCCCCCCCAACATAAAGCCTGCTCCTCTTAACACAAATCCTGGCTACACCCATGTCCTAGACCTTGCATTAAATGTGTCAAATATAAGTGATTTTATCAGCAAAGTATTTAACAAATCAGTCACAGCAGGCCATCCTTCAGATTCAGTTGTGAAGTTCGGGAAATGGACTGGGATCTGTGTACTTCCTGAAGCCTGCATTTCCTGCCTGTGGGTATTATATGGCAGTATCTATCCTTCTGGTGTACTATTTTTTAAGGGAGAACTAATGATGCCTTCACCACTTAAAACAGCTCTACTGGCTGCCACTGAGTCAATGCAGTGGAAGAGCAAGTTGTTTTGCCACAGAGTAGGCTCTAAAGTGTATTAAGCAAGACTCCTTCAGTCTTACAGGATGTTTGAGCTCTGGCCAATGGGAGAGGGCCCACAGAATGATTGTGCCTTCAGTAATTTGTTCAATGTTTGATGCTGTCGGACAGGATCTTGTGAAGGATTCTTTACTAAATCCTCCAACCAGACCATGCATGTTCATGCACAGGATGAAGTAGAACAAGCCGCCCGGACTAAGGTCCCAACAGTAGACTGCCCAGTTTCTGTTCTTTAATCTCATAATCTTCTTCCTGAAGCTGCCATTAATGACAGTGGTTGAAACCCCCAAATAAAGAACAGGGACAGCAAGTAACAAATATGGTAAATATTAAATAAAGAGGTTGGGAAAGTAGCAGGAACAAAAATGAAGCCAAACAGCAGAAGAAAATGAAAGGCAGTTTTTTGTTTTGTTTTTTTGAAAAGAAGGAAAGCGGTAAGAGCAATGAAGCCAGAATTGAATTAAAAGGCAAGAGAGTGGCTTTTCAGATCTTTGACAGAACCTCTGAATGAGATAGCACGGAAATCCATTGCAGGCATCTGAAAACCAATTGGATCTATTTTTTTCAGAATGGCTATTGCATTTCCCTTCCATCTTTTTTGTTTTGTTTTGTTCCACCACTCCAACATTCATTCAGCATTTTGTGCCCACTGAGCATTTTCACTGAGTTGTTTTCAAATTCCTTCCCCTCACTTAGAAAGAAATGGGCTTCATTCCTTCCCCCATTCACTTTTTTGTGGGGAAGTACGTGTCCAATAAGCTTAGTGATACCTCAGTCACTTGTGGATGGTGTTGTTTTAGCTACAAAAAGATCCACACTCAGAGAATGAGTTGCACATAGGACTTCAAAATGATACATGCAACATAAATTGAATTTTAAATGCAAAACCATTAGGATCTGACATTGTTCCCACTAAATTAAATATGAAAATAGTGCTCCGAAAGGTTTGCATAGATGAAGCTGAGGTAAATGTGTTAAAACACATTCTCTCCAGTTTATTTGTACTGATATATTTAAAATGTTACCTGTAAGAAAAATGAGTAGATATCATCGATTGTGTTAGAGTACTTAGCCTTTTCAGCAACAGATACAAGTGGTACCATGATGTTATCCAGCTCTTCCTTCTCAAATAAATTGGGCACTTGTCCTGATTTCAAAATACAACTTAGGTCCTCTAAAAATGCCTCCTATTAAAAAAATGGTATTAATTAGCAATCTGCTCAGGGCTAGTTAGTTTGCCAAATAACTAAGACAGCCTTCATCAACAACATGCCCTCCAGATGTTTTGAGCTACAACTCCCATCATCTCTACCTAGCAGAGCCATGTGGCTGCAGCAGATGGGAATTGTAGTCCAAAACCTCCAGAGGGCATGAGCTTGGTGAAGGTTGAACTATGGTCATGCTGAAGTTTCCAAACCATCTTCAGAGTCAGCCCCACATATAATTCCCTGCATTATATGTAATCTTGTGACCAGAGGATAGACGGCAGAAGTTAGGCTATCCCTGCCCAGATACGAGCACAACTGGGTCACCAGCTGAAGCTGATGGGTTCAAGCCACTGAGGTCACCTGGGTCTCAAATGACAGCAATGTATCCAGAAGTACGATCAAGCTGTGCACCCACTCCTTCAGCCAAAAATTCTCATTTCAATCAATGTTAACAGGTGTACCTACTATTAAACCACCAATTTGAAAATTTTGGTTTCTCTTTAATTCCCCTCCCCTTACATTGTTTTCTACATTTCCACATCATTTTGTGATTTTTGAGGGGGGGGGGATTCATGATAGTTCACCAGCATTTTAGTACAGATTCCTAATATACACATTTGTATTCACTTTGGTTTATCATAGAGATTTTTGCAAAGCAATTCCCCCCAATGTATTGGATGTGTTTGTTATTTCACTATATTTCTCATATATGCATTTCTACACACACTTTACCCCAGTATATTCATTTTTGTACACCTTACCTGGTTGGAGAATTGCATTGCAAAATTCGGAGAAATGCAAATGTTAAAGGATGGCTGTGTCTTTCCATTTGTGTATTGTTTTGGAAAGATTAGTTAGATAGGTTCACCTTTTAATTTGAACCAAATTGTATTTGTCCCCCAGCCCTAATTTTGACTAGATTGAGCCTCATTTACCCTTATCTTGTCAGTTACTGGGAAAAGTCACACCTGAATTAAAACGAAAGGAGAAAAATAGATGGATGTCATCTTTGCTATACTGGTACTTCCAAGCCTCATATTCCTGAATGTCCAAAGTTAGCTGTTTCATGCAGATGTTAAATGCATGAAAAATAAGGAGTCCTTAAAGAAAACAACTCTCATAGGAAATAATGGTTCTCTCCCAGGTCCACCTTTTGAAAACTTCCTACAAGGAAAGAGTGAAACCACTGCAAAGCAATGCCCACACCCCCAATCTTAACAAGTGCTCTAGAAGGGTTCCATGAACAGTGGTATATGAAATGGATTTAGATAATGTGATATTTGACATTGCACAAGCATACTTCCACTGGTGCAACAGGACTTCCCCGTCCTTGCACTCTCCCTGCACCTCCCTGCACACACATACCAAAATCTGCTCTGGAGGGAGTCCCTCACAATTCATCACCTACTCAACCCTCTTAGTTAGGAATGGGAGATTAGAAAACGGCCTCCTATTATTCGTAACAAAGACAGACACAGGCCAAGTGGCCACAGAGCAGAGCAAAGCATGCCAAGCACTTGGTCCAAATCCTTTTGTATCAACAACCAAAACTTGTCCAGCACAACATGACAACACTATCTAACAGAAGAAATTGTGATGTGAGCCAAATATTCAGGTAAAGAAATATGGAAACTACCTAAATATACTATGATTAAAAAATGGACAATCATAACAAGTGTGCAGTAAACTTTATGCATCTATTCCAAGTCCAATACATATATTAGAAAGGCTTACTTGAATAATATCAGATTCTGTGATGAGAAAAACAGTCCTCCTGCCTTCCACACCTGCCTGCTTACAAACTTCTTTCAGATCTTCTCTAAAATTTCCATAGGTGTAATTACGGGAAATAGATAACCTGTAGAGGCTGCATGCAGATAAGTAACAGGCTAAGGATGCACAGGTTACCTTCCCAGTTCCACCATGACCAACCTACAGGGGGGGGAAACAGTCTAACTTGAAACCAGAAAAGTTGGCTCCGTTAAATCAAACTCGTGGAAATCATAGGATTTGAGTAGGCTTTTAGGATGTGCATAGTGAATTTAGAGAAAACAAAAGTAAATGGAAACAAAAGTAAATAAAAAGCCAGCAAATATTTTGTCACAGCATTTGCCACAGGCACCTTGATGAAACTAAGTAGCTCTGGAGCTCATCAGTGGCTGAATTAAGACATCCTGGGAATCTGATGCATGTGATCTTGAGTACCTTGATGGAATAAATGTGGGGTATAAATGTAATAAAATAAATGAATAAAACAAAATAATTCAGAAGCCTCACTAGATTAAAAGTGATTTAATTCTATGTTTCTGCATAGAAATTTAGGCTTAAGCTATGTAATGAATCGCTCAGCAATGCAGAGTTAAAGTTTTCTATACTATCTATATGATCCAACCAAAGTCTATCAAATCCTTGGTTTTAATCACACAGTGGCCAACCACATGTGTGAGGAAAGCTCATAAGCAGGATATGAGCAAAATAGCACTCCTGTTTGTAATTCCTTGCAACTGGTATTCAAAAGTATATTGCTGCATCTCAAATACTGGAGGAAATATAATCCTTCTGCTCATAAAAGCAATGATGTAAGAGAAAAAGGAATAAAAATACACTAGTATAAGTTTAAAGAAAATGCTTATTTTGATTTGCGATACTAATTATGAATTGAAATAACTGTCACTGGAATTTTACATATTATAATTAAGAATGAAACTATAAGCATTTTTCCTTACCAATGTCATGTGACTACCATTTTGTCGAAAAATTCTGGCTGCCCTTGTTATATGCTGTATTGCTTCTTTAAAAAATACTATGGAAATACCCTAAGAAAACAAGGAGCATAAATTTTGAACATGTTGTTATAGTCAAGTTAGGATACTTATAAGGATCTTATTCTATTCATAGTTATTAAGCATCAGGCATAGGCTTATTGGACATCTGCAAAGCTCCTGGCTCTGCTCCTTCTCTTCCTTGCTGTCACTGTGGCATGCACCAATCGCAAAACAAAAGAACCCCCCAACAAAAAAAGTATACACTTCCATGATTACACATATAACTTGCAAATTTGCCTGCACATCTAAACAAGGTAATGCGCAAGCCTCGCAACATGCAATGGCCCCAGAATAGTCTATGCAAATGAAGTGGGGATAAACATAAGTTTTCCAGATGGGGATTTAAAATATAAATCAAGTGTGCAGTGAACAGCCATTTCATGAAAATGCCTGTGCAAATGTTACCTTTGTGAAATGAATTATTCCTATTTCTAATCTGTACCTTTGCTCTCTGGTAGGGGTATTGGAGAATTATGACAAAAATGGAATTGGGAGTAGATATTGCCCATTCCTTTTATTCATCCCATGGAAATCAATAATAATCAATCCAGTGAGCAATATTCACCAGTGCTGCTTTCAGTCCATACATAATCACCATAATAATGTTAATTATTAATTATTAATGTTGTTATTATTATTCTCCGCCCATCTGGCTGTGTTTTCCCACTCTGGGCAGTGTACAACACATAAAAAATTGCAAAACATTAGACATTAAAAATTTCTCGATACAGGGTTGCCTTCAGATGTCTTCTAAAAGTCAGGTGGTTGTTGATTTCCTTGACATCTGATGGGAGGGCGTTCCACAGGGTGGGCGCCACTACCGAGAAGGCCCTCTGCCTGATTACGATTATCTTTTCCACCATTTTCGCTGTGTTTCATTTGCATCAAAATGAATGGTGTAGAATAATGTAATCACAATACAGTATAATGTACATAATTTCTATCATTATGTAAATTCATTAAGTTACATAATTTCATCATGGCAGACAGGGAGACAAATGTCATTTTTGGCAAAAGGCCAACTGAAGCAAAGCAGAAACAGTGCTGCATGTGATGAATACAGAGTGGAAGTAAAAACGCCTTCTTACAGCCCCCTATTCTCTGGTTACATCTGTACTCATGCAGACCCAATGGAGGTCTACCCATGGAGGAAGACTGGGATTATATGAGTACAAGCCCCATTCCTTGTTACTTATCTGCATCAGGAGTAGGAATAATACCTGAAACAGAGAAATGGATAAATGTACAAGCAGCAGCAGCAGCAATGGAATTGCTCCCTGTTGCCAGAATGGGGCCACCCATGATCCACCTCATTGTAACCACTTGTAGGTCTTCGGATTTACCTGAGGGCTTACTCCCTGCATTTTAATGCACTGTTCTTCTAGGACCCAAAGTAGATGTGTCTTGTTGGTGACATTTCTATAGACTCTCTTGTGTACAGGCTGGTTTGAATCCAGAAAATCCACAAATAGGGGTGGTTCTTCCATCAACTGATCTTTTGTCCAGGGAATCTATAAAAATAGCCTAATTATTTTACACAATAATAGGCACCAATTGTTCTTTTTACAGCATGGCTTGTGGATTCTGTATGATCTCCTCTTTGATAGCCCAGTCATTTAGTCACCTGGGCCTTACATCTGTCAAAGATTTTATACAGGCCAGTATTTCACTAATGGAAATTAGGACCTTTCTGTTCATGAAAGGTGAGGTAAGGGTTTGAGTTTACCAATAAAGCTTTTCAGACAATGGTATATCAACAGAATCCAGAAACAATACTAAGCAATTGCATATGTGCCAGTAGGAAGGAGGAACTAGAAATTCATGTACAGAAATGAGTCTAGTTGCAAAAGCAGTGAGGCAAGCCATATCTGACAATGCAAGACACAGATATATACACAGAGGAACGAATGGGGGTGCTTCTTAAGTTAAGGCAAGCTGAAGGCAGGTAATCCTAATCATTGATCTTTGATATTATAATATGTTATGTTATTAAACTTCATCAACGAAATGCGTTGAGGATGCTCACAGATGCTGCCATCTTGATTCATACCATGGAAATACAATGAATACATACTGTGTTTGGGAGAAGATAACCTTGTGTGTCAGTGTATATATGTGATATAGCCATAAAACATATTTTAGTAGAGTTCACAATGTCATAACTTGGCTAAAGTATGCAAAATCAGGTGGAAAATCAATACTCACCCCTACCTTTTCAGAAAAGAAACCAGAAGCAACAATATGCCAGGACCCTTTAGAAGGAACAGCTTGTGGGAGATTTTGCCCTCAAACCTAACAATGCCTATCTACACTAGTTAGTAAATGAAGGAGTTAAGAACCACAGAGCTGTAAATTTCTAGAGCTCAACAAGGTCACATCTCCTCACCTTCAGGGAAAGAGGAAGCAACGGTTGTTTCCTGTTCTTTTCTCTCACTCTTTCCTCTTTGACCCATGCAACCATGTAACATGACATCTAAGGCTGGTACTCAGACGACTTGTTTGAGACTAACTTCTGTATTTTGTAGCCAAGGATACATTACCTGTGTTTCAGCCATAGCACTGAACAATGCATGAGTGAGACCTCTGATTACTTTAAGTAAAGCATTAAACTTGCTTAAGGTTGTGGTCAGTTCACTCTGAGAGTAGAGGCAGGGGAGCACAATAGTGAGTGCTTAATAGTGGGACATTTAAAGGGATAACAACCTCTATTTCTTACGCTTTGCAAACACAGCGGTTTTTTAGTTTTAAACCCTGCTAGGGCCTCTTCTGACTAGAAAATGAGTCAAGCCCTGTGCTTCTGAATTCAGGTTGTCAGCCATTTGTTCTTTTGCAGTTCCCCACACACATGCGATTTAGGACTAACTTGGTCTTCCCCAGTTATTTCCCAACACAACTGATTCCTCATATACCTCTTCCTCTGTACCTGTGTCAGGGGTGAGATCCCCCAGAAGAGGAGAGGCCATTACACTGCACAGCAGCTGTCTAATGAGCAGAAAAACTGCAGGCCCAACTGAGGTAAAGTGCAGCCACTACTCCAACTTGCTGCCAGCATCCAGCAGCGCAAGTACGGAAAACACAGCCAGACCAAGTAAAGATGGGGAAGGACCAAGGAGATTGCAATCCCGCTTGGACCAGAGTGGTGCAGAAACATGACTCCTAGTTGTTGTTGGAGCCGGGGGGGGGGGGGAGAGACCTATCAGAAAATAACTAAAATGGCACTCCTGCATTGTGGGAGAGAAGTGGGAAGTGCCAAGTTCCTGGCCCAATCACACTTAAGCAATCATCTCCAGAACCCCACAGCCCAGCTAGGCTCACAGAAACAACCCCTACTTCTTCTCAGCTGTAATCAGGACAATAGGGAAGGGACACAAAATTGAAGAGAAAAAGAGAGACCCCACCATTCCAATTGTGGGCATGGTAGATCTGGGGAAATGAGATAACTCCTCCCCCTGGAGAGGTTGTAAAAAAACTATGAAGACCCTGCTTGTCTCCAACTAGGATGTCATTTCTAACAGGAAAGTCATCTACTCTATCAGATAAAGGTTAGATATACATTTTAATACATAATAAATAAGCAAACAAAATTTTTAAAATCTACAAAAGTATTTGTTGTAAAGCACCCAATAAGCAATGTGACACACACAGAGATACACACTTACCTTGAAATAGTTATTGACCTCATTTGATAGAATTTGAAAGAAAGCTTCCCGTTCTGGAGAATCAATCAGACGATCATGGAAAACTCGGGTGCATTCATGTACAAATAGCAACACTATTGATTCTTTAGAAACAATGACAGACTTGTGAGCTTGGAGCAATCCTTCAAGTACCTGTCAACAATTTTAAAAGAAACTTATTTTTTGGGGGGGGACCACAGCTTGATTCACAATAATTTTTTTAATTTCTTGTAAGTTCCTGTCCATTTGTATTGATTTCAGTTTTATACTATTCTATGCTACTTCATCTCGGGACGCAGGTGGCGCTGTGGGCTAAAGTCTGAACACCTAGGACTTGCCGATCGAAAGGTCGGCGGTTCGAATCCCCGCAGCGGGGTGTGCTCCCATCGTTCGGTCCCAGCGCCTGCCAACCTAGCAGTTCGAAAGCACCTTCGGGTGCAAGTAGATAAATAGGGACCGCTTACCAGCGGGAAGGTAAACGGCATTCCGTGTGCTGCGCTGGCTTGCCAGATGCAGCTTGTCACGCTGGACACGTGACCCGGAAGTGTCTGGGGACAGCGCTGGCTCCCGGCCTATAGAGTGAGATGAGCGCACAACCCTAGAGTCTGGCAAGACTGGCCCGTACGGGCAGGGGTACCTTTACCTTACCTTATGCTACTTCATTGTTTTATTTATACTTTTTATTTTTGTAGCTGCAAAAATAAGCAGCAAAACAATATACATATATACAGTACATGGTCCCCCGATCCCACCAGACCTACTTACTGGTTGAATTACAATAAAATGTATCACACTTTTTCTACATTTCCCATCCTGTTGTCACATTTTGCCTAATTCTAACCAATATTACATCCCTCTTTTTGTTACAACTTTTCCTCACACATCCCTGGATGTGTAGGATACTTTATAGACGATCCCTGAGCTACATTTGCAAAAGTCCAGGCCAACAAATTGTAAAGTAAGTTTATGATAAGTCTAAACAATCTGTCATCTTAACACACCTTAAAAAGATCCCGTAGATTAAACGTGTAATGGCATTTAACTGGAGTTGGACGCACTTTATGAAGCATTCTATAGTACACAGCAATAGAGGCGCATGTTAAATTATCCTTGCATTTCTGAACTTCAGCCATGAATCTTTTGATATGTAAGTATGCTCCTAGTCGCACCTACAAGAAACAAAATATGTAACTTTTATACATTTTCCACAAAATGCTCACTTGAAATACATAATAAACATATTAAATTATGAAGTACCTATTTGTTTATGACTGAGATACAGTATGCGTGACTATTGTGTGCTATGATATTCAGGGAAAATATGTATATTTCTGCCTCATGGAATCACAGAATTGTAGAGTTGGAAGAGACCCCAAGGGTCTTCTAGTCCAACCCCCTGCAATGCACAAATATCAACTAGGTCATACAAGATAGATGGCTGTCCAACCTCTGCTTAAACACCTCCAAGGAAGGAGAATCCATAACCTCCCGAAGGAGACTGTTCCACTGTTGAACAGCTCTTACTGTCAGAAAGTTTTGTCATCAGCAGATGACAAAATGGAGGACTGCTGCAAAATAAACTGTAGTGGAACAGAAAATACCAGATGAAAGGATGAATATTTGAATGGATTACGGTACTTTCCAACATCCCTATTTATGAGGTAGATTGTAGAGGAAAACATTTATATTTCATATATATTTTTGACAGTTTTGGTTGATTTTTTTAAGAGTCGTTAAATGATTCCTGCATTACCATATTACCTGGAAAATACGTTGTAAGGATTGTAAAGAAGTTACAGGCAAAACTAATGTGCAGAAACATGACAGAAGACGAGCACTAATCTCATTACTTCCTTCACTCGGCGGTGTGCAAGTGGCAACCATAGCAACATCCTGGACATTCTGTGAGGGAAAGGAAAGAAAGTAAAAGCCTGAATTAAAATATTTTAAACAAGGCCAACACAATCTCTTGTGGCTTGCCGGCATCTCACTCCTCATTCCCCCTGCAATTACTCCTTTCTGTGGAACAGTCTTCAATAAGTCAAGTTGCATTTTATTTTAGTTTCCAAATACTACTCCTTTTCTGGAAAAGATCCCAGCTCATATTTGTTGCTCCCTCCTGAGTACCTTATGGGGGTACTCTACCACCTAGCTAACATTTAAGCTACTCTCACTGTGCCCATGTCTATTCTGGTAAAAAAAAGTGTATTTTTTAGGCAAGCTGTACCAGACCAACAACAGCCTGTTTCCTGTGGAAAAAGGTTTTCCTACCACAAGAGCAAAATCTCCTTTTGCTGCTCTGGAAGGGCATATTCCCTGAACGTGTTAAGGTGTATTTCAGATGATACTTCTTCACAGAATACATAGTTAAACTGTGAAATTCTCTACTACAACAAAATGTAGTGAGGTCAGCAACATGCATGACTTTAAAAGGGGGTTAAACATTATTATGGAGGATAAAGATATTGATGACACCTAGTCAGTATTTCAGTCACTATGCCTTTGCAAATCTGTTTCTGGGGAACAGGAGTATGAAGAATGCAATGATACTCAAGTTTGTTTGTAGGCGTCCCATAGGCATCTGGTTAGCCACTGTGAGAACAGGGTAATATACTAGATGAGATTTTGGCCCGATCCATTAGTGTTCTTTTGTTCTTAATTTACCCCAAAAACATAGAATTGTAATTATCTGTATGCACTGTTTGAGGAGTAAAAATAATCATCCCTTTTTACAACATTTATGAAACAAAGGTTTAAAAATCGAACTATTTGATGCTTTCTTACTGCTGAAATGATGTTACATTATTTGAAATGGTTGTAATATTTAATTATAATTTAAATATACTTAAATTACGCAGATAATATTATTATGGGATACTATAGGATATTAGATTATTTCTACTGTGTATTATATAAATTATTCTGTATATTTAATAAATTTAATAACTTTTAACAAGAAATAGAAATAATGAAAAATCCATAAAGAATTTCATATTTACACAGTACCTTCCATGTAAGCTGCTCCGTGTCATAAAAACCTCCTAGATCAAGAAACTGTCTAATTAGCTCAAGTGGTGGCTGGGACCCATACTCCTCTGCTATAGGTGTATTCAGATCATCAATAAACAGTAAAACCTTAAAATAAAATTATTATTGTGGATGAGACACATTATCACAAGAGATTAACAAAAGCTATTGAATGTGCCCCCCACAGCTTGCCAAATAAGTGGTTGACAAAGCCTTGCCTGCTTAATATGTTGCCTGGAGTGTGTGCTTGCTCCTTTGCTACTTCTAATAGTATTTGTAACCTTTGTCCATGAGACAGAGTGGATTGCATGTTTATATAATCTTACTAGTGGCACATCCATAATGGGGTGAGCACTGTTAGCATGGTATTTTAACCGTGCAGTTCACCTTATAGATGTAAATATAAGTTGCGGATGTTACTGTGAGTAAATGGAGAGAGTCATCCTTGGGAATTGTGTATATGGACATTTTTACACACAGAATTCTCATCCAGCTTATGGGTACAGAAGCATATTGCTGTATCAGAGTGACAAACAGAAGTAAAGCTATCTTTCTTTTTGTTATGTGCATCAGAAGAGAAGTTGAGGTGTGACTACAAAGAAATTTATTTCAAAAGAATTTCACCCTCAGAATCAAGTTTACTGAATTTGATTCAACAAGAATTACAGATGGAAATGAAGTCTTCTGGGAATTAGCTTATCCTTTTGACAGTATCCAACTCTCCAGTGAAACAAGCAGTAGTGTGGGAGGAGATTTGGCATTTACTACAGATAGCAGCAATTGAGCCAATTTCTCCAGAGCACTCCTTCTCCAGTATGCCATATTCTTTGTGATATCAAAAAAGGATGGCTCTTAGAAGGCGGTGTTAGACACAAGGTAGTTGTTCATCGATCGGCAGAGCCTCCTTGACTCCATCCTGAATTTGCAGTAAACCAGTGGTTCCCAATTACGCCCCTTCCCTTGCCTCCCCACCAACGTTTGTTTTTTGGTCATTTTTGTATGCTAATATCACACATTTTATGGTCTGGTTTTTTTTAGTATACCTGAAATTATCTGTTTATTAGGGGCTACCCCCCATTTTGTTCAAAAAAATTGCTTTGCAGAAGTAACTACCATAGAGTTATCTCCCCCCCCCCAAAAAAGTAGGGGGTCTGTGGCTTAGCTTTTGAAAAATATCGAGGGTCCTCAGTAATTAGCTAATTGGGAACCACTGCAGTAAACCATAAACTGATTCAAAGTCAAGAAAGAGGGAGGACAAAGAACTTCTTTCTCCTTTACTGTACCAGTTCTCTGCCCTTGTGCAAGGCAAGTACTCAGCTTTGGTGCTGGGAGCTAGCCTGAAAACCAAGTCTTTAGCATTATATAATAAGAGGATGGTTTGGGGAATTTGAAAAATTAAAAAGGTTTCTTTTTTCTTTTGAAACAACCACCCAGACAATCCCAAATATGTACATGCTAGAACAAGAAGAGGAGGAAGCAACATGAGAAAGAATAACAGGAAAATACACGTAACCTCAAAATAAAGGCTCTCACACGTCAAAGAGTGGTACAATACGCCTGTTCTATGCCTGTTAGGGAGAGCGGATGTACAGATTTTTTTGTTGTGAATTTCTACTTGTCATTAGGCCCGAGTGATACTTGGTATTCACCGTCACGATATTTCACCAGCGAAACATTGTGATATACCAATATTTCACAATGTCTGAAATAAGGATGGAACTATATAGAGGCACTGGCTTGGCTTTATGGTTTTTCTCGCATCATTGTTTTTGCATAGCGTACACACCCACACACCCCATGATTCACAATATATTGCCAGGTTAAAAAATTATGAAACCGATATCACAATACGGACTTCAAACTGGTTTTGGACAATATATCATCCAGACCTACTTGTCATATAACATATAATATAATGAATTATTCATAGTATATTTTTAATAAACTTCCCCAAAAGATCTTCACCTACTTCTTACCTGTTTAAATTGTGGAGCACCCAGGATATCTTTACTTTTTAGTATTAATTTCTGAAGAATCAAAGCCTTTGTTTGGGCAGCACTGGTATGAGCACTCAACTGCAGCGTAGAAATAATAGTACCACTTGTACATGTTTCTTCCAGATCAGGCTCTTCTCTTGGAGAGCTCAGGGTTGACACTAATACAAAGTTAACAGTTAGAACCCTACAGGATTAATAAACAGCACCTTTCTAACCTATCACAGTATGCTATTTTTATTCTATTTGCCAATGAAAAGCATTAACAGGTAAAATACATTACTTGTTAATTTTCTGACTATAAGGATATTTGCAACTTAATTCTTAATTGAGGGTTTTAACATTTTTATCTATAAAGCAACAAAATTGGATGACTTCAACAATAAAATAATTTTCCTACTAAAAGGTAAAGGTAAAGGTACCCCTGCCCGTACGGGCCAGTCTTGACAGACTCTAGGGTTGTGGCCCATCTCACTCTAGAGGCCGGGGGCCAGCGCTGTCCGGAGACACTTCCGGGTCACGTGGCCAGCGTGACATCGCTGCTCTGGCGAGCCAGAGCCACACACGGAAACACCGTTTACCTTCCCGCTAGTAAGTAATAGTTACTAGTTTAAAGTTTATAGTTTATAGTGTATAGTTGCTAGTTTAGTAGTAATTTTCCTACTACTAAACATCAATTCATCTGACTGAAGAGGTACTAGCAATCATTAATCTGAATGTTTTACATTGGAGCTGAAAGTGAGCACAATATATACAGAATGTTTTAATACATATTTCTGCACAACATCTTAGCTTTATTTTAAGAATAAGAGAAAATCTCAAACTACCTTGTTGAATGGTAAGCCCTCCTACCATAATATCTGCCCCTGCAAACCTTCCTCCAATTAATTTTTAGTCAAAATATAAATGCTACTTTTGTTCTTTAAAGACCTTTACAGCTAGGGATGTGGGAAGGATTTGTTCAGCTCATACTTTAATTTGAACCCGCCGAATCTGCACTTTCCAAATCAATATGTAAACTGAAACAGTTATCATCTGAAAGTTTTACTTCTCTGGACTTCTGATGGAGGAAAATGGTGGACTGATCGTCTTCCGTCAGCAGCTTGCCAACACAGATGATTATGTGGTGATTGATGATAGCCAGGCCATAAATCTTGGCTATTGAATTGAGTGAACTTGGATATGATAAGAGTGAACAGGATATTTAACCTCTGATGCTCTGCAAAAGCTGTTGCCTACATTGGGAGACTAAGAAGCTATCAGCACCTCAGAACACTGGCAAAGGTGAGTGACTAAGAGCAGAGAAACCAATATTGTGTCCAAAAGCCACATAAGAGTTCTAATGGGCAAAACCTCCCTTTCTCTAACTATCTTCAACTATACCTGAGACAGATATACAGTGGTACCTCGGGTTAATAACTTAATTCGTTCTGGAGGTCCGTTCTTAACCTGAAACTGTTCTTAACCTGAGATACCACTTTAGCTAATGGGGCCTCCTGCTGCCGCCGTGCTGCCAGAGCACAATTTCTGCTCTCATCCTGAAGCAAAGTTATTAACCCGAGGTACTATTTCTGGGTTAGCAGAGTCTGTAACCTGAAGTGTCTGTAACCCGAGGTACCACTGTAATTCACAAATTTGAAGGTTTCTCTGTCTGCCTGTAAAAATTTACTTCTGGTGAGTGAGCTACTTTCTGACTCCTGGAGAGCCGATCATAAAAGGCTGAACTAAAAATACACTCTAATTCTTTGAACCAAGAAAGTTTAAAATGGTCAAGGGCCATTCTCTGAATGCTTTATTTTTAATTCTCTGTTTTCCTAATGGAAATGTTGCACTGGAACTGAAAGTAATTTTACTACTTCATACTGACTTCGTGGGAAAGGAATGTGCTTTGATAAGAGATTATGCTGTGAAGATCTTAAAGTGGAGATGGGGGATTGAATATTTTAAGGTACAGATTGAATTGCTAATAAGACCAAGAACATTCAATATGGCAAAAAACATTTCATTGACTGCTGGCATCTTACAGCAATTATTGGATGAGAAATTAAAAGAAATTAGAGCTAAGATTATTCTTAGGGCTCTGACCCAAATAATGCTGGGCTCTCAATGGGATGGGAGTGTCAGTTTTGCATTTTTTGGTACAGAAAGTATTGGTTTAAAGTGTAGAAATATTTTCTATGCTAATTGATTCTGTGTGATACAAGCTGGTGCAAATGATTCGTCTTGAACAGAACCATCACTCCAATTATCATCAACTTCTGCTTCTAGCAAAGAGGATGGAGAGGAAGGAAGAGGAAACCTTAGCCTCTTCTCCTTAGCTTACTTCAACTGCTCAATCAATGAGGCTGGAAAGGTTTGAGAAATGGGGGGTAGAGCACCTTGAGCAGCTGGAGAAGGATCATGATGCTCTTGTCCCTGTTCCTCAGTAAAACCTAGAAATTACGGCTCAGAATCTGATAAAGCGTCAACCTGGGCCTCACCAGCAGGTAACGGTATAATCTTACCATTCGACTGAGTGGAAGGAAGCACTTTTAGGAGCTGAGGCCTGCTCTGTATTGTGAGACTGGGACTGAGGTAAAATTATGGAAGTAAGATGCTTTTTTGGAAGGGCTGGGGGAGCAAATAAGTGGAAGGACCAAACATAAAGAGCAACAGAAAGTTTTTTTTTGTGAAAAATCCACAATGCACAGACAAACAAACAACTGTAAAACTAAAATGACAATAAGGGAAATCGGAGGTTCAGAAACTAGTAAAAAACCTAGCTGAGTCAGGAGAGTTGGGAGGAACGTACTGTCTGCGTCTAGACAGGAGGAAAAACTGAGGGAGTCCAGCCTACTTCCCACAAGTCTTTGCTGCTGTCTAGTGTCTCCCGACAAGGTGAACACTCATTACATTGGATACGACGCCCCAGGAACTAAAATGTACTCAATAAAAGTATCTTGCAGATAAACAACAAATGCCTTCAGTTCTCCCCAACTCTCCATCAATTCCATTACCTGGTCTGAGCAGAAACCAAGCAGCTTTCCTTGCTGTGTTACGTAAACTAAGCTAGCAGGGGATTGAAACACTCTTGCAAACGTTATCTGCTTGGAGGTCCCTTGGTCTTTCTAGAGCTTATCCAGATCTCTGTTTGCTCCACCACTTTCCCCTGGGAGCCCAGTCTTGAAGGCTGAATCGAAACAAATGGCAATTGGGGTTTCAGCATTGTCATTTGTTCCAATTATTGCTAAAGTGTGATTTTTCTGGGGGAAAGTGGCAGGGAAAAGGCAAAACTGCTCAGACCCGTGCCTAGAAAGGATAGAACAGTTAGAAGTGTGAACGAGCCTTAAATCTGTCCCTATTTTAAGAGCAGTACGGCAACCAATCACTAAGGGAATGTCATCAATACAACCTATTTTACTTCTGCACCACGAGCAATTTCATTGCCTTATTAAATTGTGCCATTTGCTCCAAACATTATTGAAGGTGCAGCATGATATCTTTAAAATCAAAAAATCTGAACATGAATATTTTTCTTAATTTATATAACAATCAATGTCATCATACATATCTCTCTAGCTGAAGCGTGTGGTGTTCTCCCAGAAGAACGAAGTCCAGATCTCATCAAGCTAGGTAAAAGAACACATACCCACACAAATGAAAAATGCAAGGTGTAAATTCTAATCAGTACTGGCACAGTACTACAAAACAAAACTTAACCGGTTATTTCTAATGGGAAAGATATGCCACACAAATTGAGAAGATGGAACTTTGCCTTCCTCTTTTCCTCCCTATAGCTCCTTTGCTCTCAAATCTGCTCCAGAGCAGACTTCTATGGTGGTGGGGAGAGGCACAGGAGCAGCAGAGTGAAGAAAAGGTAAGTGAAGTCCTAAAGTAAGGTGCTAATACAGTGGTACCTCGGGTTAAGTACTTAATTCGTTCTGGAGGTCCGTTCTTAACCTGAAACTGTTCTTAACATGAAGCACCACTTTAGCTAATGGGGCCTCCTGCTGCCGCCGTACCACCGGAGCACAGTTTCTGTTCTCATCCTGAAGCAAAGTTCTTAACCCGAGGTACTATTTCTGGGTTAGAGGAGTCTGTAACCTGAAGCGTATGTAACCCGAGGTACCACTGTAAAAGAAAGTGTCTTCGTGTTGTGGGGAATATAATTCTCTCACTACAGATGGCACAACTGTATCAGTCTGGCTGGCCCCACAACCTTACAATTAGAAAGGGAGGGGAAGTTTCCAGAGCAAATGGCATAACCAGAACACAGCTCATTCCCCTACTACACAAAAAATCCCACCCCACTTTTTTCATCTTGCGCTATCCAATCTGATCCTAGAGGTATTACCAAGTTAGCATGACTGAACAAACATTTTCTCTTGTTTGCACCCTTTCCTTCTTGCCAGATTAAAAATGTATGCTATCAGAGTGCAGGAGAGAGACAACCCCAGCATTAAACTCCCTCCCTCCTTTACTGAGGCTCTCTGTGGCACCTTTAAAATCCTGATTTCTTGCCCTGTGTATTTGAGAAATAAGTGGTTATGGGAAAAATAAAAGTTTTAGCAAGTTTCTCACATGAAAGGTCATGTGTGGAGCAGGTGTTTATGTGCCTACCACCTATCTATCCCTCCAGAATACAATCTAAAGAAAAAGAAAATAGCTGTGCCCACATGTGCTGAAAGCTGGTGGCCCACTCCACCTCTTGCATTCTTCCTCCTCCCCCGGCCCTGACAAAATGCTGAGTTGCTGCTACCACTACCAGTAACAAAGCCAGCCAGCCTGCTCTTGGGTCTCCAGCAGCTTAATAGAACTTTAAAATATACACAAAATGTATGCAGCACATTGCGTTCAGAATATCAGTATTTTAGAGGGCAAGTAAGGATATTGACAGTTCAAAAGAGGCTTGTCCTGTCCGAACGAGGACACCTGATAGCCATTCAGGGAAGTTTTTAATATGTGACATTTCAGTGTATTTTTTATCTTTGTTGGAAGCCGCCCAGAGTGGCTAGGGAAACCCAGCCAGATGGGCGGGGTACAAATAATAAATTATTATTATTATTATTATTATTATTTTAAACTTCAGATGTTACCTGGTTCTTGTTGTTTCTCTGTAATAAAAGACATCTCCTAAAAGAGTTCCCATTCTTATACTTAATCCACCTTGTCTCTGAAGTTTTTGAAGCATGCTCTCAATCATGGTAGTCTTTCCACTACCAGGGTCTCCTAAATATAACAAATAGTTTATTTTATTTATTTGTCCATAGCTTTTTCCATGGACGTGCTCAAGGCAACAAAAAGATAAAAATCACTATTAAACATTTACATAATCAGCAACAAAATCACGGAAACAGCAGAGGATGCCGATCACTCACAATAAACAGCATTCAGGAACTGCTTGCAAAAACAAAAAGGTGATCCTATTGCCACCTGAGGAATGACTACAAGCAGGGAGACCTAGGTTGAAAACTCTACTCAGCCATAAAATTCATTTCAAATTGACTGTGGGGAGAGAGATCCCTACACTGCCCTGAACTTTTGGAGGAAGGCAGGGTATAATACACCAAGGGCCTCAGTAAGTGAAGGGTATGGAGAAGCAGATTCACTCCAAGAGATATGGAAATCCATGCCAGTTTAAGGTTTAAAATTAAAAGACTTGATTAGCCCAGAAATTAACTGCAGAGGTGGTTTTGGAGTAGCACAACTGGTTCAGCAGCACTGGGTGCTGCGCCACAGGGGGCGCCACAACAGTGCTGGAGAACAAAGTGCGAGAGGAGGGACACACACAGAATTTTAGTGTTGCACAAGACGCCGTTGAAATTTGAGAGCCCCAAATCTGCCACTGGTAACTGGTAATTGGTCTACTGCAGACAGGCTGAAACAACAGTAATCTAACACCCTTTATGAGCATGTGAGGACCTGTGAATTTAAAAAAAAAAAATGTTTTAGAAAGTATGTTAAATATGAATATTCTATAAGTATCTTAGCATTTCATGATTATCTGAAAATATATAACAATTCAAATCAGGTCAGGACTTCATGGCCTCCATGACAAGCGTGGAGCTGTATCAAATTGTCATTGGTCTAACACATCAGGCTATGCCTCATTTCCAAAAGGAAACAAGAACCCCGAGACCAATGGAATCTTGCACTGCTTAGAGATTGGGGTGGCATTCAACAATACCTATTCTGTTTTACAGTACTTGAGAATCTTACCTATTATTAATACTGGATGTTTATTCAGTAAAAGAAGGCTCATTAGGAAATGGTGCCGAATTGTATCAATGTTGGGAATAAATGTAGAAAGCTCACATTTCTTTTCTTCGTCTTTTTCTGCTTTATCAGGATTTGACCTACCTGCAGTTTCTAATTTTAAAATAAAACAAAAACATTTATTTCAATTATCTGAAATATTGTCTTGTTATCTTAAATTTAAGAAATATGAATATGATTGTCTAAATCAGCAGTTATTGAAAGGTAGATTGGGATCCAGGCTGCAGAGCACACAGCACAATCCACTTGGAGCCCTCTGTTCATATATGTAGTGTTATGTATGAATTGGGCAAAAATATATGGAACATTTTGTAACAGGACCATAGGTGCCAACTCTATGGAGCCCTGGTCCCTTCCACCCCCCAAAATATTTAGGCCCCCCTCTGCAATATTTTCTGCAAGTTGGCATCTCCCTCCCTCCGGCAACTACCCCCACCCACCCAGAAATTTCTTGCGCGTAGGTGGAGGGTGGCGAGAGGTGAGCAGGGAGGCCTGCACCCAGCTGTGCATGTCAGAAGAAGGTGTGCTCTACAGACGTGTGGGGAGAGAGAGAAGTAAGGGGAGCAGGCGGGTCCCCCCAATATTTTGTTCAAGTTGGCACCTATGAATAGGACCATTAAGAACTTTATAGCAAGAGTTTATAGTAAACTCTTGATTCATGGAGATAATTTTACCGTTAGAAAAATGTATTGAGGTAACCAATTTTTCAATAAATATTCTAAGAGTTATATACTCAGGTGTTTATTTGATTTAAGCATATATATATACTAGAATCATAGAATCATAGAATCATAGAGTTGGAAGAGACCACAAGGGCCATCGAGTCCAACCCCCTGCCAAGCAGGAAACACCATCAGAGCACTCCTGACATATGGTTGTCAAGCCTCTGCTTAAAGACCTCCAAAGAAGGAGACTCCACCACACTCCTTGGCAGCAAATTCCACTGTCGAACAGCTCTTACTGTCAGGAAGTTCTTCCTAATGTTTAGGTGGAATCTTCTTTCTTGTAGTTTGGATCCATTGCTCCGTGTCCACTTCTCTGGAGCAGCAGAAAACAGCCTTTCTCCCTCCTCTATGTGACATCCTTTTATATATTTGAACATGGCTATATACTGCTTCCCTGTATGTACAATGTGTCTTACAATGAAAAAATACTTCACAATTTTAGTGTATATCTGAGCCTTAAATTTTACTAAACAAAATGATTCTTTCAGGAACATTATACTAAAATACAACAGCAACAACAATAACATTCTTACCCTTCTGAATAAGAAACTGTGTGCTAGGAACTAAATTTGCCCATGGTTCAAATTCTCCTGTTCGTAAATCCACAAAATAATCAAAAACAGTTTTGTTGTCAGATGGAAACTGAATATCTGAAAGTCAGGGAGGGGAGCAATATGTTACAAGCAAATTAAAGTGTTGTATCTGCTATGAAACGTATAGCTGATATAGTTGTGTCATAGAATTGCCACAAAATGAAATGTTAGTTGGGTAAACAGTTATATGAGCATTAACAGGTAAGATGCATACAGATTTCAAACACAGTTATTCAGTCATGTTTAAACTAGAAGGGACGCAGGTGGCGCTGTGGGTAAAAGCCTCAGCGCCTAGGGCTTGCCGATCGAAAGGTCGGCAGTTCGAATCCCCGCGGTGGGGTGCGCTCCCGCTGCTCGGTCCCAGCGCCTGCCAACCTAGCAGTTCGAAAGCACCCCTGGGTGCAAGTAGATAAATAGGGACCGCTTACTAGCGGGAAGGTAAACGGCGTTCCGTGTGCTGCACTGGCTCACCAGATGCAGCTTGTCACGCTGGCCACGTGACCCGGAAGTGTCTGCGGACAGCGCTGGCCCCCGGCCTCTTGAGTGAGATGGGCGCACAACCCCAGAGTCTGTCAAGACTGGCCCGTACGGGCAGGGGTACCTTTACCTTTACCTTAAACTAGTCAATCTGCAGAGTTTTGCATGTAGATGTTCCCAACATCTCCAGCTAATTTAGTTCTTTATTAAATTTATTGATTATTGTTCATTTTTTTACTAAAATTTTTTTAAAATTCTACCTCACCCTTCCTCCCAGAGAAGCCCTGGGTGCCTGCCAAAGGTTCTCCTGTAGAAGGGCAAGGAAAAAGCTGTTGCCACTCAGTGTTGACAATATTGGGCTAAATGGAACAATAGGCTGACTTGGGATACAGCTGTTTCATGTGTTCAACCACATGGCATTAATGCTAGAAGTATTCCAGCATTGTCCAGGTAGATGTTAACTGCATTACTAATAGTCCACCTCCACATGTCAGACAGTGTTCTCTGCTATAGTGGCAAAGACACCTTTAGCACAGTGTATAAAAAGGTATAATAAGGATTTAGATTTAGAAAGGTATATTATTAGATTTAGAAAGGTATATTAAGGATTTAGATTTGCTGGACAGAGTGCCTGAAGAACTATGGATGGAGGCTCACAACATTATACAGGAGGCAGCAACTAAAACCATCCCACTGAAAAGGAAATGCAAGAAAGCAAAGTGGCTGTCCAACTAGGCCTTACAAATAGCGGAGGAGAGAAGGCAAGCAAAATGCGAGGGAGATAGTGAAAGATATAGATTTCCAAAAAATAGCAAGGAGAGACAAGAAGGCCTTCTTAAATGAGCAATGCAAAGAAATAGAGGAAAACAACAGAATGGGAAGAACCAGAGATCTGGTCAAGAAAATTGGAGATATGAAAGGAACATTTCGTACAAAGATTACCATAATAAAGGACAAAAGTGGTAAGGACCTAACAGAAGCAGAAGACATCAAGAAGAGGTGGCAAGAATACACAGAGGAATTATACCAGAAAGATATGGATGGCTCGTACACCCCCGGTAGTGTGGTTACTGACCTTGAGCCAGACATCCTGGAGAGTAAAGTCAAATGGGCCTTAGAAAGCACTGCAAATAACAAGGCCAGTGGAAGTGATGGTATTCCAGCTGAACTCTTTAAAATTTTAAAAGATGATGCTGTTAAGGTGCTACACTCAATATGCCAGCAAGTTTGGAAAACTCAGCAGTGGCCAGAGGATTGGAGAAGATCAGTCTACATCCCAATTCCAAAGAAGGGCAGTGCCAAAGAATGCTTTAACTACCGCACAATTGCACTCATTTCACACGCTAGCAAGGTTATGCTTAAAATTCTACAAGGAAGGCTCAAGAGAACTCCCAGAAGTGCAAGCTGGATTTACAAGAGGCAGAGGAACCAGAGACCAAATTGCAAACATGCGCTGGATTATGGAGAAAGCTAGAGAGTTCCAGAAAGACATCTACTTCTGCTTCATTGACTATGCAAAAGCCTTTGACTGTGTCGACCACAGCAAACTATGGCAAGTTCTTAAAGAAATGGCAGTGCCTGATCACCTCATCTGTCTCAAAAGAAATCTCTATGTGGGACAAGAAGCTACAGTTAGAACTGGATATGGAATAACTGATTGGTTCAAAATTGGGAAAGGAGTATGACAAGGCTGTATATTGTCTCCCTGCTTATTTAACTTATATGCAGAATTCACCATGCGAAAGGCTGGGCTGGATGAATCCCTAGCCGGAATTAAGATCGCCGGAAGAAATATCAACAACCTCAGATATTCAGATGACACAACCTTGATGGCAGGAAGTGAGGAGGAATTAAAGAACCTTTTATTGAGGGTGAAAGAGGAGAGTACAAAATATGGTCTGAAGCTCAACATCAAAAAAACGAAGATCATGGCCACTGGGCCCATCACCTCCTGGCAAATAGAAGGGGAAGAAATGGAGGTAGTGAGAGATTTTACTTTCTCAGGCTCCATGTTCACTGCAGATGGTGACAGCAGCCACGAAATTAAAATACACCTGCTTCTTGGGAGAAAAGCAATGACAAACCTAGACAGCATCTTAAAAAGTAGAGACATCACCTTGCCAACAAAGGTCCGTATAGTAAAAGCTATTGTTTTCCCGGTAGTGATGTATGGAAGTGAGAGAAGGACCATAAAGAAGGCTGATCGCCAAAGAATTGATGCTTTTGAATTATGGTGCTGGAGGAGACTCTTGAGAGTCCCATGGACTGCAAGAAGATCAAACCTATCCATTCTTAAGGAAATCAGCCCTGAGAGCCAGTGTGGTGTAGTGGTTAAGAGCGATAGACTCGTAATCTGGGGAACTGGGTTCGTGTCTCTGCTCCTCCACATGCAGCTCCTGGGTGACCTTGGGCCAGGCACACTTCTCTGAAGTCTCTCAGCCCCACTCACCTCACAGAGTGTTTGTTGTGGGGGAGGAAGGGAAAGGAGAATGTTAGCCGCTTTGAGACTCCTTTGGGTAGATAAAGCGGGATATCAAATCCAAACTCTTCTTCTTCTAGAAGGACAGATTGTGAAGCTGAGACTCCAATACTTTGGCCACCTCATGAGAAGAGAAGACTCCCTGGAAAAGACCCTGATGTTGGGAAAGATGGAGGGCACAAGGAGAAGGGGTCGACAGAGGACGAGATGGTTGGATAGCATTCTTGAAGCTACCAACATGAGTTTGACCAAACTGCAGGAGGCAATGGAAGACAGAAGTGCCCAGCATGCTCTGGTCCATGGGGTCACGAAGAGTCGGACACGACTAAATGACTAAACAACAACATATAAAGGGAAAGGGACCCCTGACCATTAGATCCAGTCGTGACCGACTCTGGGGTTGCGGCGCTCATCTCGCTTTATTGGCCGAGGGAGCCGGTGTTTGTCCGCAGACAGCTTCCGGGTCATGTGGCCAGCATGACTAAGTTGCTTCTGGTGAACCAGCGCAGCGCACGGAAATGTCGTTTACCTTCCTGCTGGAGCAATACCTATTTATCTACTTGCACTTTGTGCTTTCGAACTGCTAGGTTGGCAGGAACTGGGACCGAACAATGGGAGCTCACCCCGTCGCGGGGATTCGAACCGCTGACCTTCTGATTGGCAAGTCCTAGGCTCTGTGGCTTAACCCACAGTGCCACCCGCGTCACAGTGTATAGATGATCCATTTATACTGAATCAAAGAGCAGTAATGCACAGTAACTGTAAAGATGCATTAGCAGGTGATGATGATAGTTGTTCAAATGTAAATCTTAGGCTGTAATCCCAACCATGTACTTAAATGTAAGCGGGGTTATAACTGCAGCTTCACCACAGTGGTCTTGGGCCATTTCCAATTCCACTATTCCATTAGTCTTTAAAGCTGAATTAAATAAATTTAGAATGTATTCTATCTGATTAGTATATTGTAAAAACGGAAAAGCTTACTAGCTGGTGGTTGTCTTTCAAATATCTCACGAACAAGGTAATTGAAGTCCTGGGTTACAGTCACAAGATCATCGTGGCTGGTGTATATACCAATTAGAGTCTCACCCTCATGTTCTTCCTCTCTTTTTAAAATTCCTCCAACAGCCCAGGTAAATGCAAATATATAAAGTTTTCCCAACATTAGCATCATATTATTAGGTTGCTTCTCCCAAAACCATATCTGCTCTGGCCTGAAAGTAATGAGGGGGGAAAACCCTAATAATAATAATAATAATAATAATAATAATAATAAGCACAATATTTGATTTAGTAACTAGCAATGCTTTGTGCTCCTTTGAGGAAGGTCAGGATACAAAATTAGTATAGTTAAAACAACAATAGAAGAAAACAAATGAACTTTATAAACAACATCAACTTTATAAACATCTGGGTAGGCTTGTCTAAACAAGAATGTTTTTAGCAGTCACCAAAAAGAATACAGTGAAGGTGCCTGCTTGATAGCAATAGGCAAGGCATTCCAAAGTGTAGGTCCTGCCACACTAAACAGTTGCCGTATTTTTCGCTCTATAAGACGCACCAGACCACAAGACGCAACTAATTTTTGGAGGAGGAAAACAAGAAAAAAAAATGAATCCCAGAAGCCAGAACAGCAAGAGGGATCGCTGCGCAGTGAAAGCAGCAATCCCTCTTGCTGTTCTGGCTTCTGGGATAGCTGCGCAGCCTGCATTTGCTCCATAAGATGCACACACATTTCCCCTTACTTTTTAGGAGGGAAAAGGTGAGACTTATAGAGCAAAAAATACGGTATGATGTGTCAGGGAACTGCCATCAGTGCCGGAGGGAGAAAGCAAAATCCAGAGGGATTCCAGAGAGCGTCCCGGGAGTGGGAGAGGCAGCCCATCTTCTGGGGGAAGAGAATCAGCGTAGCACCAGTGGAGAAGGGGGGCAGATGGGGGAAGCGGCGAGGTGGTCCCATGACTCCTTGCCGGGGACCAGCGGGGAGAGTAGAGGTCCTCCGCTGCCTACGCCCTCCTTGCGCAGAAGGCTTTCGCGCAGAGAGAGTAGGAGGAGACTAGGCGTCAAAGAGCTTCTTTGCTGGAAGAAGTTTAAGAAACGCCCACTGACGGATTCTGCCAGCGATTGAGACAGCCACGGGAGAGTGGCTGTCCGGACAGAAAAGGTTCACTCAGGCAACCCAGCCAGGTGTTTGCACCGGCTTACGCACGAGCAACCCCTAGAACCATTACATGATGCATCATGCATAAAAATAAACTCAGTAGTTAGATCCAGTGTTTCCTAAGTGTCTTTTGAGGATATAGTTTTAAATACAAGGATTTCATCGCATTTTGATAATCTAGCAAGTACACACAAGGCTCACTCACCTTTTCTTCAACACAGATGGGACTATTTCACTGCCTACATCTGATATCCTACGAGATGCTTTCATTATTGTTGGTGCCAAAGTAATTGAGCTTCGTATTCTTCTTTCGGCTTTAATATAACAAATCACATTATGCATTTGGCCCATTCAGAAATAAGTCCAATATAAAACTATAGCTTCAAAAAATCTTAATTTCCTTGCGTTGGTGGTATAGTGGTTAGCATAGCTGCCTTCCAAAAAAACCATAATTTCCTATACAATTGATTTTACACTTTAATTACAATAATATTTTCCACTTGGAGCCTAAACCAGCTCATCCTAAACCATTGCTGAGCTACAAATATTCACCAAGTACTAATTGTTTTCTGTGGTGTGCAAGTTGGACGTGTCTCTAAAATTATTTGACCCATCAATGCCTCAATATTCTGTGTTGGAGGAACGAGGTTTCTCCAAATGTCTTTGATATTAAGGGCAAAGAGATATCAGTGGTCCTACAGACCACATGCTGAAAAGCAAGAATTACAGAAAGACACCCAGAACACTTTCTATTACACTTCTTACACATTTATCATATCACTAAAAATTAGACTTGTAATGCATTCACTTACGTGGTTGTAATGTATCCTTTTGCATCATTATTTGAAGAAATGAATCAAGAATTCTGCAGATATTCATTACAATCCCCATCTGATGTATAGGGAATGGTTGCATTTTCTTACGTTCATTCAGAAAGTTCATCCCCTTTTTTACACTTGAGTGAAACAAACTTGATAAGTACTCAATATCATTTTGTGCCAATAGTTCAGAAAAGCCGTCTAACCATGTACTGACATATGGTTCCCATCCCAGATCAACTGGATCCTACAATAAAACAAATGAACAGATTTTCAGAATTGCTTCTACATTGCTTCTGCATATTTACATTCTTTATATCTAGATTCTGCTTGTGAAATATGAAACATGCACATACATTTTCCTACTATGATACAGATCAGCTATCTGTTCTATGTCTTGTGGAAAATGTGCTATACAGATTTTCTACATGGGAAGAGATGTCCATGTAGAAAGTTGCAATGTTTGAAACGGCTTCCATTAAGGATGATATCTTTGGTTGGCATTGGCAAAGGATGCTAGTTTTTAAAATGCTTACTCTTTAAGTTTTTCAACTTGTACAAGAAGAAAATGCTAACATTTTTGTACCTTTTCTTTTTCTTCTTTTTCTTTACATCACTTTATTTCTTTATAATTCTAAAGTTTTCAATAAAATATTGAAAAACAGGCAAAAAAGAGAAAAATACAAGAAAATACTAAATGAACAAAACATAAAATGTTTAATACAGAACATACATTGTTCCAGCAATTTGCTACTCAGGGCTGCATCAGACAAAGTAGTTCCATTAGCTGAATAATTTTTGTCTGCACAATTAAACTTCCTCTCCCTGGGTGCCCCCCATAGATTTAAAAGAAGCATATTACAGTGGTACCTCGCAAGACGAATGCCTCGCAAGACGAAAAACTCGCAAGACCAAAGGGTTTTTGGTTTTTTGAGTTGCTTCGCAAGACGAATCTCCCTATGGGCTTGCTTCGCAAGACGGAAACGTCTTGCAAATTTGTTTCCTTTTTCTTAAAACCGTTAATACAGTTGCGACCTGACTTCGAGGAGCAACTCATAGCACGCGGTGTGGTAGCCTTTTTTGAGGTTTTTGAAGACTTTGGTGATTTTTGAAGCTTTTCCAAAACTTTTCCGAAACCGTGCTTCGCAAGACGAAAAATTCGCAAGACGAAAAAACTCGCAGAATGAATTAATTTCGTCTTGCGAGGCACCACTGTATACCCAATGGGGATTCCAAGTGGGGAATCTATGATCTTGAGAGAAATCAAGGCAATTATTTAACCAGGGCATTAAAAGAAATAGCAGGTCTATTGTGTTATCGTTCCCCTGATCAAAATGCTCAGGGAAATATTGAGATGAAGAATGAAATCAAGGAAGTATCCAAAATACATGTTATAATAATAGGGGAATTCAACTACCCACCCATAGATTGGCTACATATGTGTTACAGTCATGACAAAGAGGTAAAAATTTTCGATACTCTAAATGATGGTAGCCTAGAATAATTCGTACACTTCCAGTCTGCAAATAGTGCCATGAGCAGCGACTACCCCTCCTGTCTCTGCTAATTGCCTTCAGGACAACTTCACTTATTTCACTTTCCATCTTTGCTGAGAACGTTAAAAGAAAGTATGAAATATCATATGAGTAAAAACGTTATTTAAGAAACCTACCACGTAAACCATAGCACATCTACTAACAGTAGCAGGGCTGGCCTGAGAGAGGCTGTCCACTTCAAATATCATTCTGATTGCTGGTGATAAGTAGATTCTTTCACTATTAGGAAGGCATAGCACTCTGGAGTCATCTAGCACAGAATTTAAATTTTCTATCCAAACTGGGTCTACTGGCCCATCCAAGATAATCCATTGCCAGTCATTAATACTTTCACCTGCAAAAGAATAAACAAATAAGAACGTCAGAATTTGCTAGTAACATTTATAAGCAACAAGAATTAAAAAATAAAGCTAAAATCTTTGAAAATGATCATGTTATTTTAGGAAAATATATCTTAAACCTCCTGACAATTTTTCTTTGTGCTGAATATCAAACTGGAGGAGAAAAAAATCTTATATACCAGTTTTTATTATTTTATCACATACTGTATTACTTTCTCTTTATTTCACCCAAATGCTTATTAACCTGATTGCCTTGGAGGACATTTTGCATATAGGATGATGTCCTTCCTCTGGATGTGACAGGCAGGGTCTTGAAGCTTTGCCTCCTTCTCCAGAGGAAGGGGTCATCCTACCCTCCAGATCTTCCCTGCCTCAGTCAGGATAGGTCGGGTCTTTTCCCATCTCCAGTGAAAAAAATCTTAGCTACATAGTTAATGAGACTGTGAGTTTGATAATGGTTAATGAGCATAGCTGTCAACTTTTCCCTTTTCTTGAGAGGAATCCTATTCGGAATAAGGGAATTTCCCTTAAAAAAAGGAATCGTTGACAGCTATGTTAATGAGACTGTGAGTGTTGCTGGTTTTTATTTGTTAGTTTCCTAGTATACCTCTTTCTCTTAAAATGGGGTGTGCCCCCCAGGTGTCAACATTTTCTGTGTGCCCTGTCATTTCCCCTGCTTAAATTTTCTTCAGGATGAGGACGTGTGAGGGAATTCAAGGAAAGCAATTGTCCCCGTGCTTTCCCCCTTTTTATTTTGGTCCCTGGAGGGGGTAGAGATAAGAGAAGGATGGGTGGACATTGTACAGCGGTCAGCCATTTTTTCTTAGGTCCTCCATCACACAAACCGAATCAAGGGAGACTGTTGCTTCTATTATACCAGACTCTCAAAGTGTCCCTACTTTCCAGGGACAGTCTCAGATTTACAGAAGCTGTCAAGTTTCTGCTTTGATCCCAGAATGTCTTGCTTTTCCTAAGGCGTCCCTATTTTCATCGCAGAAATGTTGGAGGGTATGTTATACCCTGTGAGGTGTGTGTGTGAATGTCATTTGCTGCTGATGGCAGGTGTCATAGTACCCTTTTAGAGCATAGTACCCTTTAGAGCAACACAATGAATCCCCCCCCCCCAATTAAAACAAGCTGTGAGGGAAGCTAGGCCTCAGTTGTGCCTACAGGAGTCTCTTCTTTCGGTAGTTCTTGACCAGGGACCGAGGAGAGGTTGCTGTTTGGCAGGAACACTATTTTTCTTTCTCAGTAATTCATTGGGGCGGGCAGTCCATGGGGAGCTTGTTTGATAGTTTTCTCCTCCCCTCTTTATTAGCGGTGACTCTATGTTCCCTTTCTTAATTGCACACACACTATAATTATTATCTTCTACTTTTTCTTTTTTCTTTTAAAGGGACGCAGGTGGCGCTGTGGGTTAAACCACAGAGCCTAGGACTTGCCAATCAGAAGGTCGGTGGTGTGAATCCCCGTGACGGGGTGAGCTCCTGTTGCGCAGTCCCTGCTCCTGCCAACCTAGCAGTTCAAAAGCACGCCGGTGCAAGTAGATAAATAGGTACCGCTCCGGTGGGAAGGTTAACAGCGTTTCTGTGCACTGCTCTGGTTCGCCAGAAGCGGCTTCGTCATGCTGGCCACATGACCCAGAAGCTGTACGCCAGCTCCCTCGGCCAGTAAAGTGAGATGAGCGCCGCAACCCCAGAGTCAGTCACGACTGGACCTAATGGTCAGGGGTCCCTTTACCTTTACTATTATTTTTATTTATTGAATTTGTATACCACCCTTCATCCAAAGATCTCAGGGCAGTTTACAGCAAAAAATACAAAACAGTTGTTTCTATAATACAATTCAGAAACAATTCAGGTGCAGGAGGTGCCTGCCCTGCTTCCTATCTCCCCCCAGTGATTCAATCTGATGGAATAGCTGCCCCCAGATGACAGCTGAAGGAGAGGAGGCCTGGTGGGGCTGGCCTGTCACAGCAGAGCAGATGGAGTGATAAACTGTTGGCCGTCTAGTTGTACATGCCAGAGATTTCATACTGCATGCTAGATGCTTGTATACAATACAGTAATGAAGCAACAAGAAATAAATATTTTGAAATCAATAGACTTATGAATAATATTATGAACAAAAGATTCAAACATGGCTCAGGGCAGTTTTCAGTAGGACTGTGGAAGTAATAATTATTCAAATATCAAGATGCTGCATAATTTGGACCCATCACTGTGGAAAGAGAGAAGAACTGTCTGTCATACTTATCATTACAGTACTTATACTGACAGTGAAAATTTTCTCTTGACTGCAGTGCTTCATTTTTTAGGGATGCATCAGCAAGATTCACTGTATTCAGCTAGAAAAATAGAAATGAAACTAATTACACTGCAGATCAGTTGATAAAGGAAGTTAGGCACGTTAAATACAGGATTAGAAAGCTTTCTTCCTAAAGAATTGGGGTAGCAAGAAACTTTTTTAATTACAAAAACAAAAAGCCTTCGGTGCCATGTTTCTGGGAGGATCCATGACTACCAAAGGCAGTTTCAACCTGAGATATAGTCTCTTAAACCTCAGCCAAATCACAATTAAACATAGAAAGTTGACTCCAGAGTTTCCATGAGTTTTCAAATGTTCTCTTGGATGATGGTGGAGATTATAATAGGGGTTACAGGGGGAAAGTGAAAAAGTGTGAAGAAGTGTGCATGCACACAAAAGCTTATACCAAGAATAAACTTAGTTGGCCTCTAAGGTGCTACTGGACAAATTTTTTATTTTTTATATATTTCGACTGCGTCAGACCAACACGGCTACCTACCTGAAATAAAAGTTCAAGTAAAGCAATAAAACAGTGACATAATTAGTTACTAAAATGCTAAACTCACAGTGTACAAGTCCTGCATTTCTGATTTTGCAGTGCTTATGTCTTTCTTTTTAGGTTTTTTTGTTGAAAGTTTGGCAAACGCTCGAACTGCTGATGATAACAGACCATCTGACCACTCCATTGTATTAGGATTTGTCTGCCCAAAAAGTTCACCAAGACTAACACACTTTGGGTTTATAACGAAGGTGTCTACCTTGCCTTTCTTTGGAGAATTCTAAGGAAAGAAAAGCAGACATTTTCTTACCATAAATATCCTGTTTTGGGGATGACATGACATTCAAAAACTCTTTAGAGTTACTCTTCCCCACCAGGAGGAGACAGGGCTGGCTTGCTTATTGATTCTTCTGTTGGACTAAACTGGAATGAGCAGAAACTTCCTCCAGAATATAGATAACTATTGAACAGCCAACCAGCATAAATGGACAGTTTTTGCTGACAATCACTTGTCAAAGCAAAGTTAGAGGTGGGCACCACTCAATAAATTTGTTTTCTTGATTATTATGTATTACATTTCTCTCATATGGAAGTGTGACAATGTATTTTCCTTTCATTCCCGATACCTTGAACGCTCTTATGGTGAATTATGCAAAGACAGGATGTTTGCAACAGGACGTTTGTAAAATGTTTTTATTTCATTTTGCAATACAGGTGGTGACTATTTTAGGCGCGTCCAACTGATGTGCAATCTCCGACATACAGGTCCTTTTGGACCTGAAAGAGGGCAGAATGGGGGCAGGGCGTGTCATGGTATTGACGGAGAACGCAGGGGAGGAGGAGAGACAAGCAGAGGAAGGGGGGCAGGAAGTGTCAGTGGAGGAAAGGAGGGAAAGTCAGGAGGAGGGAAGGCTCTCAGATGTTGTAGCAGAGCCTCAACTCCGCACAGGAAGCTCTGGCACGGACAGTGCCACTTCCATCTGCTTAGGAAAGGAGAGGGTTAAAGCGGAGGGGGCAGAGACATCAAATGAGAATGCCTCGCCTCTTCTGCTGGAAAAGGGGCGGACTTAAGTCACTCCGAGAATCTGACTCACAGGATTCGGACGCATGATTATGTGTGCTGCTTGTACATATGTAAAATTAAGGATGTATATATGTATCTCTGAGTGAGCAGAGGCATTTCTTGCGGAGAGCATTCACAAGCCATCACAGGGCGGCATGTAACAGGACGGAACGGGGGCACCCTTATATGTGCTCCACTGACACAAGCATGGGCTGGGAACAGAACCTTGCTTTCTCCTGCCCTAGAGGGTAGGACTAGAATCAATGGATTCAAGTTACAAGAAAGGAGATTCTGACTAGACATTAGATGGAGATTTTTAAGCAGAGGTTGGATGGCCATCTGTCATGGATGCTTTAGTGGAGTTTCCTGCATGGCAGGAGGTTGGACTAGATGACCCTTGGGACCCCTTCCAACTTTACAATTCTATGATTCTATAAGATGGTATATTTTAATCATTGCATACAATCACTGCTTTACTGATATTATTTTACACTTTATGTTGCTTTCCATATAACAAATACTTGCATATACTGATCGTTATATTTCTTCCATCTCCAAGATTAATTTAGGTATAATGTGCTGTTGCTCTTTCATATCATTATACTTAAATCTTTTATAAACTGAAATGTGCTTACTTTTTTAGCCTCAGATCATATTTAGTCACCACCTTTTAACCCAATATGCTAAAAGGAGAGCAGGGATCGATGTGAGTGCACTTCACACTTCCTGCCCAGTTTCCTGCCCAGTTTTGCATGGTGGCTGCCGACCTGACTTTACACATGATTTTGGTGCCCTCTTAAATCAGGCCAAGGACCATGCATGCCCAACTCTAGTTTTGGGATTGTTTTCTTAGTTTGCCAATATTTCAGATCCAACATTAATGCATATTAGAAATTAGGCATAATAGCACGTGAATAACATATTAAAGAAACAGGTTCAGAAAATAAAGAAGAGACTAAAATAAAATACCTTACCTGAAACACAGCCTCAAGTTTTGAATTGCTTTCTGTATCTACCAGTGGCAAGATTACCAGGGCTTTTTCTAAAATTGTTCTGATGGTAGTTTTCCCGCCGCCTGTAGGGCCTACTAGCATTATACCAACAGAAGCCTGAAAATACAGTTTTAAATATCAGCTCTGTAACATTAAGGTTCCCTAAAATGTTTAGATTACCAGACAGAGAAATATTAAAAAGCTCTTACAATGTGTATATTTTTCATACTAGGAGTATCAATCTGCTTTCCTCCTCAGTACTTTTGCTGTAATAGCTACATTATCTGTGGCCCTCCAGATATGTATTTTTAGTAGTAGTAGTAGTATTTATAACCCACTCTTCATTTTATATTTTAAACCCAAAGCAGGAAACAACAAAATAAAATAACAATAGAACTATACAGAAAAGAATATAAAAACAGAAAATTCATAAAAACAACTACACTAATAACATAAATTTATATCTCTATCATAACCATTTCCTCTCTGTCAAGATAGGAGAGGAATGAACCACAAAGCACTCACACAAACAAGACAGAAAAACCAACTATTCTGACAGAATTCTAAGAAAATTCTTAGGCACAGCTGGGATGGAGAGATGGTTCCTCTTCCTGGTGAGGAGGTAGAAGACTGACAGTGACTCTGCCTAATTCACCAGAGAGATGAAGGTAACCAATGGGTTCTAAGCTCATGGTGAGTTAGGGACTTCCCCTGCATGTGAAGACAATCTCCAGTGCATTGTGCGGATTAGGCCAGTAGTGGGTCCACTGGTCAAGAAGGCAGTCACTGCACATGATGTAGAGAGAAATGAGGCTCATCAACCTGGGAAGGTAGCCCATAAAGAAGAAGGAAAACTCTGATCATAAACCTCTGCTGCCTTGTGGCTATACATATTCATGAGAAAGACTTTGGGAGTAAACTCTGAGGAAAAATCCGTCCTTGCAGGACATCTTGAGAACAAGAAAATGCTAACGAGTAAACAAATCTGGAGTGGAATCCCTAAGACAGTTGGATAGTGTCTTGTACACCTCCTTCCAGCAACTCCTGCAGCCAAGCTGGTGCCAAATGTATTGCTCTGCATTCCTTTGGACCACATCAGTCTTGCTGTCTGGGCAGCCCAGGATTTCCATATACACTGCCCAGCTTTGTGTCCCAGAGATGCCACTTCAGTGCTGCAAGCACAGCAAAAACAATGTGGGAGGCAGCAGTTGCGAGTTACTGGTCTCTGCTGCCACAGCAGGTGCTGTGATTCTCCAGTGGGTTGGATTCACTCTCAGAGGCATACTCCATTGTTTCTTGAGACAGACGGATGCCAACAACAATAGCCTCCATCTTCCATAATCTTTGATCCCTGGCCACGTGGGCTGAGGGTGATGGGAGCTGGAGTCCTGAAACATCTGTAGCACCACAGCTTCTCCACTCCTGGTGCAATCTAAGTTTACTTTGAAAAACTTTGTGCAGTGTAACATACTATGTACTACTGTATCATATTAAAACATGTAAAGTGATGATTTGCAGAACTTACCATAATTTGGTTGTAAAATTGTATAACTTTCTGTATCTGATTTTCCCATCTCTGCAAACATAAATGCTGTATTGCAACAGATATTGCACTCTAAAATCAAATATGTATATAATTAATTAGAATTACAATGATACTTCAAGATTGTAAATATTAGCATAATATCTGATATTCTACCATTGTAGAAAAAGTCGCCATTTTTGGGTTGCTGTCACCAACCTCCCTTACCTCGGCACACACAATGCCCTGGAAAAATACTGTGCCTGGCACATTCATATGTAAACAGAATAGATACTGGACCACTAAGTAGGGACTTGGTCCGTCTCTACTTCTACTCCACCCCGGCAGCTATAGCTAAAGATAATCATGACCCATCAACCTGATGGTAACTGAAACCATTCCAGTGAAAAAGTGGTCAAGATTCCAATGTTGGTCATATTATTTTTATTTACAGAAGTATTTCTATAAATCATAGAATTGCAGAGTTAGAAGGAACCACGAGGGACATCTAGTCCAACCTCCGGCAGAGCAGGAATCTTTTGCCCATTTATAGAAGGATTTCTATAAACAGAGGCCTTCATCTGAGGCCCAATGCTTAATAATTTCCCCTTGTAAATAAAACATTTGCTTGCATGTTTCATTACCTGCAGTCGTCTATGCTTTACTTTTTGAACTTTCATCCCTGGGAAAAGATCTGTCAGAATGTCCTCAAACAGTGGGACATCCTCAGCAAGAAACTTTGGTAAATTAACTTCTTTCAGGACAGTCGTTATGATGAGAGTTTCTTCTGAGGTAGAAAACTTTTTCTTTTTACTATTTCTATAAAATAAATCCAATAATAGTAATCATTATAAGTTATTGTACAGATTTACATGCTCTTTCACAGAATCATAGAGTTGTAGAGTTGGAATGACCCCAAGGGTCTTCTAGTCCAGTGTTTCCCAACCGGTGTTCCGCGGCACACTAGTGTGCCGCAGAACGTTGCCTTGTGTTCCGTGGGAGGGAGGCGGGCGAGTTCGGCGGCGAGAGGCGGGGCGGCGGCGGCGAGCACACGCGGGGCGGCGAGCGAGCTCCCTCCCACATCCCACCGCCGCTCGCTTCGGCCGGCCTACTGGAGGAAGGCGCGAAAACCTCGCGCATGCGCAGGCCTTCCGCCTGCGACAGCCCAGTAGGCCGGCCGAAGCGAGCGGCGATGGGATGTGGGAGGGAGCTCGCTCGCCGCCCCGCGTGTGCTCGCCGCCCGACTCGCCCGCCTCCCTCCCACGGCACACCAGCCTACCTCCGTGGGAGGGAGGCGGGCGAGTCGGGCGGCGAGAGGCGGGGCGGCAGCGGCGAGGAGAGGCCGCCCAGCGCGGGGCTCTCGCCGTCTGCCTGCCTGGCTGCCTGCGAGCTCGGCAGGCAGCGCTTCCGCCCGCAGCGCCCGCCTCGCGGCTCTCATTCCCTGCCCCTGCCAACGCTCACCCAGCCAAGCCGCACTCTCCTTCCTGCCTCGCTTTGCTGCCTCCTCCCCCCCCACCCCCAAAGCTTGGAGGTTCCCCGGCAGGAAGGAGGGAACTTAATCCTCTCCAAGGGCTGCGGAAAACAGACATGCAAATGGGGGCTTGCCAGCTCTTCAAGCGCCGCCGGCTTTCTTCGGGAATTACCGCCCGCCGAGCCCGGTAACGCTGACAGGCCGAGCCGCGGGGCTTGGCAGCGCAGCCGGCAGAGTGTGGGAAAGGGCAGCCGCCACGCGCCGGGCAAGGCGAGACTCGACGGGGAGGACACCGGCAGCAGCGCCCCCCCCCCAGAAACCCGCTCCGGGCAGGTAATTCACAGAGAGTGGACAGAAGGAAGCCTTAAAGGGCTTCAGCCTCCCAGAGTGGCGGGGAATAATAATAATAATAATGATAATAATAAAATTGACAGGGGGTGTTTTTCTAGGTGAGGGGGTGGGGACTGTAATAACAAAAAAATCAGCTCTATATCAACCGCTGTTTTGCAATGAGAAATTGCAAATAAGGAAGATCAAAAGGAGAATGTTTTTTTGGGGGGGGACTCTCTTCCTCTTCCTCCTCCTCCTCTCGTTCTTGCTCCTCTTCCTGGCAAAAGGGCTGCTGAGACCCCTTCTCTCTTGGGTGCCGGTGGGTGCTGTGACGTTGACGCTGCTGTGGCAAGTGCCTTTACTTAGCAGAGTGCATTCCCCTTTACACAGGAGGGGAGGGAAAAAAATTGAAACTTACACTTTCGTGCGTCCCTCCCGGCGCGATGCTGCGCGCTGACGTCATGGGGCTGTAATGGTGGTGTGCCTCGAGATTTTTTTCATCAAACAAGTGTTCCTTTGCCCAAAAAAGGTTGGGAAACACTGTTCTAGTCCAGCTCCCTGCAATGCAGGAATCTTTCCCCCGAGGCAAGTCTTGAACCCATGGCCATGAGAATAAGAGTCTCATGCTCTACCAACTGAGTTATCCCAATGACAGATGGCCATTCAACCTCTGCTTCAAAACCTCCAAGGAAGGAGAGTCCACCATCTCTCAAGGGAGACCACTCCACTGTCAAACAGATCTTATCTTACTGTCAGAAAGTACTTCCTGATGTTTATTTCCTTAAAAAAGGGGGGCTATCACTATTGAATTTTTATCCACACATGCTGCTGCATATCTTATGCAAATATTCTTAAATATATTTATTTGAGCTTATTGCTCTCTACCCTAAAGTTCTGTACAATCAAAAACATCTGATATCTGAAGAAGTGTGCATGCACACGAAAGCTCATACCAAGAACTAACTTAGTTGGTCTTTAAGGTGCTACTGGAAGGAATATTTTTTTGTTTTAATCAAAAACATGTTACTTGAAATAGTTCATATTTGCTTGGGTCTGGCTGTCAAATATCAAATGTCCAACATTGCTTCCTAAATGCGCTTACAAGAAGGATCACACTAGACAAGATGATGAGGTTGCATGGCTTGATTTCCTGGGCATTTTTGAAGTTCAGAGCAATATATAGTGCCCATATGCCCTTAGCCAGAGGGAAAACAAGGGCATGTGGACTTGATTTAGACTGCAATCCTGTACTTTACGGCCACCAGCTAAGGGGCTATGCAGGGGTTGCCAACTCAACACCCACTGGTGCCATGGTGCCCACTATGCCTTTCACTGGTGCTTCTGGTAAGGTGCCCCAGACTCTAAGCTTTCATTTTTTTATTCTTTTAAGTAAGTACCCAGCCCTCTTAGAAAGAGGTTTTGGGGCAAAACATGAAGTTGCCTTTAAATGTCCAAAAAGGTTGACAGCCCTGGGCTATAGGAACTGGCACAATTCCTAATGACACTGTGCCACTAGCATGACACATTCTGCCAGCAAAGTGGGAGAAAAATAGGGAGGGAATGTGGGTGTTAGCATGAATAGGATTACAGCCTAAGTCACATTTATTAGAGAGTAAATCTCATTGATCTCAGTTTAATTTACTCCTGAATAAATATGGGATTCTGCTGCACAGCTCTACTGAGTGTCGATATCTCCTCTTCCAAAATTCTATGCATAGGACATCACAGCCTATAGCGCAATAATGTTACAGCTCTGCTTTAGGCAATTAAAAAATCTTACTTACTGTGTTTTTAACTCTTGCCTCTTCTGACCAGCCCTTATTAACACAGTTTTTATGGCTCTCATACCAAAATCATAATGATCCTAGAAAATATAAAATGGAGCATTCTGCAAACCAGGAGGTAACAGATTGTCAACATTTTGGAAAGCTTAGAAATGAACTCTTTTTTCCATTTATCTCCAGATCTGGTTTATTTTTGAAAAAAGGAAGCGAAGAAGGAGGGAAAAGGGAGAGTAAAGGGGAAAATAGGGGTGGAAAACCATGTTGCAAAGGAGGGAGTAGTAAGAATGGGAATAGGGTTTAAGATGAAAGCAAGGACATGAAAGTGTCTGAATAATAGGGGATGGTGGATTCATCACCTGGTGGAAGGTGAAAAAAGCTCTTAATACAGTGGTACCTCGGGTTACATACGCTTCAGGTTACATACGCTTCAGGTTACAGACTCCGCTAACCCAGAAATAGTACCTCGGGTTAAGAACTTTGCTTCAGGATGAGAACGGAAATTGTGCTCCAGCAGCGCGGTGGTAGCAGGAGGCCCCATTAGCTAAAGTGGTGCTTCAGGTTAAGAACAGTTTCAGGTTAAGAACGGACCTCCGGAACAAGTTAAGTACTTAACCCGAGGTACCACTGTAATTATAATGTGTGGGAGAAGGAAGATGCAGGAAGTTACCATGGAGGTGGTTTGTGTACAAGGGACTTGTACATAAGGAGAGGGAGAGGCACAGACATGGGGTGAAGGTGGAAATGGGTGCAAAGCAGCACTACAGAACGTAAGAGAGAAGTGGCTTCAGAAATGGGGTTGGAAAGATGAAAAATGAGCTTTTGCATGGGGTATGAAAGGGAAGCTCTAAGGGGTTAAAGAGGGGAATGAAGGGGGTTGGCAAGCAGCTCTGTGTGTGTGTGTGTGTGTGTGTGTGTGAGAGAGAGAGAGAGAGAGAGAGAGAGAGAGAGAGAGGGAGAGAGAAGGAGAGAGAAAATGAATTACAGGTTTAAAAAGTGCGCCAGGCTGAAGGAGCCATGCTGAAAAAAATGAGGAAATTCAGAGAAGGAGGAAACTGCCACCACAGTTTTAAAGTGGGGGGAATTGGATGAAATGGAGACAGGCAAAGACTATTGAAAGGAACACAGAAAATAATTAAAAAATAAAAATTCATAATCCCAAAATCTAAACTTAAGATACAAAACTATACGGAAAGTTCTTGTATAGGCTTATTATAGTTATTCTCTTTGTAGTGCAACGGGGGTAACGTCACATGTAAAACTGTCAATGAGACTCCCACTAATAGGTCCCATGAAAAGGTTCAAGGGTTCAAAGGCTGTCTCTCTTTCTCTCTCATTATACCTGGCGTGAAAGCTGCTTGCTAGAAAGATGATAAAGATTTACTATCTTCTCTGAGAGTGATTTTGCAGACCTGAAACCTTCTGAACACAACATTATTTCAGCAATGAGTTGATAATCTGGTACCATCATTGAGACAGGCCGAAATAATGATTTTAAGTTGTCTGGGAGTTCTACACGACCTTTGTATCTTAAAAGAAAAACAAAAGTCACTAGGTCTATTTTTGCAATTATAAACCGAGAACACTCAAAAGTATTAGTTTTAATACTTACAACAAATAAACAACTTACAACACATTGACAATACTGCATATAAAGAAAGTATAGTAGCTCTACAATAAAGCTCTGAGAGATAATGATGTGGACCACTACTATTATAGGAAACCTATTGTAAAGAATGTTTTTCCTTTAAAAATGTTAACAGTCTGACTTTTTAAAAGCAACTATTTAGATACAGAAAAAGCTTGTGATTTATTTTGGAAAAATGTAATCATGAAAATTCATCAGCATTTTAGGGTGAAATTCTCCTAATACAGTATACACATTTTTGCAAAGCAATTTTCTGCAGTATGATTTCATATATTATTATTTCCCCCAATAAATGCATTTCTATGCACACTTTATCCTGTACAGTGGAACCTCAGTTGTTGAACGCTTTGGAAGTCGAATGTTTTGGCTTCCGAATGCTTCTGTTTTTGAACACACCTCAGGTCGAGCTTCTGAGGCACGTTTCTCCATTTTTTCAATGGATTTTGCCAACCGCCTCAGTTGTCGAACATTTTGGAAGTCGAACAGTCTTCCGGAATGGATTACGTCTGACAACCAAGGGTCCACTGTATATGAAGTTTTGTATCCAATGCTGGAGAACAGCATTGCAAAAACCAGAGATAATTGAATTTCAAATGGTGGCTGTGTTTCAGTTTGCACATTATTTCAGACCTGCAAATTATGCAGGTTTGCCTTTAACTGTGAACTGAATCAAATCCCCCGATGTCTAGTGGAGCACATGCTTTCCATATAGAACAGGTGTATGACAGGTGTGGGGCAGGTGGGCATAGGTTGAGGTGAAACAGCCTTGCAGGCCAAATGAGGACCCGCCAGTCTTAATTAGGCATATAGGTCAGAGACTCTCCACAGCTGATGTAGAAGATCTTGGATTCATTCTTTGGTATCTCTAGGTAAGCCTGCAAAATACTCCAATTTGAAATCATGGAAAGCTGATGACAGTCAGCACTGACAGTGCTGAGATGATGAACCTTTTGTCTGAATTGGGGTAAGACAGTTTTGTATGCTCATTTCAAAATGGGATTGCTACCTCTTTTAGTATTTTTTGAAGAACAAGTGTTATAATCACTTACCCAGGATTCATGGTAATAAAAATTGCACAGAATGGTTTCAGTCGAACTTCTTTTCCTTCCAATAGAAATCTATGACAAATATTAGATTGGTTTTTTAAAAAATGTATTACTGAAGTCAGAAAATTGATAGAATGATTGATAAAGTTACTATCACAGCTGAGACAGCTAGAGTGCCGGCAGAGGAAAACTCATTCTGAATTGGACTGAGCATGTGTTAAGAGCTCAGGGTTGAGCCTACCAAGTGGCGATAGCAATGGCAAAGAGGACCTTCTTCACCTCCTCTGTTGTATTTGCAGAAAACAGCAGCAGGAGTCTCTTTCATGTTTGCAATATAATGGAATCACCTTTGCCATTGGGGCCTGGTCATAAAAGCGAGCCGGGAAGGGCTGGGCGATGGGCTCTGCGGAATGGTGAATGCTTCCCTCTGTGAGGGAATCTTCTCAGACCTGCTTAAAGAAGAGGCTTTTAAACTGCTTCTTAGAAAGCCATCTTTGGACCAAGGCAATATGGTCCACTATGGCCCAGTCTCAAATCTTCCATTCTTGGGCAAAGTGATAGAGTGGGTAGTTGCTGAACAACTCCAGGCACACCTGGAGAATGTGGACCATTTGGATCCCTTCCAGTCGGGATGCAGGCCTCATCATGGGACTGAAACTGCCTTGGTTGCGCTGGTTGATGATCTCTGGCAGGCTAGGGAGAGAGGTGAGAGCTGTTTCCTGGTGTTGCTGGATTGACTATGACACCATTGACTGACATCCTTCTGGGCTGTCTAGAGGAGTTGGGAGCTGGGGGCATTGTTGTGCAGCGGTTCTGCTTTCTCCTGGGCCATGTTCAGAAAGTGATGTTGGGGGATGAATGTTCAGACCCCGGGGCTCTCATTTGTAGGGTGCCTCAGGGCTCTGTCCTCTCCCCAATGCTTTTCAACATCTATATGAAGCCGCTGGGAGAGATCATCAGGGGGGTTGGGTTGGGTGTTCACCAGTATGCAGATGATATGCAGCTCTACTTCTCCTTCAAATTGGAACCAGTGATGGTAGTGAAGGTCCTGTGTGAGTGTCTGGAGGCAGTTGGAGGATGGATAGCGGCTAACAGATTGAGGTTGAATCCTGACAAGACAGAAGTACTGTTTTGCGGGGACAGGGGATGGGCAGGTGTGGAGGGCTCCCTGGTCCTGAATGGGGTAACTGAATGACATTCTGTACTAGGAAACTCATCCACATTTGGAGACAGGATTTCTAAAGGCTTCTTCTACTTCCATGGCTTGTTTTCATTACCAAAAAAAATAAAATTGGGGCAAAGTTACATGCATTTGCATGTAGTTAGTAGTTTGGACGTAAGGTATTACTACTTGCAAAAGATATACCTGACAGCGCAACTATCTTTAGCTGCCTTGATTGCCTGAATCTGTGATGCAATTGCTGAAAGGACTTCTACATCAATCCTGTTGAATTCATCAAAACAACACCATGCTCCAGACTGAACTAATCCACATAATAATTTCCCCATAACCTTAAAAAAAATGAAGAGATTTTCATTAGGTGCTAAGTTACCAAGATGATGACTTATTTACCCTTCATTTATTGAATGCCTTCTGTACAAATGTCTCAAAGTGATGTACAATAAAAACAGCTAGAAAACATAAAAAACAGTTGCTATGTGGAACAAAAATGACTTCAAGAGTTTCTGGAAAGAGCAGATAGTGAGCACCTGTTGTATCTTAACAGGAATGCTGTTCCACATGAAGAGGAAAGCTACTTATGAAAGTCAAGCAAATGAACTAAATTTCTTCAAAAATACTAGACAGAAGAAAGATGTTTTCTCAGGTGATGCAGTTCATTTATCAACAGGAAAATCTCACTGGTTTATATATAGATATATATAGATATATAATGGTTTATGTAACTAAATTTCAAAACACAAAATTAATCTCAGATTGAATTGACATTCAGTTTTAAGCATCTACATTACAAATATTCATCATTTAAAATTCCAAAATTAATTTACACATATGTTTCATGTTACTTTTTAGCAGGGGAGATATGATTTCAGACTGCAGTGCGACATAATAATTCATTAGGTAAAAGTTTTCTAAGGTCGGAGGAACGCTGCTGAACACTACCAAAATCTCTGGGATGCAGGGTCCCCAACAAAACAGTGAAAAATTGTTGCTTTAGTTGCACCAGCATAAGTCAATTATTGCAATACTACAAGGAAAAGAACACCCATAAGATTGGGTTTCCCAACATGATCAAAAGGCACTATTGATATTGTTAGCAAACTTTTTTAAAGAAGAAATTTAGTGTTCTAAATTCTATATTAAATAAAATTGTCTACTGTACCTTATCATCCAAACCTTCAGAACAGTTAAAGACAAGACACAGTTTTCCCAAGGCCTAATGAAAAAAAGCAGTTTTCAGAGCAGAAGCAATTATATTTGTTTACTCAGATAAATGAGTAGTTTAACAACTGTTAAATATACAAAAATCTCAAATACCTTCAGTTTAGTTTTGCCATTTATATTTTGATATTTTACACTTTTCAAATACTGCAGAAAGAGCTGTGTTTCTGAATTTAAAAGTCAAGTGCAATTTTGGAGAAGTTAAACTCTGTCATAAGAGGAAAATCACAGAAATCAGAAGCATTAGAAGACACAAGGGAATGGGTGAACTTTTTCTTTTTTATGTACCCCAACAGAGGAAAAGAGACAAAGAGACTGAAAAGGTAGAAAGGGAACCAAAGAAAAACAGTAAAGGAAGAGTAGAAAAAGAAACAGGAACTTAGCTGAGTCAAGAAAACAGTGAGAGACGGGGGAAATCGAACTCCTCCACCAAGGAAGGAAGAGAATCAGCCTACCTCCCACAATTCTTTGCTCTTGCCTGAGTTTCGTGCAAGAGGAACTACCCAATCTGAAGACTTCATAATCCACCATAATAAATTGGACCTTTGCCACTGTCAAGAAGCCCAGCACAACCCAAAATGCAGTTCTTGTTGAATTCAAAAGTTACTGTGAATCCTAGGATCCTATCACCCCTCAAAGGATACCATCACGGCTGTTTCTGAACAAGAGATTATCAGGTTATACACCACATGTTTCTATGATTCCAAGGAACAAGAGGTAAAATTCTTGAAGCCTCAGGCAAAATAAGCCAAATTACACATCAACCAATGTGACCAAATAGGTCCCAGACACTGGTTTTTAGAAGCAAGGTGTTGCCCAAATAAGCTCACCAAATTGAGTAATATGTATTTTTTAAAATAATAATCAAAATAGCATAGCATGAAAACCTATTAGCAAATTGGAATAAAAAGGTTCTAACATTTGGGAATCCAAAAGGACACTGAAAATTATAAAGCTATCTAACCCAGCCAACATTACCAAAACTCCTTGAGGAGAAGAGCTTGTGACTATACAGCTATAAAATGTTTTGCTAATTATCAGACTGGCTACTTTTATTAGAAAAAGTGTGTGAGCAGAAGTTGATGGGAATTGATAAGATCACATTGTACCTGAAACTAAGACCCACAACCCTGTCTTCCCAGATGCAACTGCAGAAACATAAATCTATTATGACATATCTGGAAAATACTATGTGTATAAAAGACAGTACATATTGATATCAAATGGATAGCGCTTACTTTTGAAAGATCTTTGACAGTCTCTGTTTTTCCTGTACCAGCTGGACCAGAAAGACAGCCCCCTAAATTCAACTGAAGAGCTCCAGTAATGGTGAGCCAACATCGATCTGTGAGAGGAGTAATAACCAATCTCGGAGAGCAGCCCAGATATTCAAAACCATATTCAAAAGAGGCAAAACCTTGGATAACCTTACAGGGGTTGACATCATGCCATTCATAACGCAACTGCCTGAAATAAAATAATTTGTGTAACAGTTTTGTCAACAACGTAGTTCTTTTTATCAAAATTATATATGCATATAAATTGGTAACATAGTTAGTATGTATAGATTTTTCAATGTTAATAACATTCAGTGGTCAAAATTCCATTAAGAGCACAGTTCTGTCATAAGGTTAAGAAAATGGGACATCTACAAGCAAGGATTTGATTTAGGAACATAAAAGTGAATCTGCTCAGGCATGAGAACACTCTGAAGTGAGGCCTATTCAGCACCTCAAGACAGGGAGAAATACATGTGCAGGACCTATCACTCCAAATTTGAGATTGCACTTTATTTATAGTATAGTGTTTTTAAAAACCAGATAATATATAACTAACATGTTATCTATTTTGAGTATTGCAATATCCTTTCATCTTATCCCAAAATCCAAAATTAGAGCCCAGAATGGGTATATTGATATACCTTGTCCATGCAAAATCTTCAGCGCTACAAATATCATTATTTATCAGTACAGTCATTACATCCCTACAGTGAATGATCAAAGTAACCAATGCCTCCAATGTGCTTTGCTTGTGGTAGGGAAGAATATCTGACGCTATCGCTGCTAGCTCCTCTATAAGGCTGATAAGATCATTGCGGCCTTCTTTCAACTCCATTTTTGCATGTGAACTCGACAAGCTCATTTCACACGCACGAGAAAACATTATTTGACTCTAGAAATGAAAATATTTATTAGCAGCAAAAATTATGATTTGTTTACTTGCATTAAAAATTAAATATTGCACAACATTTTATCTTACTTTTTTATGTTATTTTTATTTTCTATCATTATTATTATCATTGAAAAACTTTGCTCTCTCCCTCTTCTCTCCTATTTCTCACAGCATCAGGGAGATTTGGGAATTCTGAATGAGCAGGCTTTGAGAGAACCCAAAACTAAACCACAATCCAAAATCATGATCTAAAAACTAAACCAGATCATCCAAGATTAGAACAAAACCTTGCAACCATTTCAATAATGATAGAGATATTTATTATCAGCTAAACACAAAATATTGTGTTGTTTTCCAGGGACACCCTGAACATTCTGTATAAATCATCTATCCCAAATTAGAAACTTACATTTTTCAATGGTTCATAAAATATTATTAGATTTTTTTCTCCTGGTTGTCACTATAAGGAAAGACACCGTGCAATCCCATTTAGCCTGCTATATTCTACTAATTATTGCCAAATTTGTACAATTCCCATTTATAGGGAAAAGATGCTTTCTTTTGATTCCAGTCCTACTGGTACAGAATAAAGAATGTAAGCACTAAACTATGTAAAGCCACATCCCTTAGCACCAAAATCCATCTCATCAGAAATAACAGTAAACCTTGTGATTTGCTCTATCACCTACAGAAACTCAAAAGCAAGATAGGTTCATAGGCGCCGACTCCATGGGGCCTGAGGGGGCCCGAGCCCCCTCAAAAATTATTAGTGCGCGAACCTTCGTGTAAAGTCTGGCGGGCCAGCGCTGCGGCCGCGGCGACATCAAAAGGACTGGAGAGTCCCGAGGAGATTGCACGGCGGGGGAGAGAGAGAGGGAGAGAGAGGCAGGAGGTGCACTCGCTCGCCGCGCGCACGCACACGCAAATACAAACACACCGAGGGAGAGGGAAAAGTGTTTTGCAGGAGGAGCTGCTGCCGCCACCGCCGCTGCTGCCAGGACGCGCCAGAGGAGCCACCGGGTGGGAGGGGGAATCCGAACGGAACAACAACAAGAGAGAGAGAGAGAGAGAGAGAGAGAGAGAGAGAGAGAGAGAGAGAGAAGCAGCAGCGTCTCTGAATGGGCTGGATATTCCTCCTCAGGCGGCGCTGGCTCTGTGGCTCCCGGGGCCTGGGCGGCAGCAAGCAAAGCAAAGGAGCCGCCGACCGAACAGCAGCAGCAGCCGCCTGCCTGCCTGCCTGCCTGCAAGCCTGCCTTCTATACCAAGGTCCAGGTTCTTACTCGGTCTACCTGGAAGAAGGCAGGCAAGCAGGCAGGCATGGGACGTCCACGCACCCTGGCCTGCTGCCTTCCTGCCTGCGGCCGCCTGGCGCTTCTATACGAAGGTACAGGTTCCTACCCGGTCTACCTGGAGGGAGGCGGGCAGGCACGGGGGTCCTGCTCAAGCAAGGAACCGACGCCTACCCGGCCAACCCGCTGCCTTGAGGCAGGAGCAGCAGCTGCGCGGGGTCTCGCGTTCTCTCAGAGGCTCGCGCTGCTTCTCGCGTTCTCCCTCCCCCAGGACCCCGGTATGGGCCCCCCCAATATTTTTTATAAGTCGGCGCCCCTGGATAGGTTTATCGTGTATACACCTAAATAAACTTGTGTGTGCTACTACAGAACATTTTAAATACAAAATCTTCCAAATATGTTAAGTGACATGGTAAAGTTTTGAATGCGTCTTGTAGTGTGCTTACCACAAGTAGTATCACCTGTCCTGGGTGAGTGAAAAACCATTCTTTAAATTCCATTTGATTCCATTCTGCGATTCCAACTGTTATAAATCTTAAAGTACATTATATAGTTACAATAAATTAATACATCTGTAGTAAATTCACTAGGCTGTTTTCTAGCATATTATACAGGAATGTAAGTGAGAATGGAACTAGACTTTGCAAGAGACATAAAGCTGCCATTTCTCCACTCTGCCTTATTATGTAACCTCTCCTTAGGATGTGGGGGAGGCGTGACATTGTTTCCTGTCTTTCTGGGTTAGGGAAGGGAGTTGTAACAGGCAAGGAACCCTTCCCCACCTTGATCAGCGCCAATCGGGGGGGGGGGGGACGACGACAACGACAAATATATTGAAAGCCACCTATAAATAAATATAGACTGATACAACATGTAGTACTGTGTGATGCCCTAAGCCTGCCAAGCAACAGAAAATAGTGTGAGAAGGGTGTGCAGCAATGTACAATGCAATGGCATCATTGTGTTAAACTACAAATTATAAGGAGGTGAGGAAAAGAGCCATGAAGGCATGACAATTTGTTGTCTCTTGTAGTGTCTAGTTACATCTTCATTTAAAAACATCGTAACTTCACAAAATTGCAAAGAATAGTAATCATGAGTTCAAGCTTTGTTTTATATCATTACACTTGTGCCTATATAAAACATGGCTCAAAATCAAAAGAGAAACCAGTCATTCCAGAATTGCGAATAAAGGATAATTTATTTGGACCCTATGGCAATAAACCAGTAAATATCTAAATAGGGTACTCTCTCAAGATCGTCCTAAAACTGCCATAGCTGTCTTCAGTTTTGGTATGCTAACAGAATGTTTTACGTTTCTTCATGTTACAACTGAACGCTTCTAGTTTGCCACAAAGCTGGGGATGGGGGTGTCAGGGCTTTGCCTTCAGAAGTTTCTATAATAGCTTGATTCTGTAGCAGCAATCACTTAAAGTTATGGTAACATTTATCTCATATACTGGCAGTATTTCACTAACTACAACATTTTGATTTGTTTGTTTGTGGACTACTTGAAGACTTGGATTAAGCTTCCACTCTCTGTGCTGTAATGACTTTCTGCTTAACCCAGTTTGCCTGGGCATTGTTGTTCCTTTCACTGACTCCTGATGTTTCTCCATAAGTACAGTGGCTTCCTGCTGGGGAGTCATGGACCTTGTTTTGCCATGATGAATGTATGCACCTTGGCTATTCCACTGTCTGTTTTATCACCATAAACCAAAGAGGCATAATCTCTGCAAATTGTTGAATCACCAACAGATTAGCTCATAAAAGATTGATTAGCTTATGCGTCTCGGTGGTGGAACCAACACCTTGGACCATTTGGCCCTTGCCCAGCCTGTCAGGCTGGCATCCAAAGTGATCACAGTCCTGTCAAAAACTCGCCCCCAAATGCTGGGGCACAACTCTTGTTGGTTCAGATGGTTTCCATGTCATGAGACAAAGGTTCTTGAGAGCAGAAGAAGGCAAGGCCTACAAGACCTACATAACCATTCAAAACTAAGCCTGCTAACTGTTAACACAAACTGCTGAATCATTGTGACTCATCTACAGGATGACTCATTCTCTCTATAAATTTGTATCCTGTTCGCAGGCAGGCCCAGTGTAGTGTCTGTGCTGTTGTTGTAATGTGGTGCTGTGAATGTAAAGTTAAGGCAGACAGAGTGGCTCCAGGACTCCAGTTTATCAGTAACTAGGACTATGCCTCTGTGAAGAGTTAGATAGCTGCTATGAGCACTCTGTGTGTGCTCTTTGACTATGCTGTTTATGAACAACTTTATTTTCTCAAGTAAATGTTTTATTCTGTTTATAAGGAAGACTCTGCTTGATTAATTTACCGCTGCACGGCAGTCTAATGATCAGGGTATAAATCAGGGTTTCCCAAACTTGGGTCTCCGGCAGTTTTTTGGACTACAACTCCCATCATCCCTAGCTAGCAGGACCAGTTGTTACAGATGATGGGAGCTATAGTCCAAAAACTGCTGGAGACCAAAGTTTGGGAAACCCCTGCTGAAATTCCCAGACCTTACCAGACACCACTGAGATTCAAAGGAAGCAAAAGCTAAGAATCATTCTCTCTGTTCCCCGAGCCTGAGATGAAACACTTGATCAGTAAGAAGTAATCAATATGGTTAGGAACTGGAATCTGTACCAGGCTTCACTCCAAAATAGACAAACATCAATCTGCCACCATAAGAACTAAGAATTTTGCTTTCACTCATGGATAGAATTACACATGTGACCTTTTGGGTTCACCACGTAATAGCCTCCATCATTTACTACAAAAGGGAATGTGTTTAGAAGGGCTAGGAAATACTGCTGCTCTGCCAACACCCTACTGCCAGTATATTGAAAAGAATTGTGTTAGAACTAAGCAGGCCATGACTGCAGCAACTTGCAAACCTAATTAAAAACCTAAATGTACAATAAGAAAAAGGATGAAGTTACTTGCCTTTTATTCTCTAACACAGATACTTACTTTCTTACCATATCATACATGGTGTTTTCAACATTTCCTAGCCACAGTTCAGCAGGACCTCTAATACGAACATTCCTATGAGACAGTATTTGAAATTTCAGCACTTAATAAAAACACATCGTTAACGTCTTTTCCCCCAACTCTTTCCCCACTCTGTCCTTAAGGGTTTTGATTTTTTAAACTCAACCTTTTGTTTAAAAGGGAGCCAGTAGCAGTCAGGATAGAGCCTCCTTCCAAACACCTGCATCATTGATGCTTACAGTGCAGGCTGGTGCATTAGATTTATTAGGACACAGCCCTGCAAAGGAGATGTGCAAGCAAAAATATAAAACCCCAAAATCTCAGTCACACTCCCCCCCCCCCTCCGCACCCTTACATTCTTCTATTTGAACCAAGAAAGACTCTTTTCTGTCCATCTTCTATTTGCTGGCCAATCAGCACTCTGTACCAGCTAGACATTTATAACAGATCACTCAGATAATCTAACTAGTCATATACTTATGAATAAACAAGCTCAAAAAAGCCTACTACAACAAATTGCCTGAAAATATATGAGTGGTATCCAACTAACTTGTCTTGTAAGTGCAAGGATTTCCAATTATGCAGTGGATCGTTTCCTCCTCTTCTTGTCCCATGTGTGCCCTGTGCCCTCCCAACATCTGTGCCAGCAGGTTGGGGGAACACTCAGAACAGATTTATGAGGCATATGGCAGGGAGTTCTGGTGTGTAAGTGGAAATCTTTGCAGGGATGGAACAAGTTATATGGATTATAGAATTACGGCTGATACCTTAAAATTAAAAATAACTATACCGTACTTTGGTACTAGAAGAATTTCCCCTTCAGCAGAACCGATCATTAAAACCACTGGAGGTCTCTGTTCTTGTGGGCGTATATATAACTTCCTTATATTTGCAAAACATTTCACAAGATGAGGCTGCAGCAAATATGTTAAACAAAATAAAATAATAAATACTAAGCCTATAACTATGTGTAAAAACATTAAAAAGTATGATGTATGTGATATTAAATATTACCTGCACAACATCATGATTTTTGCTGTCAGCTAATATTTCGATAAGTTCAGCATTGCTGAGAAAATAAAATCTTGGAAAAACCATACGTTTAACTTCAAGATAGTCCTGTCCCCAAAATTAAAAATGAGACAAAATTTGACTAATTATAAAGTGAAAATGAAACTATAAAACAGCATCCTACACTTTTCATCGTCTAGGAGTGTGTTCCTCATTTATGTCAGTTTCCTCATTCCCACCCTCTAATCTGTTCTTTGCCATATGTTCTTTCGGATTTTGTTGAAATAGATGTGAAAAGAATGTCAATATCATACATGGTGCCAGTCTGAGGCTGTGGGATTGAATGAAGAACTAGCCTTAGTCTACCCCATTAAGAAATCAGAGGTTTATTCATGCAACTATATGCATGCTCTGGCAATTTTGTGAGGTTCATTGAGGGCCTACTCACACAACTGAGACTATGGCAGCTGCCGGCAAAGCATTACCTGCATTATCTCCCAATCTTGATTTCACAATTCAGCATAAACGTGTCACTGGCTGCTGAGTGGAGGGTTCAATCCTAACAGCCCTAGGCTGATGCTTTCCTTAGCAGGATGGCATTCTTGTTCAATCCTTCTGGCTACAGTGTGCTACTTCACAACTACTTCCCTTTGTCTTTAACTACACAGCTCATCTCCCCTATCTGTTCCTGAAGGGAAATAAATCTAACTTCCTCACAGCAGAAGTCCTGGAACTCTTTACTTCAACAAACATCTCACCCCTTTCGCTTCTGAGAGGGGAGGAATCAGATGCAGTTAATCTCTTCACTGACAACATTTGAAGGACTGTCCTTCAAACTCCTGATATCAGTGCAAACATTCTGGTGGCCGAAATAACAACAGCCCATACCTCACTTCAAACAGGTCTTTTGGGGGTTGCTTCCACTGCAATTAAAAAACTTAGTATTGTTTACCTCGAGAGCCTTCTGTATTTTCTCTAAGTGTGCATTGTTGGTTTGCAGAGTTTCAAAAACTCCTGCTGTTGTAGTTGCCCTAAGAGCATTTGGATTATCTTCTGTACGTTTCATGAGATCTTTCCATTTGCTATCAACTTGAGAGAAAAGATTTGATTCTTCTGGAAGCTGTCTGTTTTTAAAAAAACAAATATTCTTAAAGCATAAAATGTAGAACAATGAATTTGTCTTCATGGAACAGTTACACTATTCCTATAAAGGTAAAGGTACCCCTGCCCGTACGGGGCCAGTCTTGCCAGACTCTGGGGTTGTGCGCCCATCTCACTCAAGAGGCCGGGGGCCAGCGCTGTCCAGAGACACTTCCGGGTCACGTGGCCAGCGTGACATTGCTGCTCTGGCGAGCCAGAGACGCACACGGAAACGCCGTTTACCTTCCCGCTAGTAAGCGGTCCCTATTTATCTACTTGCACCCGGGAGTGCTTTCGAACTGCTAGGTTGGCAGGCGCTGGGACCGAACAACGGGAGCGCACCCTGCCACGGGGATTCGAACCGCCAACCTTTCGATCGGCAAGCCCTAGGTGCTGAGGCTTTTACCCACAGCGCCACCCGCGTCCCCCACTATTCCTATAGTCTGTATTTAAAGCACACATTTACAGTAACACTGAATTAACAGTGTGTCCCACAGGACAAAGGAGGACTTTTGGAGCAAGGACTGGATGGGGCAAAGACAAGCACCTGAGCAGAGAGGCAAAAGGCCAGGGAACTCAGAAAAAAGGGAAGCCAGGATGATGCAACAAGGTAGATGAATGAAGCAAGATGGGAGCAGAATAAAAGATGGGTTGTTTGGGGGCTTTTTAGGAAATAATAAACACTAGGAAAGGTACTCTCACATTAAACATACAGAGACAAACAAAAATCACAAAGAAAAGGAAACCAAAGTCCACAGACAGACAAGAAGTAGAAGCCAACTGTAAGCTAAGCTGTCTAGATTCACCTCATATGAAGGCAGGAAATGAACTCAGTGAGGATGGGAAGTACATAGACACTCAGCTCTGAACATTTTCTAACTTGGACACTAGGTGGTGATATAACCCATGTGATAGCCTTCCACCCATAGTAAATCATGGTTTGTTTGGGAGTGAGCCTGAGTTCAAAGCTAATAATAAGCCAAATCATGTCTTAACTCTGGGTAGCACAGCAGCAGCAGCAGCAGCAAGATCTGGGGAGAACCCAAGTAGCAACCATTTTTGCTCTCAGTACCTACACCAGTGGCGGGGTACCTCTGACACGTGGGACTAAATGGGCCCAGCACAGATCCAATTTTGGCCCTAACCAGGTCCACCTGTCACATACTTGAAGTTATATATGATGTCAGGTGTGGAGTAAAGAAACAATCAAATGCTTAAAGTATGCTCCCAATTGTTCATTGTTCCTCAGCAAGTGGGAATTGGTGACAATAAGCTCCTTTGAAGCTGCTCATTTGCAGGTGTGGTTTGGATTCAAACCATACCTGCAAATGGACATTTTCCCTTTATGGGCAGCTTTAGAAGAGTTTGGATTTGATATCCCGCTTTATCACTACCTGAAGGAGTCTCAAAGCGGCTAACATTCTCCTTTCCCTTCCTCCCCCACAACAAACACTCTGTGAGGTGAGTGGGGCTGAGAGACTTCAAAGAAGTGTGACTGGCCCAAGGTCACCCAGCAGCTGCATGTGGAGGAGCGGAGACACAAACCCGGTTCCCCAGATTACAAATCTACCACTCTTAATCACTACACCACACTGGCTCTCAAGTCTGCAGAGGAAAAACGGCTATTTGTGGGCACGATTTGAAGCCCAACTGAATCTGCAAATGGACAAAGCGGTTTGGTGGTTCCAAAGGAGTTTGCTGTCTGTGTAAGCATTAACAGCAAGCCCCTTTGAAGTTGTCACCTGATGTCATAAGGCAATGGACAGGTGGACAGGTGGGCATTTCTGATCTAGTCCTCAGGTTGAAAAAGATTCCCCATCTCTGACTGCTACATGCTTGCTCATTCATCTTCAGCCATGGTTTTGTTTAATATTACAGGTGTATTAGGCCCCACTGTAGTTCCCACCAAACCAAAAACATTTCAGAACAGGAATTAGAAAAAAAAAATTATGATGAACAAATTCATGTTTTATTTTAGCTTAGATATGAAACCTTAATTATTCAGTATAGGTGAGACAGTACTGCTGGACCAGACCTTACCTTTTTATTTCTGGAGCACAAAAGATTGGCTCAAGATAAATCCAATTCCTTTGACAATTCAACCATTCCTCCAGAGTACAAGAAAATAGGTTTAGTTTACGATCCCAAGCATCCACAAGACTCTACCATAAAAACAGAATAATCATAAACTGAAGCAATATCATATAATCCTCTTTTATAAACATGGCTTAGCAAATCAAACTCACAGTCAGACTCACAACATCACAAGTTGGTAACCTCATATCTTGATTACTGCAATGCCCTCCATAAGACTACCCTTATGCATGGTGTGGAAACTGCAATACAGGCAAGTCCCCATTTATGCAGGGGTTGAATTGTGATGCACTGAACGCACTGATGGAAAGCTCATATGCCTGCTGTGCCCTACCTTACCCCCTTCCGGGACCAAAACCAAAGTGTGTGTCAGCGACCACACACGTACCAAATGCATGCAAACTGGGAGTTCCATGTACTGCCAAATGCAGCAGCAAGGTTGCCAAGTGTTGTGGCTAGCCATGGACATGTAACATCTCGTGAAAAGAACTTCACTAGCTTCCAATTAGTTAATGGGTCAGGTTTAATATTTTCATATTAATGTCTTCTTCTTTGGTGATCACTCGTAGCCAAGTAAGATTGTCTTCTATAAACACGATTTTAACAATGAGTCCGTGACTGTGGAGGCCAATTCTGGACCCACACATCCTTCCACATTGGGGACATTGGTTCCCAGGCGGGAGTTGATCACGTTGTGGATTTGCCAAGTGTGCCTTCCTCTTAGCACGTTTCTCCCTTGAGTTCTGAGTTCGAGTGTCTTCAAAGTCCATGACACCTTTGGTAAAGGCGGTTCTCCAAGGGGAGTGCTCACAGGCCAGTGTTTCCCAGTTGTCGGTGTTTATACTACATTTTTTAAGATTTGCCTTTAGACAAGTCTTTAAACATCTTTTGTTGACCACCAGCATTACACTTTCCATTTTTAAGTTCAGAATAGAGTAGTTGCTTTGGAAGATGATAATCAGGCATCCACACAACATGACCAGTCCAACGAAGTTGATGTTGAAGAATCATTGGTTCAACACTGGTGATCTTTGCTTCATCTAGTACACTGATATTAGTTCATCTGTCTTCCCAAGTGATTTGTAAGATTTTTCAGAGACACCGTTGATGGAATATTTCGAGAAGTTGGAGATGGCGTTTGTAAGTGGTCCATGTTTCACAAGCATACAGTAAGGTTGGTAGTACAATAGCTTTGTAAACAAGCATTTTGGTTTTCCTGCAAATGTCCTGGTCCTCAAACACTCTGCACATCAATCGGGAGAAAGCCACACTTGCAGAGCTCAGGCGATGCTAGATTTCGGCATCAATGTTGACCCTTGTGGAAAGATAACTGCCTAGGTAGGAGAAGTCTTTGTCTTTGTCTAGCTCCTTCCCTTTGACCTAACACCTTGGGTGACCCTGCTGGGAGTACGAGATTCCAGATGGCTTCGCTCACAAGGGTTATAGGAACGTGCAAGCCCACTCACCATGACAAGGTAATGATCCAGCGAGTGAGATATTAATGTACAAGTCCCTAAACACAGTGCTGTTTTTCTAGAAAAAGAGGTGCCGGAACTCACCATGAATGCCTCCCTCTTTCTCTTAGAATGGCAATGGCACCCACCTGAGAGGTTCCGGAATACACTAGAAAGGTGCCAGAACTGAGTTCTGGGGAATTCCCCCTGGAAAAAAGCTCTGCCTAAACTGCTCAGGACCAGGTTACCTGAAACCATGCCTTCTTCCATATAGACCTGAGTACACATTGCTATCGTCTTCAGAGACCCTCCTAGTTGTGCCACAAGCTGCAGGTCTGTCAACAATGAGGAAGACGGCCTTTTATGCGGTGGTACGTAAAATCCAGAAAAGCCTTCCACCCAGAAATAAGGCATGAGTCAACACTGTTACAGTTCCAACACATGCTGAAAGTTTCTTTTATTTCTGGATTTTGCTGGTTCATGATGCCTACCTTTGTGGTTTTAAATTGATCGGACTACAGATTGCCTTCTGAGTTTAATATTATTGTATATTTTGTATTTGTTTTGTATTTTTTACTCTTGTACACCTCTGGAAGACGCTTGCATGACAAGCAGTATAATTTTTTTAATTAATTAATTAAGAATCGTAATTATTTAAAGCATTGGTCTTCAACTGGTGTACTGCAACTCACAAGTGAGTAACAATTATATGTAAAGCGGGCCACACATGCAGTGTCATGACCATTTTTTGGAGACAGAATGCAAAAGAAATGTAAATGATAGAGGAGGAGAAAAATATAGTTGAACAAATTTTATATAGATAAAAAACATACATAATTTAAAAATGTGAAATAGGTCTAGTGTTAGAGCCATCTGGGAAGTTCAACCATTACTGTTTTAAATAATCATTTTGGGAGATGTTGGATTTCCAAAATGGAAAGTAACTACGTATGACTGAATAACTGAATACAAACTCTATTCAAACATCTCGAGTAAGATTTACCTTAATTGGTCCAATGAAACAAGAACCTTTAATTGTTGAAATTGTCACTTGAGAATCTTCTAACAAAGCAATTATATCTTCAGCAGATGAAATAATCAAAGTAGTTGATGTTTCAGTGTGATATTGAGATAAATGAAATTCAGTTTTGTACCAAATGTCAATTATCCTTTTCAGCATCGCTTCAAGAGTTGCTTCATTGGACGCTGTTACAGATACCTCATTTATTTCTTTTCTATACTGAAACATCTAAAAGTTTAAAAATTAGAAACATTTTTGTCTGCTGGTAGACAGAAAGAGATAAATATTGTTAAATGAATAACTGTAATATATATTCAGAAAATGTAAATGTATTCACAAAGAAAGTAATTTTCAAGATTCCCTGTTTGACTTGAGGCTAATGCAATATCCTTATTATTGCCACCTCCATGATTTCTCCTGATAAAATTTATTCGTATACCCCTATGGTACATTATACACAGTTCACCAAAAGAAGGAGAACAGGAATTCCTGGGCTCTAGATAGAATGTAATGGTAGTTTGATTCCTGTGGCTTCACAGTTATGCCCCCTGCCATGCTACTATCATTCAAATGATGGAATCACACTTGCTACGTGCGCAAAGTAAAAAGGGAAATTATTCAAAATGTACAACCAACACAAAATTCTGACTTTTGCACAGAAAAGTCTGGCACCTGGCCATAGGCTGAAAATCCAGCATGGCCTCATCTTGTATCTAATTATGACAATGGCTACTTCTGAAATCAACCAAGTTGTGGCTTTTTTAATTCCAGACAGTTGTGGTGTCCATTTATTCACATCCCCTTGTTAGCCAGGATCCCTGGGGGGCGGGGACTCTGCGGCTGGGCATGCAATGACCACGTAAAGAGGCTTAATTAGAAGCCTCAGGAACATGCAGTTTCTCAAAGCTTTTTGGCTCCATTTCATATATCCAGTGACCTGAACCATATATCTAAGAAGAGACCAACTGAACTGATCCCAACAAATATGGGCAAGACAAATATGCTAATTCTCTAGCCACTTTAAAATGAAATAGATAAATCTATTAACTGTAAAACTTGAAAAAATGCCCAAGAAACTACAAAACCTAGAGGATGGGGGGGTATTCTACAGCATAATAAATGGTACTTATAAATCATGCAATTACATTGAATTCCAGAATTTTATCCAGGGTCAGTCTTTTATCCCCATTAATTGTCTGCTTAACAATATTCTGTATTGTTTCCCAATGCCGCAGCTGAAGACAGGGATTCCGTAAAGCTATAATGATAGGCAAAAATTCCTTGAACTCATACAATGATTTCTTCATAGCTGGTAAAATAGTATTTTCTGGCAAGCCTTCAAAATATGAAAATATTATGGACACATCAAAACACTTTTCATAAAGAAGTTTATTTCAAAAAATATTCCTTTCTTTTATTTTATTTTCCCAAATAACATTCTGAATTATTTTCTATTTACAAGGAATGTGGCATCCAGCAGTGCTGGGTTTAGGGGGCAGAGGGGGCTTCAGCTCCCCCAATATTTTTCAGCAGGGGATGACACCCCCCCCCCCCAATATTGAGGGGGCTGCTATCCCCCACCACCCAAGGCACCCTCCACGCACCCCAGCATCAGCCCCAACTTCCATCCAGCAGCCCAGGACCGAGGCAGCAGCTGGGACGAGCACAGGAGATTTCTGCTCCACTCGTCCCATTTGCAGCCTGGCAACCCGGGATCCCAGGAACCAGTGCAGGCAATCTTTGCTTCGCTCGTTCCAGCTGCAGCCCAGGAGCCAGGTGAGGTCTGGGACGAGCAAGCACAGAAATGGCACACACTGGGTGGTGTCACATGGTGCATCACGTGACACATCACATGACCATGCACTCTCAATGTGGGGGGCAAGTGGGTGCCCCTGGTGGCATCCATATTCTGAATTGCCTTAGGAGAGCGAGAAAAATTCTCAGGGATGAATCACACCCCGGCCATCACCTCTTTAATCTTCTACCCTCGGGCAGGAGATATAGAAGTATAATCAGCCGTACCAACAGGCTAAAAAATAGCTTCTCTTTGTAGGCTGTTAGGCTGTTGAACGGAAAATAACATAGCGCAATTGACTTGCAAGGTGGTGTGTTGTTCGATAAGCAAGCAGAGTGCAACGAGACTGAGTGTTGGGGGGGAGGCTCATTTAATTTCATTGTACACAGGTTGTACAATGACAATAAAGGTATTATTATTATTATTATTATTATTATTATTATTATTATTATCATATTACTAATATTTGACATAGTCACAACAATCAAGAAGTACATACAGTTAGGTTTTTCTCTCTCACAAATAATCGTTCCTTTAGAAAGCTGTCTGCAGTTTGGCACAATGAACTGACCAAGGGAGACATTTGAGCAAGCACAATATGATTTGTTCTCTTTGTTCAGAACACTGCTATGTCATAATTATCTAACTCTCGTGTTAAAATAATCTAACACAGTGAAAACACTGGGCAATTTAGCCTTTTGTTGATAAACCTCCATAGTCGAACTAAAGCCAAAGTTGTCATTATTCCATTTCAAAACCCAGTTTTTAATATCTAAAGAAACCATTTTTATTTCAATTAATTCATAACTACTGCAATTATATTTTTTCTTACCTTTTTCCAGAATCTGTACAATCTGCATGAATCTGTTAACATCTCTTTGAATTAAATCCACGTCAAGGTTCCAAAAAATTGTATGTTTCCACTTAAAAAAAAGCCTAGCCCATTCCTGCCTTGAATCCCACAACAATTTACGCAATACTAGATCACTTTCAATTTCAGAGAGCTCAACAGTTGCCCTCTGACAGTCTCCAGACTGAGCTCCATGTGACATCTTTTCCAAGGAAGCAGATTTCATCTCACTAACTGAACTGTCAAAAACAGTCTGGTAATTTGCATAGTTCATTATTTTCTCACTAATATCAGCTGCTTCTTCTATTAGGCTTTCAATAATCTCATTAGCCATCTTAGGCAAGGTTTCACTGAGGAGAAGGACAGGGTTTCGTACCTAAAACACAAAATAAATGATAAAGCAATCCCAAGAATGCGGTGGAGAGGGGGCAGCCAGGAATTTTCATACATCTTGGATAAAAATCTTAGCCAAATTGTGGAGTTTGGAACTTAACAAGTTAAATAGTTCCCATGATGCCACAACATTCTGACGTCAGCTTTCGAAGCTGGGAGGAGCTTGGGAGGAGTTCTGTCTGTTCCTCTCTGTGCTGTGAGGGGGAAAGACGTAGTCTGTAATGGCTGCGGTGAGTCCAGGAATTTTCTGAGAAATGTCGGAATAAACAACTGTAAATAGACAACCTGG